AGAACTACTAGCAATGGGATTCTCAGTCTCCATTACTAACAATCCCTTTCCCCCACCTGTGTTATGTTGGGCAGATACAACATTTGTACAAAACAGATAATTAGAAATAATGGCTACGAATTTAGTAGATTTTAATTTGAATCGCGCGGCGATAAATAATGTACGAGATTTCGTGTTAATTAACGCCCCTCCACGATGAATATTAATATCACTGGGGGTTGAAACTTGCGAATCTTTTTAACTGCGTCGATTACGTTGTTTCATTTATGACAGACATAACATTTACACATGAATACATATTAAACTTTAATGTGTATTTTATTTACATAAAATACAAGCGAAATTTATGAATTTTACATACAAAATAATGTATGAATCGTAATCAAATTTAGCGTTAATTCGCCATTCGTATGCATTCATCCTTTCGATACGTAGAAAGGCTTTTTTATTTTCTTTTTATACTTCATAAATAATTCGTTATTTTTACGAATTACAGGTATATTACATGTAATTCGTAAAAATGTAATTTTTAATATTACAAGGAATTTCTATACTTGATATTATGAATAACATTTTACTTAAGGAGCATAAAACATGGTTTAATTGAGTTTTTTATACAAAACTCAAAACATGTACCGTAACTGCACGAAAATGTGTCTAATTGAGAGCATTGGTTGAAGGCAAAATATGGATCAGGCCTTGTTTAGATACTAATGTTTTTTTTTTATACAACTTAGAATGGCAAACAAGCTGACGGCCCACCTGATGTAAAGTGGTAACCGTCGCCTATAGACATGAGCAGTACCATGGACATAACAGAGTATAATGTTTCGCCCATGATACCCCCATGCGTTGCCATTCCTGAGGACTCAGGTGTTATTCCTCTGTACCCAGTAAATTCACGCCATATCCCACCCTTCAAACCGAAACACAGCTATGCAAACACAACTGCTTCACGGTAGAAACACGAATGGGACAGAGATACCCAAGCAATCGACTTTTATACAAAGTCTCCCTCTGGTATGTGCTGGGCATAATTTATAATTTTGTGGCATAATTTCATATAAATTACATGTGATTTATGCGAAAATTCTTAACAGATTTTTGATGAATTATTTTTAATACAAAAATTTTGTCTACATTGATACAGATCATAAATATGAAATAACAATCGAATTCCGCTAGTGAATAAGTAGTAATTCATAGTAATATAGCCACCATAGGCTTGCCAGACGGCTTGGTATAGTTTTATTTTGACTTTTCTGATTCGATTAACACATCTTGGCAGTGAAAAGAAATACGAGTACAATCTATTATTGTATACCCCCACCCATCGATTAAACTTCTCCTCTCAATCTTTTACCATCTCAGCTATCAATCTTTGGAATGTACTGCCTATTGATATCAAAAAGTCCCTAACCAAATTTTGCTTCAAAAAGTCCCTTCGTGAACATTACTTCAATTTATCACAACAATAAAAAGCCTTAATCTGTCATGTAATTAGTTATTATTTATATATTTATTAATTTAATATATACCATGTATGGTTATTTATATATGTATTGTGGTTATTTATTTATGTGTGTATATTTTTTGTATGTCTATATGATTGTATGTTTATTTATCATAAATTGTTATCTCTTAAAATATTTATTTAATTTGCTATTTTCTTAAATCTGTGCACCGCATATTTGCTCTCTCTGTTGGCGTGGTGGTTGACTGGTAGAGAATGCCATCAGGCCTGTACACATTTTTCAATGTGTGCAAAAGTATAAATAAATATGCCAAATATTGAAATCATCATCATTATCATCATGTACTTGTATTCTTCATCACAACACGTAAATTATATCTACCGAAGTCTAAAATTATAGAACTCATCCCAAACGAAATGATTAAAAGAGACCACGATCCTTTTCTATTATAAAAAAATACACTCGCACACCCAACTGGACATATTTTGACGATATTACGAGGACCTGTATCAACTTTCCTGAAGGGCACTGACCGCATATTATAAAAAGGGATAACTTTTACATATAAACAACGCACCATACGCAACTATAACGGGAATGTATGCGGAATATATGAAATTGCGCCTTTGTACAGAACCTTTGCGGGGAAATCGGGTAATAACATTTCCAAGTTCTTGAACAAAGACCCGCTTTCCGTTTGAAGCGAACGCTGTGAAAATACTTCGCGAAATATTGCTACCGAACTTTGGGTTTATACGAAAAATGTATCAAACTTGTGGTTATTCTTGTTTTTATGTTTTATTCGAATAAGTATCTAGAGTAACTTTTTTTTTTTTTTTTTAATTAAACATAAACGCTAAAAATAAAATTTAAATAAGAAGTGTAATAATAAATGAAATAAAACTTATATTAATCTAAAGTAATAAAAATTTAACTTTACGATATCTGTTACATATTTTTATATATATATAAAAAATATATGATAATGTTTTAATAAGATCAATAGAAGGCCAAAACAATATTTTTTACAACTTACCAGTCTGTCTGCCTGTTAGTTCTTAATTAAATGGGGTTTCCACAGTGTAATACTGAAGGTTAACTTAAAAACTAGTATATTTTTTATCTTTTTTATCTATAAATAGTCTGCTTCATTAATGTGCCTACTTCTGAAATCCACGCGTAAAAAAAGAGTTAGAAATTGAGAAGAGAGAGTTTAGATGATGCGAACAAAAAATATAAAATAAAAGGTTAAAATTTCAAATTATTTTAATATACAATACGAGAATGTATGTAACTGTTTAACGTTAATTGCTTTGTATTGTAGTTTTTTTTAATGGGTGAGAATAAAATACTAATCCCGCCTGCGCTATCGGTATACGCTGGCTAAGCACCAGAGAAAGATGACAGGTGAAGATGAAAACAGGTCATTTAGCCCCTCATGATGATTTTAACGGTAATTAACTGCGACTGTTTCCAGGAGTAATCGCAAGGAGGTCGACCTGACAGAGTATTTTGTTAGCAATGGGGCTGTTAGACCCCATTACTAACAAATTACAAACCTTTCTCCCGCTCTGTACCGACTCACTTTTTTGCAATTACTTTTTATGCAACTTAGAATGGCAAACAAGCTAACGGCCCATCTGATGGAAAGTGGTCACTGTCGCTTATAGACATGAGCAGTACCATGGGCATAACAGAGTATACCGTTTCACCCATTATACCTCCCATGCGTTGCCATTCCTGAGGACTCAGGTGTTATTCCTCTGTACTATGTAAATTCACTGCCATATCCCACCCTTCAAACCGAAACACAGCCATACAAACAACTGCTTCACGGTAGAAATACGAATGGGACAAAGGTACCCAAGCAAACTACTTTTGTACAAAATCTCCCTCTGTACAGCAAGTGTATGTATTATGGCGTTTCGAATCATATGGAAGCATTATGAGTTTGTACAACATTTGAAAGGGACATGAATTTGTATGTACGTATAATTGACTTCCCCACAAACAAAATATTCTACGTATATTTACGTTGTTATGATAAGCCCACCGTGCGGGCTTTGAGCCCCTAAGCCCTCCCATTACCCCCATTCAGGCGCATCAGTTATGGACAGTTTAATTAATGCAAACAGTAGTCTAATTGTAATATAAATATTTTATTTTTATGTACTTATTAACCTACTTCAAAAATGAGTAGATTCTCAATATGATTGTTTTTTTTTTGTATGCAGTACGTACCTATGTGATATTATCATCATCATCATCATCATATCATCAGTTATTGTGATGGTTATAAGGTTTTTTTTTATCGAATAAGTTTAGTCCCTATATTGGCCACATACATTTTTTTTATAGTTTTTAGATACAATATTGAGATAATTATATTTGTTACAGCTTATATTATTAGAATTTTAAAATAAAAAAGCTTCAATTAAGAAATTTTAAAAAGGATTATCAATTCGATATATTTTTAGGTGTATTATTTTGATAATTTTCGAAATTGATAGAGTTTATCTCTGTATTGGTCCCATATTGTGATACCCCTGGTGTTGCAGGCGTCCATAACTCCAATAACCGTTTACCACGAGACGGGCTGTATGCTTGTTTGCCATCTTCGTTGTATAAAAAAAATTACATTTACATTTTATATTGATATAAAATCACAACTATTTATATTGCCTCTTTATTTTTAATTGTTATATGAAGCTGAATTATATAGAATAAAAAAAAGAAAGTATTTTCATACCCTCACCTCTTTGGTCACTGTAAAATTTTTAGGCCATATACATATCACATAATATTTTATTTGATATAAAATAATTGTTCTGCAATTGGACTTGAAATTGGACTACTGCTATTAATTTTACTATAAAGCGATACCTTTCTTGTTTTAAAGGGACTTGCTGATATTTACCTATTACACTTCAACCAAGGGTTTAGTAATTAGCGAAGCGTTTTCACTTTGTAGCTCCTATGTGCTATTATGATTGTAATATAGAGAGGGCTCCTTTGGGGTTTGGGAGTCTTTCTAAATGGCTTAAAGTTGAATGGAACATTTTAATAGGTGCAGAATTAATTCAGTTCACATGAATGTTATTTTATATAGCTAGATGTATAATAGATAAAAAAGTATTTGTATCAACTGAGATACAAATACATTTTTTTTTAAATAATCTTTCAGGAAATTTAATACTCTTAAATACCTAATAGCCAGGGGGAGAATCTCCTAATTGCCAGAAGGAGACTGTACAAAAGTCGTAGAGTCGTTCAGGCGAGAATGAAAAGGTAGGTCAATTAGCCCATCGCAATGAATACACATGTAATTCAGCATGATGGTTTCCAGGGGGACCAAGTGGAGGTTAACTTGACTGAGGACATTGCTAGCAATGTCCCTTCCGACCTGATAGGGTATATTGCTAGCAGTGGGTCTGTTAGACCAAAGTGGTCTAACAGCCTAACCCCTTTCCCAAAGTTTCATATTGGAACACAATATTCACTTAAATTTTATTTCCACTATTTCAGAGTCGCGAAAGTTTATCATCTGACGGCGAGGGTGCACGGGGCGACTGCTCATCAGTGGACTCCTCAGGATCGGGGTCTGAAGAACAACCGCCATGCGACATCGGGCTCTTGGAACGGTTGATCAGGACGCACCCCGTTTGGTTCCTACCCGGCATACAGAGGGCGGGAGCGTTCCATCTGTTGCAAGGGAAAGAGGAAGGGGTAAGTTTTAACTATTTATTTATGCAACATTTTTAAATTAATATTTTCTAAGTTCTAGAAATTACTTAATATTTACAAAATCGATGAATAGATCATTCTTATATCTTATGGGACACTATAAGACCCTATAGGAACCCATAGGACTTTATTATTGCACCAATAGTGTCTGTCAGTACATAGTAGCTTTCTTTTACATGTAATTAGATAGACACTGGAAATTCATACAATGTTGACTGTAGATTAACAATTCTACCCCCGAAGGCAGAGGAAGTAATAAAAGCTTAAAATACAAACGAAGGGCAACAATTTGTTTGTGTTTATTATTTGTAAAATGTCTAAAAAAGCCCTAGAGGCTTTGAGTAGATAATTAATATATATATATTTGGCTGTATAGAATGTAATCGAAATTGTTGGCATCATTTTAAGAAATATTTTACCAGTATATTTTGAGATTTTGTTCTAAAAAAAATTACTTTATTCGTAACAAAACCAGTTAGTTTGATTTAAAACTGAACTGCTGAATTGATTCTGATAAAAGTTCTGTGGGATCAATCTGTAAGTATAATGTTTTAGAAAAAAAAAATCCAAATTGGTTTATATTTAACAGTTATTAGTTAGTTATAACTTTAAAAAATACATTTGAATTGAAAACCTCCTTTTAGAAGTCAGTTAAAATCCTAGTTAAAAATATGGGTCGATATATCTATCTATCTATCTTATTTAAGAGCTGAGCTCTTGTCGGTGGAGCTCTTGCCACTCACTACGATTTTCAGCGAATCTCTTCACCTCTTGATACGACACGACACCAACTCCTTCCTTGATCTGCCTGATGTTACTATGCCTTGGTCTCCCTCTTCCCCTGCTTCCTTCTATCTTACCCTCTATTATAATGTTCATAAGTTCGTCGTGTCGTATCAAGTGTCCCAACATTTTTTCCCTTCTGTCCTCAATAGTTCTTATAATTTGTCTCTTTTACTTAACCCTAAGACCCTAATGGGTCGATAAACGACGAAAAATTTTGTACTTTTTATACTAATACACCATGCTAGCCATGTATGCCCCGGCATAGAATTGGCCATCCCTTCTTTTCCCTTGTGTGTCGTAAGAGGCGATTAAAGGAGTGCGAAGAATGGGCAGCAGCGTCCTTAAAACACTACCAAAGCCTAACTGCGGTTGCCAATCCGCCTGCCAAGTGTGGCAACTACTGGCAAAACTCCCCTTATGGAGATGGCTTATGTTCAGCAGTGGACAGTTAACGGCTGGAATAATAATATAATACTATTTCAATTCATCAAGAGGGAGACTTTCTAAAAAAGTCGATTGCTTGGGTACCTCTGTTCCATTCGTGTTTCTACCGTGAAGCAGTTGTTTGCATAGCTGTGTTTCGGTTTGAAGAATGGGATATAGTAGTGAATTTACAGGGTATAGAGGAATAACACACTTGAGTCCTCAAGAATGGCAATGCATGGGGGGCGAATGCATATTATGGGCGAAACAGTATACTCTGTTATGTCCATGGTACTGCTTATGTCTATAGGGGACAGATATATATATATATATATATATATATATATATATATATATATATATATATATATATATATATATATATATATATATATATATATATATATATATATATATATATATATATAAGATATGTTGTATTTTTTTTGCCTTTTTTTTAAATAATCATGTTTATTAAAAAAATATCCAGTTTCCCCGGTGAAAAGTACTCAACTATAAAAAAATACAATAATTTCTACTTCACTCTATATAACCTTTATTATGAGTTTGTTTTCTTGCTTCTTATAAAAAAATACTAACCTAAAAAGAAAACTAAGCATTTTCAAGACATAACGTGTGATTAAGATTAAATCAGAATCAGAAGTTTGAATAATAATTAATGATTATAATTTAATTACATTTCAGAACTTCGTCGTGCGCCAGTCCAGTCAACCCGACACAATGGCTATCAGCGTTCGTCTTCCTGCAGATAAAGGGCCTTATATAGAGCATTACCTCATCCAGGCATCAGGAGGCCGTATCGGCTTAGAGACATCACACAACCGTTTCGATAACATACCTGAACTAATTGCACATTACTCACAATGTTGGTAAGTAACATTAGAATAAAAAATAAAACAGCGACTTCGTAAATAGTTTAAAATGAAAATATTAGAATTTAGAATACGGAATCGTATGTCTACATGTGATTTTTTATACGCAATAAATAGAATTTTGCTCGATAGCAAAAGATAGATTCAATAATCATAATATATAAAACGAACATCAAAGTAAACTATGTCGATTGAATTAACTGTTAAATTTCAATTAATTATCAAAATCGATACAAAATTGGTATTATCACGAAAAATACAGGCGAATTTAGAATCTCTTCCTTTTTAAAGTATAATATGTGGTTCCCACTTTATATCTTAAAACTTACTTGGTTGCGTACAGTGTGATTTCTTCATATAAAGGCTCGAGGTTTTCCAAAAGGATTACAATACAACATACCCTATGTTCTAATTTAGAAAAGCCTCTTCTGAAATAGCATTGATGTTAGGTACGCCAAATGTTTAGCATCAGCCGGATCCTTTTCCTGTTAGTATTAATTTATTGTAGCTTTTATTCAAATCAACTTATCCTAATAACAGTGCTTTAAAAAAGCATTAAACTTTAAAAAAATTAAAAAAAAAACACACACACACACACACACACACACACACACACACACACACACACACACACACACACACACACACACACACACACACACACACACACACACACACACACACACACACACACACACACACACACACACACACACACACACACACACACACACACACACACACACACACACACACACACACACACACACACACACACACACACACACACACACACACACACACACACACACACACACACACACACACACACACACACACACACACACACACACACACAACACAGCAAAGGTCTCCTCAGACCGTTTCCATTCTCGTCTTTCTTGAGTTATCTCACGTTACTCCCGCCACTTTCCTGATATCGTCAACCCATCTTGTGTGGGGTCTGCCTGTTTTCCTTCTACTTTCCCTGGGATATCATCTTGTCACTTTCTTATTCTATTTACAAACTAATCGAAGAAAGTAACAACGAAACAAGAACACACCTATCAGTATTTAGGACGATGTAAAATCATAAATTATATTTTTTCTTTCAGCGATGAATTACCTGTGCAACTCCAGTTACCGCGTGCACTTCGTGAGGCGAAAAGTCGCCAACAACTTAGCTCCCTGACTTTGCTGGGTCAGGAATTCTGGGGCTATCCAATGGCAAACCCTAAAAACAACCCTCATAGCCTACTCTCTCCTTGTCAGTTGGCTAATGGAGTTGTACCAATGGCCGTTACGCCATCAGATACAGCATCTAGTCTAAGCAGCTTCAACGCAAGTAAGTTATTAATTTTAAAAATACAAAAGACTGTCAGTCGATTACAATAGTTTTGTTTAATTCCACTACCATAAAAATAACAAAATAATAGAATTATTTTCTTCCTAATTCTCATCAATTATTAAACCTAGTTCATTAAAAAAAATGTATTGTTTTATAAATCTTTATTGTAAATATTTTACTTAATTATACATAAGCGTATACGAATATTCATATTATATCCCAAATAGTAAAAATTCAATTCATATTATGACATATTTTTTTATATATCATATGCACCTAGACAGATTGAATTCACCTGTCTTAATCTATACTTTTATATTTCAGGTACAGGAACTATTTCCAGAGAACATGTTTTAAGTCCGGAAAAGGACAAGAATGTCGTATTAAAAATGTCACCAATAGACAGATCTGGTTCCCCACCGAGTCAAAATCAGAATCTTAGTACATTTAAAGGACGAACACCTCCGTCTCCACCAGCAAAACCTAGTGGGACAGCATTTATCAGAGCGCCTAGGCCTACCCCACCAAATACTCTTAATCTAATGTCTAGTACCGTAAGTATTTTTCACTAACTTCTATTGCTTTTATGGTGTTGTATTTCTAAATTGATGTTAATCAATGCTTCAAATATTTTCAGGCTCTTATAACTCAACCTCATACATTTCCCACGACCCACACACAACAATCTCCTACATCGAATCACGTCAAAACTACCCCACCTCCACCACCTCCACGATGGGCCAAGCCGCCTGTTTCTAAAATGTCCTTATCTCCTAAATCCGAAGCTCAAGCTTTCAGCCCTATTAACAAGGCTTCACAGAATGGAAACATAACAGTTACAACAACGGTTACTTTCTGTGTCAATAACACACAAATTCATAATCATCAAATAAACGAGAGCATACAAAGTGATCGGCTGCAACTAACGCTTGCATCTAATGCAATCAATAATAACAACAGCGCAGACTCTGTTTTCAACCTAGGGGACAATGGCAAAAACTTTGCTGAGTCTGATGGAGAAACACAGGTGAGGAAAGTGTAGTTTTTGCATGGCGAGTCTGCTCTTTGCATGAATTTTGTATTTAGTCGAATGCTCTATATTGTTTCTAACCTGTTAATAGTATTCTATTAAATATGAGAATTGAAGAGGTTGTAATGACTAAAACTTATTCCTGTTCCTGTATAGAATATGATGCATCGTATGTCGCCAGAAGGAGAGTGCATTAACGCAATGACAGCTAGTTTGCACGGAAGCTTCAAAAGACAAATGACCGAACAAGCAAATACCACCGAACCAGAATCGCCAGCTGAGCCCCAGTCCCAAACGAATACCTCTGACTCAGTCGATCCCATCGTAAACACTTTCTCTAAATCTAATAACAGTTTTACTTCAAATCACTTAGTGTCACCTAATGGCACTAATTCTGTTACAAGTGGTATATTTTCACCGACAAGTCAAATTAATTCTCCAGTATCAAACGATACTATATCGTCTAAAAGTGGCGTCTTTTCTCCTGTTAGTCAAACGAATAAAAGTGAAATATTTTCTCCTGTATCTAGAAGTTCACCAATATCAAACAAAAATGTTTTTTCTCCAACTTCTAACCAATCTATCGTTTCACCTATGATGGGTAAAGATCGTGATAAAGTGTTGTCACCTAGCACTAATACAACGAGTACTACGCCATCTGGTAGATCAAGAAGGAGTAGACACTCCCAGAGAAAGGAGTCCAGACATTATCAGGTAGGAGGGTAATTATGATGTAATGAAAGAATATTTATGTACATATATTTGTATTGTATCGTCATCACTAACAGCACGACATTATGTTAAAATATGAAAAATGAATTTACATTACTTAATATCTTATGCCATTATAATTTTATTGTAATTATTCTAATTTTCATGCATATTTCAGGAATCAGATATTTTAGAATCGCCAAGTGTATATTGTAGGAGTTCTTTAATGGATAAAGTATCCGACTATGAAGATATTTGGGGACCAGAATGTAATAATTGTTCAACTTTCAAGCCTTTAAGACTAGAAAATGATAATAATTTAAATAATGGATTAATGAAAAGTAAGAGACCCGACCTTTTGCCAGATACCTTGCGTAAGTACTGTCCTTAAGTTTACTAATAAATTTATACGGATTAAGTTATATCTCATTATAATACTGAATTCAAAACTTTCAGCAAAGCTTAATGCAGCTAAAAGTACACAATCTATTTTGGAGAAGGAAAACATACATATTTTAAACTCGACAGAAAGTTTGAATGAAAAGAAGAACCTCTCCGACAGCTCTTTGAAAAAGAGTTACAAAGGTTCCAATGAAATTATAGCGACAACGAATAGCAAAGGAGATATAGTACCAAAGAGGCCAGACAAACTTAATATTGTTATGAATATGAATAAGAAATTAACTGAAGAAATAGAAGCAGCTTTTAAAAGTAGAGAAAATTCTAATGCAGAAAGTATGGAAACAGTGAAATTAGAAGACGACTGTGTTAAAGATCCGATTAGTGATGACTCTGAGAAAGATAACGCTGGCAGTCCTTTCTATGCGGACCCTGTAGATGCAATTAATGAAGTAAGTTTAATTTTAAAACTTAAACCAATTACAATAGGTGGAGTTACGAATTTAAATTTATATAAATTTTGTAATAATTTATCGTGAAACTTTCAGGCTGCCTTACCCCCTGTGCAAAGACGAAAGCTAATCAGAGTCGGCGTGAATCTCTCCCAGAGATACTCAGAGCCTCCCAATCAAAATCATCCATACTATCCTCTAAGAGATATGCACAGCATTGAAGAACTATCGCGTAAGTACAATTGCAAATATTTATTAATTACATGACAAAATCTTCAGATTTTCTATTAGTTTAACCCAAAAATAAAACGAAATAAGCGTTTAACATAATTGATGATTTGTAACCGGACATTTGTGCTGTTGTGATTTGTGCTCCCCATAGACTGCCATAAGGAACGGTCCTGAGCCACCTGCATCCACTGACTCCCTGCAATGTGTTTGAGATCGTCACTCCATCTAATGGAGGTGGTCGTCTTATAAAACGTTTTCCCATACAGGGTCGCCACTCAAAAACCTTTCGTTCTAATGAATTGTCGATTCTTCGAGCTATGTGACCAACCCATTGTCACTTCAGCTTGCTTATCCTTCAGGCCATGCCTTTTGCTTTGGTTTATTTGCGGATATCCTCGTTTTGGATTCTGCCACTTTTTATTCTATCAGTTTTCTTATACTCTTTGCAAATTCAGTTTTTGATAAATAATTTTTTTTTCGTTTTACAGCGTCATCCCCAAATACATCGTCATCAGTGGACAACCTGGTGTCACTGCGCAGCAAGCCGAAAGTGAAACCGGTGCAGCCACCACGGATCATCAGTAAGCCGCCAACAGGCAAGAACGACCAGACTTGGACCATTGACTCCAGTTGGGAGTTCATAAGTCAGTGGATTTGATCTAACAAGCCAACTGTAGAATTGCGTAGCTTTTCTAAATTTTAGCAGCGATATTCACTTACTTGGAAATGTTTTCCGTATATTTTGTGGTACAGTTTAGAACGGTAATGGTATTTTGACCACTTTTTTTCTTTCATTCATTTTGGCGGTTATACGGAATTCTTTTCAAAATTAAATTCGCACCTTCGCACTATTTAAAACCTACATTATTTTATGCACGCCCAGTTAATTTATATTATGATAACAATATAGTAAATTTAAAGTTCTAACTAACTCTCCGGTGATGGTACACACCGTTACTATATTAAATGAATCAGTGATGCCACCACAATAGCAACAATCTACAAATGCCTCTGAATATAGAGCAAAGGCGAAAAATTATTATTTTTGAATATTTACTTCATAAAATAAACTTTATATATTATTTTATAAAAATTTAACATTTCCTGATTTTATGATAATTACTACATGTAAATATACTTGTAATTAATATTAATTTCTCTATAGTTTGTAGAACAATTTATTTATTATATGTATATAATGAATATATAAATTAGCTGGGCGTATATTGCATTTCGCAAAGGTTTTATTTGGTTTAGACACTGCGCAATTGATATTTACTTAATTTTGCTTTAGAGCTAACCTTTTTTTTTTTATTTACACACTGGCTGAATTCTGGAGTCTGGGTATCAAGTAGTGGTTTCGATTATGTATTATAACATATTTTTTAAATTACAGCATTTTTTTTTCTTTACTCATAGATTAATACTAAGTAATTTACACTTTATTTTGTAATATTGAAACAAGTGTTAATAAATAGAAAATAAATCGATCACTCGACGACTCAAATATGTTTAAATGCTTATATTTAAATTTAATTTGCTCGCATATCAAGTCCTTATGTCCATAGAGCTAGGTTGTAAATACTTGCATATTTGTAAATGCCTAACTTACTGTAAGTACTTAAGTTTCCTATGCAATTTTTTGACATTTCAAGCACTTTGTAGTAAGCCAATTATTTGATTTTTTAAATATCATAATCACTTTTTTCTACTAATATTAGAAATGTGAAAGTCAGTTTGTTTGTTAATACTTAAAGCCTTTAATAGTTCGACCAATAACTATGAAAAAAAAAATTATGACTAGCTGTATCCCGCAGCTCCGCCCGCTTTATTCAGCAGGTACATAAAGTATCCTGTGTACTAAGTTAGAATACAACCTACCCCTGTACAATTTTTTATTCAAATCTGTTCAGTAGTTTTTGTGTAAAAGGGTAACAAACATTCATTCATTCATCCATGGGTACAAACTTTTACATTTATTATACACGTAATAATAAGATAGGATACTTGGCAATTTACTCCATAATTGCATATTAATGTAGAAATATTATTAAAATATAAAAATAAAAATTCAAAATTTTTCAATCACTGAATAAGAAATATGATTTTCACGTTTTTATTTGTTATTTGCGATGAAAAAGGACGTAATAAGTACTATTTATTTATTCAGGAGAACCAATATATTATAAAATTTACTGGGTATGGTGGTATAACACTGAAATCCTCAGTAACGGATGAGGAGGCTACATGCATACCAAGGTATTCTATGAAGTCCCAAGTTTTGTTCATGTCCATTGGTGACGGTTGCTACGTTGACGGTTCCTATCAGACTGATCATCAGCTTGCTTGCCATTTCATATTGTAGAAAGAAACTTACTCTTTATTCCTCAACAGCAGTACCCCAGGGAGAATTCCAAGGGTATTAGTAAATTTTATAATGGCCATATCTATACAAAGATGATGGATGTGTTTCATGTTGCACATACAAGGATTTGCTGCACTTCGTCAAGGCTTTTCCAAGACCATCAACTAGTTATTCAGAAGTAATAAATAAATTTATCATTTTACATTTCTTTTCAGATAAAAATGACGAATGCTCGAACAGCGAAGGCACGTTCCCTTCGCTAGCTGAACAAGAGTGCCGGCTGAGTGGGGTCGACGACGGCGTGCAGCACCTTACAATGCATCAAGTTGTAGCACAAAGGTAAACCAAAGATCAAAAGCCAAGTAAAAGTGGCTGTCGTTTGAGATCAACTTTCTCAAGTTTTTTAAGTCTATGGATCATCTTCTCGTAAAATGTGATTTGGGATTCGGGTTAAGATGACAGTAAATTATGTCTGAGATGTAGTCTGTCCCCGCCCTCACACGTAGTAATGAAACATGAAAAGATTTTAGAGTTTTTTGTTGCTGGATTTATGTTCACCTTATTATACTACCATTTATCAATAGATCAGCTAGTTCCTTAAATTAATAAACCTATATATTACGACTTTAACGGTGTGATTTGAGAGTTGAATTACCCTACATCATCATCATCATTTCAGCCATTACCCGTCCACTGCTGAACATAAGCCTCCCCCATAGACTGCCATAAGGAACGGTCCTGAGCCACCTGCATCCACTGACTCCCTGCAATACATTTGAAGTCATCACTCCATCTAAGAGGGTGTCGTCCTACACTGTGTTTGCCCGTACGGGATTGCCACTTAAGAACCTTTCTTTCCCGTCGGTTATTGGTTTTTCAAGCTATGTGACCAGCCCATTGCTACTTCAGCTTGCTTATCGTTCTTACCCTATCCTTGATTACCCTAAATATTCGTTGTATCCCATTTGCGACGCGCTTCGGCTCCAGAAATGGCAGGATCACAGTAGATTCTGGAAAAAAAAACCTAAATATTAACTGAATTATGGTCTAATTTTTTTTTTATACAACTTAAAATGGCAAACAAGCTGACGCCCCACCTGATGTAAAGTGGTAACCGTCGCCTATAGACATGAGCAGTACCATGGACATAACGGAGTATACTGTTTCGCCCATGATACCCCCATGCGTTGCCATTCCTGAGGGCTCAGATGTTATTCCCATGTACTCAGTAAATTCACGCCATATCCCACCCTTCAAACCGAAACACAGTCATGCAAACACAACTGCTTCACGGTTGAATCACGAATGGGACAGAGATACCCAAGCAATCGACTTTTATACAAAGTCTTCCTTTTGTAACTGTATACTCGTATGATATATCGTCAAAATGTTCACTTTATAAGGATGGTAAAATATTTTTTTTATTTGTTTTAGACTACCTGAACTAAGACTGAACTTAGAACCAGTTGCTTTGCCAGACGAGACACGCTCGCCGCCCCGCGCCTCCTGCTACGACAACGTGCATGATCTAAGGCCCATGTCCGAACAGGTATCTTAATAACCATCATGTAAATCATAACGTCAAGCAATCCACTGCTGAACTTGGGTAACTCTCCTTATAAGAAAAAGTGTCTAGTTTATACAAAAAGATTTTTTCCATCACCCATTGGTGATGATGGAATGGTAACCCCGCTTGTGCTATTGGTATACACTGGGAGGCACCAGTGAGTGATGATAGGTGAGGATGAAGAGACAGGTCAGGTAGCCCATCGTGATGAATACACTTGGAATTCAGCACGATGGTTTCCGGGGGGGGGGTGGCACGTGGAGGTCGACCTGGTTGAGTATATTGCTAGCAATAGGGCCCTTAGTTTCTATTATTAACAATCCCTTCCCCCTAACAAATAGATAATTGTATCGTGCTTGTTTCTTCCTCACAAACACATGGGTTGTGGATTAATCTGCTTCCACTGTAGCTTTGTACTTTAATAGTAGGTAGAGTCTTTTGATTTTGTAGTACATCGTATGTATAGTTGTAGCACTTCAGCTGCCCGCTAGCAACATGTTTTCTAACTGCATTGGGTTGACTGGAAGAGATCTCTGTCAGAGATAAGTCCACCCTTGCTCACAATATTTATAAATGCATTAACATTGTAATTTACAAGTGCAATAAAGAATATATATACATCTTTCGTTGTGCCACTTTTAGCTTCCCTGCAAATTATCAAATATTTAATGCTACCTACATTTTAGTATAGTTTAGCCACTAAGTCCATAACTGATGTGGCGAAACAGGAAGAAGGAGTCATCCCATATAATGTAATGCGGTAATTGTTTCCTATTAAAAACCAGATTAAAAATTATTTAAACTCTGTTAGAGTAGATAACCTCAATGTTAAAAATATTAAATCTTTTTATTGTTGACAGTCTATTGAAATTTGCTAGTCTACTAATAAAACTTGATGACCGATGTCTTTTTCCTATTGTATATTATTTTATTAAGCTTTCTCCAACATGGTAGCAGAGCGTGGTTCCGATCCACGGACCTCGAAACTCAAATTCCAATTATATATACAAAATTGTTATTAAAATATAAAATTATTAAATAACTTTATGATTAGTCGATTAGAATTATTTTGTTTAATTCCGCTGCCATTTGTATGCGTGCGACTATTAACATTTGAGAATTAACTACTATTATTTTATTAGTAGAAGATCTACAATTTTCCATATTAGTCATCAATCGCCGACCGTTATTCAGTCCACGCACATGTTGCAACATGGCAGCCGAATAAAACAAAATAATTCTTATCAACTACCTATAAAATGTCTTCTGCAAAATAAACGCTAGTTTAATAAAATAATTTTATATTTTATTTATATATATTTTAATATGTTATAGTAGATTCTATTGGAATTGGAGTTTGAATGTAGTGTACATTTTCTCATTTTCCAGGCGAGCGATGATGGAACAGTATTCTCAGAGCCATGGGATAGTTCCCAGTGGGACGGTCTCATACCACCGTCTAACAGACAACCACCATACGAAGCAGTAAGTTTAATAACATAATTAATTTTTAATGCATAAAAATCCCTATTCGTACTGTTCACGCTAATCTCCGAAACAACTTAACCGACTTTAATGTTTACAAATACGTATGTTATATATGTATATTAGGTATGTAATAAGAGAGAATTCGATTAATAATAATGTAAACTAGTGAGTTATTGATATACGCTGGCGGGACATAAGAATAAAACCAGGCCCTCTAGACAAGTGGCAAGCAAATTCGACGATAGAATCAACATCGCTAGCTAGTCCGTGAGTTGGAATGAGTCATCCGGCGTTGCTATTTCATTCTATCTCACAGACTCGCTAGCGATGTCGATTTTCTAGAGGGCCAGGTCAGTTAACCCAACGTGACGTATAATGATCACGGTGGTTAGCGACAGTAGAAAAAGTAATGACAATTTTTTTATGCAACTTCAATGTAATTTTTTTTTTATACAACTTGGAACGGCAAACCAGTTGACGGCCCACCTGATGGAAAGTGGTAACCGTCGCCTATAGACATGAGCAGTACCATGGACATAACAGAGTATACTGTTTCACCCACGATATCCCCCACGCGTTGCCATTCCTGAGGACTTGGGTGTTATTTCTCTGTACCCAGTAAATTCACGCCATATCCCACCCTTCAAATCGAAACACAGCCATGCAAACACAACTGCTTTACGGTTGATACACGAATGGAACAGAGGTACCCAATCAATCGACTTTTGTACAAAGTCTCCTGCAATAAAGCATGTATATATATGAACATTGCTGACAGCGTTATTTTGTTTATCCACAGGAGGAACCCAGTGAATGGGAGTCACCTTTACCAAGAAGGGGTCCGACTATTACCAACCGTGCCAAAAGCTTCCGAGATCGACTGGATCCTTTACTTGGTAAGTATTGTGATATTAAAAGAAAAAAATAAAACCTTATTTCGTGAATGAATATGAAACAGTGACCCCGCCTACGCTATCGGTATGCACTGGCGAAGTACCAGTGAAGATTAATAGGTGAGGATGAAATAGGTCTGTTAGCTCATCGTGATGAATTTAACAATAATTAACTTTTTTTATACAACTTAGAATGGCAAACAAGCTGACGGCCCACCTGATGGAAAGTGCTAACCGTCATGTGCGGTACCATGGACATAAAGTATGTTGTTTCGCCCATGATACCCCCCTCATGCGTTGCCATTCCTGAGGACTCAAATGTTATTCCTCTGTACTCTGTAATTTCACGCCATATCGCACTCTTCAAACCGAAACACAGCCTTGCCAACACAACTGCTTTACGCTTGAAACACGATAGGTTATAAATATTTTAATAAATTTTGCATACCAGTATTTTGGTGAAACATGTAACTCGAAGTGTACACAACTGGATATCTAATGTAACCATATTCAATGCAAATAAATAATCTTATTCTGAATCAAACTTAGAAAATAGAGTGAAAAAAATAGGGCAAACACTTCTATAGCTGAAATAGATATGTACCTATTTTAGCTATTAGAGTAAAAACGCTAAACTTTATTTATTCTTTATTGTACACAAAAAATTACAACATATAATATATATAAAATAAAGATGTACAACAGGCGAGCTTAACTCTGTAAGAGTTCTCTTCCAGCAAACCCTGAGTGGAAAGGAGCATTAATTATTAGCGGGCAGTATGCGTACAATAATAGGAGGAAACTTTATAGATGTTTCTATTAAAAAATAATAAATATGTTGACATATAAAAGTAACTCGTACAATTAAAATCAAAATAAATACATATCTGTATACAATAATACATATACATATATACATAGACATAAAATACGTCTTTACATACAAAATACGTACATATACATACATAGACATAATAAGTTTATGAGGACAGAAGAAGCTCTTTTAATCTGCTCTTGAATATATTCAACGATTGACTTTATATATTGTTTGGCGTTTTTATCAATAAGACTGTCATTCTTTTTTCTGTCATTATTTGTATTTCACTATTTATCTATTATCTCCTATATAAAAAGGAAGATTTGAGTTCAAAGTTCTTGTATATATTTGTTAATGATTTGTGACAATTAAGACAGCATCCTGTAAATTTATCAACTTAACTGTTTTGTGCCTTATAAAAAAAGAACACAATAGTTACTGAATTATTACGGACTGAAAACTAAACTGGACTTTTTGTGCGAAAAGTATCAAAATTGGCGACAATACTGTAGAATATAAAGAAAATATATCATCATCATTTCAGTTATTAACTTTCCACTGCTGAAAATAAACCTAGTAGTAAACATAGTGGCAGTTTTGCCAGTAGTTTTTATTTTGTATGCATCTCTATATCTGTTATTATTTGTGTGCTGTAAGTAATGCAAATTTTTTTTTTAACACAACTTAGAATGGCAAACAATCTGACGGCTCATTTGATGGAAAGTGGTAACCGTCGCCTATAGACATGAGCAGTACCATGGACATAACAGAGTATACTGTTTCGCCCATGATACCCCCCATGCTTTGTCATTCCTGAGGACTCAGATGTTATCCCTCTGTACCCTGTAAATTCACGCCTTATCCCATCCTTATCTATCTTTTAAATTCATGATTTGACAGAACATTATATAACTATTAGTAGTTATCAAATAATTGTAATGTTTGTAATAGTTAATGATGTAATTTTTAATATATTAGTCAGCAGGTAATGTGAACTAATTAATATTTAATCATGTAATAAATTAATAATAAATTAACCTATTCATTAAATGAACTAATTATCGCTTAAAATTATGTAATTTAAAACTGGTTGGATTAATCAGTCGATCGCCGCATGGATTTATTGACTTGATATTAGGAACGTTTGAATTTCTTTTTATTTCTATAACTTTTGTCTAAAGTTTAAATCTGTACCTTCTGTACCATGTCGGGGTAGAATAGTTACCAGTTATCACTTCAGATGCTATGCTTTGTCAGTAATAACCATGCTTGGCAGGCGGGTTGGCAACCGCGATTGTTTGAATAATGTTTTAAGAGGGACACTGTTGCCCATTCCTCCACAATTCAGTTTCCTTAGTCGCTTTTTATGACACCCACAGAAAAAAAAATGGGTGGTCCATTCTATGCTGGGACCATACGGCAACTGCTATGCTTGCTTAATTGTATTTTGATTGCATGTGGCAGTGAATTTACAGGTTATGGTAACATAACACCACTTTTTTAGGTTATGGCAATGCATGAGGAATATAAGTGCAGTTCATATTCATAAACGACTTTTACCACTTTTTATTAAAAAAAACCACATGAAGTTACTTATTAAAAACCAAACAAAAGAACACCAATTTCAAACATTCCGTTTCCAAATTTACGCAAGCGTATTTCGAACTCGGAACCGCATTTAGCGTAATCATGTGTCTACAACTGCATCACTGGGTTCGTTACACTTTAGCTTGTGATAAAAATGATACACGTGCCATTAGGATGATCAAACAGTTGTATTTACCCAACTTTATATAAATCGTATAATGTGTTTACAAATGCTTATACTGCGCATTAGAATATTGTAAACAAATCCAGTTACAAAGGTACTATGATAACATAGATGTGTAATGAATAGATATTTGTTTTAATTTTATAATTTATTTATTTATTTATTTATTCATAGGAAAACCAGGGCTACACTAGAGCTAAAAGATACAGTTTAGGATCACAAAATAAGCCACTAATAGGTTTTCACTAGTAGCAACAATATAGATACAAGGCGCTGTACACAAAGCAACAAAAATAGGAATTAACAAAAAAAAAATGAAAAAACAAGAACGAAAAAAAAAAATGATGAATAAAATACAAAATAAAAATTAATTACAAGTATTTGATTAAAATATGGCCTTCTTGTCCATACAATAGTTATTCAAATTGACTATGAATAAAAATTATTGCTAGTTTTTATCTACGACTTCGTTCGTATGATCGGAATTGATTGGAATCAGTATCAGTAACCATATCACGTTTTCATTCAAGTCCATACATACATACATATACATACATATCTGTCACGCCTGTCTCCCATTAGGGTAGCAGAAACAATGGAACGCCAAATGCTTCGATTCAAACAAACCTCTTTTCTTTTTCCACATTCATCGATCTTTTCATACACGCTCGCCGGTTACGGGTACTTCTAATTTGGCCCTTCTTCAGCACATCGCCTATTTGGTCGACATAAGTCCATCTAGGGCGGCTCCTACCGACATTTCCATTCATTCTTGCTTGAAAGAATGAATTACGAAAGAGATGATAAATCTCTTCTTTCATCCATCTTCTCCAAATGGCCAAAATTCATAATTTTAATATTTTGTCTTGATTAATCTATATAGGTTACCATATCGTCTTGGCATTAAATGGCCCATCCCAAACTTTCCCATGGATATCGTAAAAGGTAATTACTGGCAAAACCCTTCCTTATGGGGGACGATTATGTATCTATATAGGTACGACTATTCTATCTGTACAATATGAAGTTTCTTTCTCTCTTTCTTCATCGTCCATCTGGGATATAAAAAAAAAATGGCATTATTTTAAATTATAATATGTTTATGTATACTTTATTGTACACAAAAATTACAAACATATAAATTATATTAAATAAAGATGTACAACAGGCGAGTTTAACTCTGTAAGAGTTCCAGAAAACCCTGAATGGTAAGGAGCATTAATTACAAACAAGCAGTGTGCAATAAGAGGTAGAAACTAGTACTCTAGACTCGGCCTAGTATAGGAATCAATAAACTTTGTGCTTATTAAAACATACTTTGGTAATAAATATATTTTTACTTATTTTTTAAACAGTATAGTCGTTTCAATTAAAAAAGAAAAGATTAAATATTAATTATATGTATATCTAGTACTTGTTATCTAAAATACAGTAGTACCTATTTATAATTCACAAACTTGATTAATTTAAACGCTTTATCTGTTATCATATAATATGCATTTCATTGTTTTAGTTCTAGCCCAGTTGTACCCTAGATATAGATTCGATTATATTACGGATGTTAGAACATGCTTTAAACGTTTATCATATTAATTAACATGGTACGTACCACAATGGGACCGCGGCGGTCGTTATCCGTTATATCGTTATTAGCAAATAAATTAATTATATATAAAGGTTAAAGATCGACGCGTGCCGCTAATTTCTTACCATTCACATCACTTCTAACGTCAGTTGTCTCCCGTTGACGGACGGAGCATAACGTGTTCCGTGTGAATGAGAAACTATCGCTTCAAATCATTCTTAGTAGCGGGCAAAAACCGCCGTGTGATCAATCATGAAATGGTTCATAAAATTGTTCCTCGAAAAATCAGAGAGGGCCTACGAGTGGCCCGTTGAAAAGAAACGTGGCTGGGAAGAAAGACTCTATAAAAACTACGAGGAAGAGGAAGCAGAGGAAGCCCAAGAATCGTTTGAATCGTCCCACCTGATCCCGAAGCCGCCAGAGGTATACGCCTTGAGCACAGTCAGGAACTTTCGTGGTGATACACTAGAACATTTCGTGCTTGAAAGTGATTGGATGTTCCTCACCAGAGAACAGTTAATGGAACCGAAGTTTTTAAATAAATTGGCCAACACAGATGAGATTACCACTATATGCAACAGTTTAACAATAAGAGGCAAAGGCAGTAGAAAACTGGTAACTGTGATCGCCAAGTCTCCCACGTGCCACTGTGATGCTTTGGAAGAAAGCATCGACGATCAAGAAGTGGTAAAACCACCGCCGCCTCTCCGTAGACTAGTCGAAGCGATCTCCCAATTTTTCAGCCGCTTGTGCAAATCGTTTTGTGTGTGCATATCATGCACGACAGATGACGATGACGGTGACGGTGACGGTGAAAATTCGGCATCGAATGAATTGGCTTTTAATACTTCTAACTTCACAAAAAATTATATAAGTAAGTACATTTTGTTTATTTTTTAAAGGTTGCAACGAAGATTACGCTGCAACTGAAAAGATTTAATCATCATCATATTGATGGGGTTGTACTCTTTGGGGTTTTGCCAGTAATTATCACGCTTGGCAGGCGGATTGGAAACAGCAGTTAGGGTTCGGAGATGTTTTAAGAGGGATGATGCTGCTCATCCCTCGTCCTTCCTTAATCCCCTCTTACGATAGCCATGGGAAAAAGAGTGGCCTATTCTATGCCGCGACCATATAGAACGAAACGAAAGAGTTTAGCTAGCAACACCATAAGATAATGGGATAGCGACGTCCAATGCCTTACTCCAACTTATAGACCATCTTTTAATAACGATTCCATCGATGAATTCGTTAGCCATTTGTCTAGTCTAGACGATCTGGGCTATTATGTGCACGTTGTCTGTTTTTTTCACCTATCGTTAATTTTTTTAAACTAACACGATATATCCTCTACATGATGTATTATATTTCACAAGATATTATTCTAATTTATTTAAGAATTTCCAGCTTCAATATTATTTTCTATAATTCGTTAAATATTTAAAAAAAAATTATATTTCTAATAGAAAACGAGATAAAAATATAAAGTCATATGTGCTTGTTGGTAATTATCTAATGTATGTTGAACAACAGATCTTATTGCAGTAAATATTAGATAATTCTTTACGTGACATTGCTACATGGAAGATTGGTATTTAACATTGTATTCTATTTATCTTATTATTTAATATTAGTTTAATGTTATTAACCTTCATATTTTTAATGGCAAATATTTGCTCCGCCATTGATACAGTATTATTTATCTCAAGTTTAAAGTATTAAGTTTATTTATAGATAAATAGTCTTCAGTTGTAACTATAGAAATTTGAAGTTGCTATCATGTTTTCCCGCGATTTTATCCATATGATCATACTTATCCCTTATTCATAGAAACGTTAAACCTCTCAGACAATAACCTATTTCAGCTATTGTTTTGTCCTTTTCTATTGCTTTAAATTCTCATTTTAAAAGAAAGTAACAAAACACTTGAATAGCTGTAATGTAATGTAAATAGGATTCTCTTTTTCGCCCTTAGCCTCTTATTTGGGCCGTTATGCGTAATTCACTTCAATAGCTAAAATAGTTTTTATTTTCTTTTTTTTTTTATGCCACTTAAAATGGCAAAGAAGTTGACTTTTGGTTTATTATTGGTATCTTATTGTAGTTTTTATGAACAAGAGGGTTAATTTATAATATCACATTTTACTGATGACGTTAGCTAAGCCTATAGAGCGCCAAAAAGGAAACAAATAAACTAACAGAGTCATTTTTAGTGGCGTAACAATAGGTCCTTTTGTTCGGGCTCCCGACCCAAAAGGACCCCGGCTGAAGAGGCGGCGAGCTCAGAACTTTTTTTTTTTTACATTGTACCTGAGTACTTTATTTTACTTGAAAAGTATTTTTTTTACTGATAGGGTCCCATCAAAAGAATTTGTCACAGGCCCCAAATGGTATAGTCACGCCACTGGTCACTTTCATATTTATTATAGAATGATAAATAAGTTTTAATGTATGATAAACATAGTTAAATATATAAAAAATCAAAAAGACTTAGTTTTTTTGGGAGAAATTTTAATTATTTCGTTTTTATAATACAGCCGCCGATAATTTTCTCTCCGTGATTTATTTCTTCTAATGTTTCCAATAAATTTTCTGCTAATCTTTTAGGTACAAGAAAGAGTATTAAGTAATATGTGATTTTTTCGGTTGTCCACAGCGGCGGGACGAGTGCGGGCGCTGCGGGGTGGTCGCGGCGTGCGCGGGGCGGGGGCTGGAATCCGCGCGTACGCACTACACCTCGCCCAAGACAAGAGTACCGTCTTTGCGCAGAATATTGACAACTTCATCGCTTGCACACTCGACTCCAAAGAGACTGAACCGAAGGTGAGAACGACTAAGAATCTTCACTATTGGATACATAATTTTTACCATTAATATATCTTTTAAAAAGTTTAGAGAAAAAAAAATATTGAAAATGGAACGAAAAGGTAGTAGTGTCACAGGCTTTTCTGTCTGAAAAAAGTTCCTCTTTCAATAATAATAATAAATCCTGTTAGAAGATTATTAATAATAATACCCAATCCTACTATATTTTAAATTAGAATGATGTATCAGAATTCTAAATAAATTTGTTTGCATTAAAATTATTGACAGAGTTATCAATGAAATATTAAGTTTTAATTTTTAACTTTCGCCTTGTTAAGTTTATACATACTTTACATGTTTGTACATATTTTAAATACATTATCGGGACATATGGCTATAAAATAAAATATAAGTAAATAGTAGCTACATACGACAGTCCTGTCGTGACCACGCCATGGTTCAATCCACGTTAAAATGTCAACAAAAGAATCAGGTATGTAGATCACCAAGCGATGGACTGACCTCATCAAAACGGCCACACAGCTGTCTATTGTGAAATGCTCTCGCTTGGCTGTGAGCAGACATAGATGGAGACGTATTGCGAGGACCTCAGTCCCGAAGGAGAGTCTCATCAACGATTCACTGTCATCATAAAAACCACAACCACTCTGTCAAGAGTGTACAATTGAAGAGAGATGTAGGTACTATTTACCTACCAAAAATTTTCCATCGCGTTAACTCCCGACAGTGCATTTAAAATTATTCCTTTTATTATTTCTACAGGTAATGATGAGCAATATGAGACAGTTTATGTCCGGAATGAAAAACTATCTCGTCAAGCACGGCGAGAGAGAGTTTAATAAGGAAGTCGAGAAGGAGAGGCTCAAGGTGAGAAAATTATAAATTAATAATAATTATAAAGGCCAAATTGCCATGTGGTCCTGACATAAAATAGGCGGCCCCTTTCCCGTGGGTGTCGTAAGGGGTGACGAAGGGAGGGCAAGGAATGAGCAGCAGCATCCCTCCTAAAACATCTCCAAAGCATAACTACGGTTACCAATCCGCCTGCCAATCTTGGCAACTAGTGTCAAAACCTTGTCTCCCCCTCCTTTCAAGGAGCTTTATGTTCAGCAGTCGACAGTTAAAGGCCGATATGATGATTATGATATAGGCCAAATAGCCTTAATTTGATGTCTTTTTAGTGGACGTAATTCAGTGTACGACGACCAGCGACTAGATGGCGTGAGGACCTCAAATGCATTGTACGGAGTCAGTGTATGCAGGTGGTTCAGGACCGTTCCTTGAGGCAGTCTATGGGAAAGGCTTATATTCTGCAATGGGCAAATAACAGCTGATTTGATGATGAACGTAACATTCGATACACAGGTTTTACTGTTTTGTTCTAAAAAAAAAAAAGGCACGGTTGAACTTACCTCTTGTATTAATTTGAATTTTATGTATGTTGAAATCCTATTATTATAATAAATGCAGACATTGTTACCAATGGATGGATGTTCGTTACTTTTTCACACAAAAAACTACTGAACGGATTTAAATAGAAGTTGATGACGCGGGTAGGCTATATCCTAAATTAGTCCATAGGGTACTTTACTGATTCACGCGAGCAAACCCGTGGGTTACAGATAGTAATAAATATGGCGTAAATTATCCTTATTTCAAAATAACAGTAATAATTGGACAGCAGGCGGTTCGCGTATACTCAATGAAATTAACATCAAATTTAGTCCTTCGAGCCGGATTTTTGTTGATTCAAAATCAATTAAGTTCCTATTAAACGAGAAATATTTCAAAATTTGGAAATGAAACTAAGCGATATAATATTCATTTGAGCAGTTGAAACCTACGGAGTTCCTAAACCTGGACGCGATCCTGGAGGGCGTGATGTACCGCGTGGTAGTGCGGCCGCTGCGCGCGCGGCTGTACTCGCTGCTGGCGACCAAGTACGCGAGCGAAGTGCGCTGCATGCACGCCGCCAGCGAACGCGCGATGCACGCCACGCCGCTGCAGCTCGGCATCAAGGTACGCCCACCTCAAACTACTTCGAAATTTATTTGTTTATATAAAACCCAGGGCTACACTAGAATAAATAGGTATAGTTTAGGATTACAAACTAAGCCACTGACAGGTTTTCACACGAATGGGACAGAGGTGCCCAAGCTAACGAAACTTTTGTACAAAGTCGCTCTCTGTACACAAAGCAAAAACAAGAATTAACAGAAAAATTAAAAAATATATAAACAAAAAGATGAAATGGTAACTCCCGCTAATGTAACAGAAGGAGACTTTGTACAGAAGTCGTCTGCTTGGATATCACTGTACCATTCGTGTTTCTATCGTAAAACAGCTGTGCTTGCACAAGTGTGCTTGATGGATTTGAAGGGTGAAATATGGCAGTGAAATAACAGGGAATAGAGGCATAACACATTAGTCCTCAGGAATGAAGACTGACGTGGGCGTCACGGTAGACTTTATGCTGTTTTTGTATATAGATGATGGTCACCACTTTCCATCAGGTGAGCCGTCAGTTTGTTTGCTATTTTAAGTTATATAAAAAACTCAGTCTGCGGGATGCTGTCAAACACACTAGCTTTTGAGTAAGAATTAACTACGATGGTTTACAGAGGAGATCGCGTGGAGGTCGCCCTTACAGGATATATAGCTTTAGAGTCACTGACCTCATGACGTTTACCGTCAATAAGATAGATAGATAAACACCTTGAGTAATTTATTAAAAAAAAAATTATGATACACGTTTTGCAACACGTTTCTCTATCTATTCATAGGAAGCGACAAAAGTGCCACCACCGTCGGTGTTGTCAGTGATCTCAAAACACTTCGTCAAGATGCAAGAAGCCGACTCCCCGTTGGATAAACTCGAGAATCTTCTAGCTGCCATATCTGTTATGTTTAATTCGGTGGGTATATTTACTTATATTTACTAAATTGCATTTCATTTTACAAATACAAATACAAATACATGACGATAAAATTGGCGATTTAAATATAACAAATTCTGTTTAAATACTCGAATCCACGTTCTAAATTCAAATGTAATATATCTACAAAAGATGTGAGCCTCCCCCTCGTCATATTTTGGGATGTGTCGTAACTCTTGAGGACTATCGTGGGCGCAGATTCGCGGCGACCGTGCAGTGGGCGCGGACGACCTACTACCAGTGTTGGCGTGGACATTGGCGCGCTGCCGATTTATATGCGCCGAGCTGGAAGCAGAGTTGATGTCCAGGCTGCTGCCGGCCGCCGTGCTCGCCGGCGAGGGCGGATACTACCTCACCACGCTCTTTTCCGCCGTCGCAGTGCTTAAGAAGTTTGCGCCGCAACCGGCGCCCGACACCACCATGCCTGTGAGTTGCCTGTCTACCGCTTCCGTAATATTTCTTATAAATTTGTAATTTTTAAAATGCTTCTGGTCTTTTACCTTACCTAAATGAATCGGGCCTATCGTACTATAAACGTACACATAATATATTAAATAATTAAATTTATATATATATATAATATGTATATTTATTACATATTGTATACATGTATAATAAATAAATACATAAAGTATAAAACAATTAACTGTAATAGAAGATCAAATAGTAATCTATGACTCAAACAGAGTAATCAGGAAAATTTAGTTTAAGCGGAAAGTCATTTTTATAATAAATATGTGCACAATTTGTGTTCAAATGCCAGTTTTTTTTTTGAAGGATGAAAATGCTATGGTAACCCCGCCTGCGCTAACGTGATACGCTGGCGAAGCACCAGTGAAGGGTGATAGATGAGAATAAAAACAGGCCAGTTAGCCCATCATGATGATTTCATCAGGAATTAACCATGATAGTTTCCAGGGAGAACCGCGAGGAGGTCGACCTGGTTGGGTATTGTGCTAGCAATAGGATTCTCAGTCTCCATTACTAACAATCCTTTTCTGCCCTCAAATGCCAGTTTTCTTAGAGTAGATCATTATGTCAAGTGGGAGCGAGTAATATTTTTCAAAAAATTTTACTGAACTAGGTGTTATCTTGCGGAAGTCCATATAACTGGTTTTTCCATTAGAATTATTTTGTTAACATAAGTGATCAATCTTCGAGTGTTAGCAGTCACACACATACTAATGGTAGTGGAGTTAAACAAAAAAAAAGTTAATCAAATAATCAGTAATATTTTTGGATACTATACACCGATTTGGACCTTTTTTTTTAACGTGAGGAAATCTTCCAATGACCTTCCCAACTGCCGGAGGGAAGGCAGAGGGGGTGTGTGGGATTTTTACCCACTAAAACCTCACGACGTACCTCGAGGCGCATATGTCGGGTCCCCGGGCTCCCGAGTTGAAGACGACCGGAGCCCGACGCGACAGCGATTTGGAACTAGAGAAACTACGTAGATTGTTTACTAATATACCGTTCGATGGTGGATAGTGGTTGCGCGGCTCGGTGGAGGCGTGCGCGGCGGGCGGCGGCGCGGGCGGCGCGGTGGTGCGCGTGGCGCTGCCCGACGAGTGCCGCGGCTCCATCCGGCGCGTGGCGCTGCCGTGCCGGCCCGGCGCGCGCGCGCGCGACCTGTGCCGCGCGCTCGCGCACGCCGCCGCCATCACCAACCCGCAGGACTACGCGCTCTTCGCGCTCCACGACGGACACGGTGAGTACCGCACCAAGCATGGGACAAACTCATCTTTTTTTTTTTTTATACAACTTAGAATGGCAAACAAACTGACGGCTCACCTGATGGAAAGTGGTAACCGTCGCCTATAGACATGAGCAGTACCATGGACATAACAGAGTATACTGTTTCGCCCATGATACCCCCCATGCGATGCCATTCCTGAGACAACAGACAACACTCATTGTGGGTGCCTTAACTGGACATATGCCAATAAGGCATATATATACTCAAGATGGGTCTATCTTCGGACACACTGTGCAGACTGTGCGGGGAGAAATCGGAATCCATGGAACACTTGATGTGCAACTGTGATTCGTTAGCGAGCATGCGCATGAGGCTACTGGGAACGGCTTATCCATAGCCAGGGGACTACAGATATCTTAAACCGCGGGATATCGTCAAGGTAACACAAAGGATCTATGAAATGATGGTATAAGGCAGGGGGAAGCACAAAAGATCCCGATGGGTCGACGTGCAACAGCTTAGTTGACCCCATATGCGAATTAAGTACCACACGAACACTAATAAAATCGTCCGCATATGTTTCTGCGGTGAAGTAATGAAAAGTAGATAGATTTACATTTTTTATTAATCTATGCACCGCCATTTACTCTCTCTGTTTAGCGTAACGGTTGACTGGTAGAGAATGCCATCAGGCATTAAGTCCGCCCTGTAGACATTTGCTAATGTGTGCAAAAGTATAAATAAATAGGCAGATACTCTTTAATGTTTCCTCCAAAAGATTACAATAGTAAACTTATTATAAATATAAACAATTAAATAAATTATCACAATGAGAAAACAATGGGCGACCTTATCGCTAAAAGCGATCTCTTCCAGCCAACCTTTGGATGGAGAGAACTAATTATAAACAGTTTGATCTGAGGCACGAAGAAAATTCTATTATATTTAATTTAAAGTATGTTTCGTTTTGAAGGATGGTATAAGGACAATAAAATTATAGGGTAATTAATAATAGGCCTTAAGAATAGCAATGTGTGAGGGTCGGGCATGTCGTAATATATTTAATGCTATCATGCTACTTCCCATCAGGTTGACAGTTCTACTTGTTTGCCATTCTACGAATATATTTCATAAAAAAAAAAAACAAAAATGGTAACCCCGCCTGCGCTATCGGTGTACCCTGATAAGGCATTCGTTAAAGATGGACGGACGGCGATTGAGTCCAGGTAGCTCATCGTAACAAAGTCCTCAAAAATTGATCACGACGGATTCCAAGCGAGACCGTATGGTCAACGTAACATTGCTTGTCATACAGAGTGACTTTTACTATATCTTGAAAATGGTAACATATTGTACTCTTACTTTATTGCTACAGTGAAATATTCCATATATACGAATAGAGAGAGAGAAAAAATTACAGTAACATAAAATTAATCCGTAAATATAAATTAATTCCGTCTGAACTTCTTACGCGCCAGTACCGTCCAGTTTCTAAGCAAATATAGATAATTTATTACAACCAATTAATCCAGAACTAGAACGACTCGTGAACGGCGCCTCTATTACCTATTTATTTATTAAGTAAACATAGAATAGATAATATACCAGTTATTTAACGATTATCGTCTCCCGATTAATATTCGGTAACATAGCAAATAATACTCGTAATATGGAATAATGGACTTGGATTAATAAACTTTGAGTAATATATAGCAATATCTATATATTATAGTTATAATAACTATATATTGGCTAATACTATGAAATATCTGTTATTCCATATACGAGTGTAATATTGAAATAAAAACCCGATTGAAATTAAAACACATATTCGACCTATATGAGCTATGTCGAAACGGGCGATAATATCGTTATCCTTAGAAATCTACACTAATATTCGTATTATAAAGAGGAAAGATTTGTATTTTTGTGTGTATGTATATTTGTAATGGATAAACTCAAAAAACTGCGGAAACTATTGGTGATAGAACAAAAGTATGTTCTACAATATTGAAGAAAATATCAATAACTACAAAAAACTTTGCGATACTATATGTCCAACTGTTATTGTTATGTCACAATAATCACTTTTTAAAATGTTGTCAAAATATCCACCCGTGCGAAGCCGGGACAGGCCGCTAGTCCAATATATAGTTACAGTATCGGTGACGATATTACTTACGTCTACGTCGTAAACAATAAAAACATAGAGAAGTCAAAGAAAGATTTAAACATAGAAAAAATAATCATTTTAATGTTTAATTTATTAATTATAATATAACAAGGAACAAGGCCGTAGCAATAATAATTAAATTACCTTGTTCTATCTGACAAAGGAGCTAAGAATCTCCGGAACTGTACCGAAAAATAATGCGTCAAATTGTAAACAGTATGCAACGGTTCACAATCTTTCGACAGTTAACAATCTCGCGAGATAGATTGTTATCTAACGGTATTTACAATCTTTCGGTGACATATATAAGGCGAGTTTAGAAATTGGATAAAGTTACTGATGCAGAAACAAAGCTTTTGGCACTCCGTAATCGATTTTCTTGTTATCTCTCTGCCTTCAAATCATAGACAATGGATGTGCATACAAATACTTTGTTAATTCTAAAATCATTAGTATTGCATTTGATCGACATATAATATATAGCTAAATAAACAGTGGGATCTTAGACTAAAGGTAATACCAGAATGATAACAATTAGGATTTTTTTTCTTTTAATTTTGATATTTATACTTTATAGTTTAGAATTATTATTATTATCTACTTGTATGAAAACGTATATTACTTACTTTATTTTAATTGTTACAGAAACCATGTTGAACGAAAATGACTGTCCGCAAGAAGTGATGTCGGAGAAAATTGGACATAATTTCATACTAGCATACAAGAGAATAGATGCCAAAATCGCATGGCCCCAACAAGCGCTGCTCTCCTATCCTTAAACAAAAAAAATCTCAATAATCATTAAGTAGGCAAAATCTCTTTAAAAGTTTACAAAAACCTAATTTTTTACTATAACGAAACTTTACAAAAGGTTGTCGAATTGCATTCAGTGTTGTAATGTAATTTACACGTTTTGGAATATCACTACAAATTCTGTAACAGCAGAAATAGAAGTGGGCACGGAATACCATCACTGGAAAAAAAACTAAACAAATGGAAAATTATTTAATTTTAATAGCAAAATAATGACATTGGAAATACAAGCGACAAATACTGTCTCGAAAGTGTATTTTAGAAACATACATATAAAACAACACTGAAAAACATAGTTTTAATTACACTCTTTCATAGAAGTACAATTGGTAAAATACAGGAAGTACCTGTGAAATAGTGCAAGTGTTCTAAATAATAAACATTGATTCCAAATTCGACCAATTAAGAAAAATAAACAGTATTACAAATTAAACCATTACTTCTAAGAAATGGAGTGATTTTCTTAAATTCTGTATATCAGCATGAATGTTATTGGATTATAACGTACATATATAGCTTATATTTTTATCACACAAACAATAATAAAGTGATATTTTCTAAGATATTACCCAATTAATTAAATATGCTATTGTTCTCATAAGCTTACATTACCTATAAGTACATCGCTAAATAGGTAGGATTTTTAAAATGTCACTAATGTCTGACATATTACTACGTAGCTTTTTTACTCAATAATTAGTAAGTAATTTTGTATAACCTGACTGAACGCTTCAAGTGTCTACTGACACTGATATTGTACATTTTGTATGACGTGTGGTTTTAATTCGATTTTGTGTGATTCTTATACGCTAAATGGAAGATTTACAACTTACCGATTTTTATTGTTCCATATTATGTAGTCAACGGAGTAACACTTATCCAACTATCTTACAAAGGTAGTTTCTTCAAGTGTTTATTTAAATGTTCCTAAATTCGACGTGCACAGGACTCGCTAACTAAATTGTTATATATATTTTTTTCCTAATTTTAATATTTTCCCAAAATATTCTCTGCTGTTTTGTTTTAACTTTTAAAGTATTGGTATTTAGACTTTTTAATACTAACTTGTTTATGAACTGTGATGTAATTTGTATTAGTAATGTAAGGATTTGTATTGATTTTGTATATTCGTAGATACGTTTCAAAGGCGTTAATATAATTTATTTATATTTAATCATAAGAGAAATATAAACCGTGAAAGATAAAGAGAGTAATGAATAAATTGCAGCCTACTAAATAAAAAAAGTGTATTTTTATGCAATAATTTTAATACAAAAGTAACATCTAAAGCTGGCTTAACCTATAATTAACACACATATTTAAGGCTAAGCAGTTTATAACTTGGAATGAAGAGGAAAACAAGAAGAAAAACAAAATATGACCAATATTTTGTTTTCATTACACCGCTAGTTTTTAATTATTTTATTTACATAGAGAGATTAATAAAAAAATTAAACAATTTCAACTTATTGTTATTTTTATACAACGAAAACAGCTGATATTTATTCACTATTCTTAACAAATACTGTTTAGTTCTACCTTAACTACCACTAAACCAGCGTCAACGTGGGATATCTGTGTGGCATTTAAATTTAATAAAGCAGTATTACAACTTACATTAATTATTCATATTTATTTGAACAAAATTGATATGTCACAAATGAAGATGCCGTGGTATAAATTAAAATGCCACAAAAATAAAAAAAATGTGATCAACAGTCATTTAAAATACTACAGAATTTTTTTCAAGATTATCATTCATGAGATTACCACATAATTACAATTTATTTTAAATAACACAGGTATTCCATGAGATTAAAATTAATTTAAAATACCACAGATAATTCAGTGGTAATAATGTAACTGAATACTATTTTGAGTCTAGTTTGTGGTGTTACAAAGGTAGACTAAACACGAGCAGCGGTGAGCATACCGTTTGTATTTATTACAGTCTTGTATTTTAAAGTTAGTTATATAACACGTATATTGTGTTTTGATAACATTTTCAGTCATTTGTGAAAAGTAAAGGAATTTTTACCAAATCTAAAATGTATTTTAAATCTATTACCTTATACCTTTTTATTGGATTATTACAAAATATATATACAACTGTAGTATGTAATTCTTATAATTATCTTATAAGAAATATAATAATGTTCTGTAAGGACATAGAAATATAGGGGCATTATTAAATTAATTTTATTATATAAAAAAAATATATAAAATATTTTATATGTTACTGGGAGTAGGAAAGAAACCACCCTTTAATCTGCTAAAAGGTAATTATTACAAAGTACATTGTGGACAATTGTGAAACAATATTGCTGCTTCTTATCATATATCATATACATCTGAGTCCTCAGGAATGGCAACGCTTGGGGATTATCACGGGCGAAACAGTATACCCTGTTATGTCTATGGTACTGCTCATGTCTATAGGCGACGGTTACCACTTTCCATTAGGTGGGCCGTCAGCTTGTTTGCCATTCTAAGTTGAAATAAAAAAAGAGAACATTCTATCTCATGTTTTCTCATTCATACAGTTCATTAAGACTGATATAATTCTAAATAAATAAGCCTTATTCTGCACTGAAAAGACGTAGTTCCTGGCATAGAATAGGCCACCACTTCCTTTCTCGTAGATGTCGTAAAAGGCGATTAAGGGAGCTTATGGTGGAGAGATGGGCAGCAGCGGCCCTCTTCATATATCACCAAAAACCAAACTGTGGTTGCCAACCCGCCTGCCAGATGTGGCAACTACTGGCAAACCCCCCTTATGAGAGAGGCCATGTTCAGCAGTGGTTAACGACTGATACAGCTACACTAAAAATGAAATAAAAAAACTACGGCTGAAGCATAAGCTGAAGTCTAAAATAAATAAATTAAAAAAAAAAAAAACTAATGTGCATTTCAAAGTAAAACCATAACATTCATACCTTAGATTAGATTAAATTCATATAATTACCTAAGATTTCTTAACTGTGACTGCACCGCCAATGCCTGATACCGAATGCCGCGCTCAGCAGGGCAAGGCGCGCAGTTACGCTTACGCTCCCGTCACAGCCACTCACGATTAAGGGTCCCGAATGTTCCCGAAACTAGTCTAGCTTTCTCGCCCTAATTTTTTTTTACAACACAGGGGGCAAACGAGCATGCTGCTCACCTGATGGTAAGTGACCACCGCCGCCCATGATCACCCACAACACCAACGGCATTGCAGGTGTGCTTTTTAAAAGGCCGGCGCCTTCTAAAAAGGAATATGCTCTTTTGTTGAAGGTTACGAATTACTCGTAAATTATTACATTAGAAAATAGAAACATGTCTATACTTGTGAACACGTTATGAAAATTTAAGAAACCAGAGTATTAAAAGTTACGACGTAGTCTTTAATGGGTGATAATGAAATGGTAATCCCGCCTGCGCTTACGGTATACGCCGGCAGAGTAGCACTGAGCTGTGATAGGTGAGGATGAATTAAATAAAATTAAAAATTTTAAGTTATCCCCAAAACGCCTAAACAGATCTTCGTTAATTGTAGCTAAAAACTACACGTTAGCTTTTAAACAAAAGTCCGCATTATAATTGGTACATTCGTTTAGGAGCTACAATACTATATACATACTTTGTGTGTGTGGGTTAAGAAAAGTATGCAAATTTTTATCATATAAATGGAATAGAAAGATATTCAAATGAACTTAGATTTAAGCATTTTTGAATAGTCATTTTTCCATTACCGCCCATTCGGAACGCAATTTCAGCCAAGGCGAACTGCCAAGAAACTCGGCTGTTGCTTTTTTCAAAAAGTTTAACAATATAAATAATAAATTTGTGTGAATACAAACTACTAAGCAGCATACTACTAATAAAATTTTAAATATTAAGTAATCTTCATTTATAAATAGTAAACCTGCCTGCGCTATTGGTAAACGCTGACGGGATAACAAACATGAAGCTAGTCAGTCGGCTCATTGAGACGAGTTCTCCAGGTATTAACAACGATGATTTCCTGAGAGGATTTAGTGAAAATCGATCGTATAGGCTATACTATCAACAATGGGGGCCGCTAAACTCCATACTGTTAATTCTCTCTTTTTTTTTTACAACACAGGGGGCAAACGAGCATGCGGCTCACCTGATGGTAAGTGACTACCGCCGCCCATGGTCACCCACAACACCTACGGCATTGCAGGTGTGCTGCCGGCCTTTTAAAAAGGAATATGCTCTTTTCTTGAAGGTTATGTTGTCGTATCGGTTCGGAAATACTGCTGCTGGAAATTGATTCCAAAGAGTGGTTGTGCGTGGGAGAAAGTGTCTTGAAAAACGCACGGTGGAGGACCGCCACTCGTCCAGATGGTTAGAATGAAATTTTAGTTTATGGCGGGTTGTACAATGGTGAAAATTAGCAGCAGGTATCAATCCGAACAATTCTTCAGAGCACTCCCCGTGATAAATTCGGTAGAAGATGCATAGAGATGCAACATCTCTACGCAGTTTCAGTGGGTCGAGCCGGACAGTAAGACGCCAATCGTCAACAATTCGAGCTGCCCGACTTTGAATGCGGTCTAACGGAAGGAGTTGGTACTGTGGCGCTCCTGCCCACAGGTGAGAACAGTATTGCATGTGTGGCATTACTTGAGCTTTATACAGTTGTAGGCGGTGTTCCGGCGTGAAATACCGTCTCACCCTATTGAGCACCTTCAACTTTTTGGAAGCTATCTTAGCTTTTTCCTCCAGATGACCGCAAAACTAGACGTAGTGACGTCTAGTTTTATATATCGACGCCAAAAATCCCCAGACTCGACTTATTATCGAGGGAAGTGCCCTGAAAGTGAGGAGATACGACAAACGGCATCTTTTTTGCGGTGAACGCGCAGACTTGTCTTCTCTCTCCTAAATTCTAATAATCTCTGTTATAAGATCACATCACTAGTGTATACGGGACATCACTAGAGGTGGACACGGATTGGTTGATTAAATAGTATTGTATAATAATGGCTGTCTGAGTAATGAATAAAGCATCTGCAATATATAAATTAAACAATCTATTATTAAAAGACTAAAAACATATCAATATCAGCCGTCATATTGATCAAACTGTAACTAGGACGAGTAAACAATTACAGACGGGTCATTGTAAACCCGCGTGGTCTGTTACGTAAAACAAAAAAACAATTGCATCATTTAACCAAAGTTTAATGGTTATTTACACAATGCGTTAATCTGTTCCACTATTTATATTTACCAGGACGAAATATCTAATTAAATAATACATATTATTATGTACATATATACTTATTTGCTCATCGCATTTATAAAGGAACCTGTATACATATAAAAATGCAAGCTGATTACCAAAAGAAATTACCAATACCTTATTGGGATACACTGCATATAAATTATCCAGTAAAGAAGTTTCCGAACACCGAGGAGTCCAGAGAAACTACAGCACACCAATGGAAAGTACAGCCAGAAATTTTAAAATTTGGTGTAAGTAGATATATATATATCTTACTAATATAATAAAATTGTAACTAGAGGTTATATAAACAATATAAAATAATATCTATGTATAAACATGGGAGATGTTTAAGAAAATTTAATAGGAGGACTCTTAAGGTCTAAAACAATAATTTTTAGAAATTTTGTTGGTCAGTATGCACGTTTGTTCCGGCATCCCGCAAAGACACCTGCATTAAATTGGATAATTTTAAAATTTGGTTTAAGTCTTGTCTTGTCATTGTCTTACTAATATGACAAAATTGTGACTAGACGATGTCTGTACATGGGAGATATTTAAGAAAATTTAATGGGAGGAGTCTTAATAAGGTCAAAACAATAATTTTTTTGAAAATTTGTTTGGTCAGTATGCATGTTTGTTCCGGGATCCGCAAAAACCACTGCACCAAATTGGACGCAGTTCTCACAGTTGTACTCCTGAAGGTATAACTTCAAATTTGGTGTATATTTCATCTTGATACATAATTTAGAAGTGATCTTTTCCATTGATTCTTGTACTTCCGAAATCCACTGGTTACCATTTCATTATCAATCATAAAAAAAATCTCATCAATGTAAATGAAGATTATTTCTATTTATTCTATCTGTTCTTTAACGAAAGGTTGTCTGTAAGAGATTTCCCTAGTGATAAGACCGCCTTTTGCACCTTTATTTACTATATATACTTTAATCTGTAATTTATTTTACTGTATTTCACTTGCATTGTTCAATTGTCATTGTATATTTTTATGTATATTAAAGTATCTCAGAACAGAGAAAAGAACTATTACTTATTTTGTTTTTATGTATTAGGAATACATCTAAAGTCTAAAAGTACCTTATATTGTAGACTATGCTCATTCTAAATGCTAACCAATTTATTTAAAACAGCGGGAACCAATCGAAGAAATAAAAGAATATTTTCGTAACTACAATATCACTAAGGGGTATACGAAATCACAAACATCTAAAGATTATCAACACAAAGAACCAGAATCAGTCAGGTTCAACAAACACACGTCTTGCATAGAGAATGAATATATTTATCCACTATCCAGAAAGGTAAGTATATTTTACTTTACTACTGTTCCAAATAAATACGACATTTTCATTTGTTATCTGGATTAAACAAATAATGCAAATACAAACAAATATTGCATCAGCCAAATTAAAGGAATATTTCGGTGATTTATTTGTAACACTTGTTATATATTAATGTTCAAACATATACTGTAAATGTTATTAAAGTGTTATACTCTTAATATAATTAATACAAACAAAAATTATCACTTGGTACCACAATAAAAGATAGTTATAATAAGTCTACAAAATCACGTTAAACCGTCTAATCTTTAAAATATCTTGGACACCGTAGATATAAGGATTTTCTGTCTTGAAAGAAGACAAAAAATGTACACCTTAGAGCATAACGTAGAACCCCAGCTAATTTAAAAGTTTGTTATTCTTGTTTAGAAAAAGTCGTCAAAAAAATTAAGAAAATTATCCGAATACTAATAATAATGCAATTACCTATTAGCAATTATTTTTCATTGAATTTTTGAATTTACTAGTAGAAATAGACCTGCGTATGAACTAATAAGTAATCAATAGGATTAACTTAAGATTTTTTTTATACAACTTAGAATGGCAAACAAGCTGACGGTCCGCCTGATGGAAAGTGGTAACCGTCGCCTATAGACATGAGCAGTATGATGGACATAACAGAGTATACTGTTTCGCCCATGACACCCCCCATGCGTTGCCATTCCTGAGGACTCAGGTGTTATTCCTCTGTACCCAGTAAATTCACGCCAGTTGTTATAAAAGAATGTGTACTTACAAAATTTTTAACAACAAAATTAAAAAACAATAATGTACATATTATATAAAAATCAAATTCTTTAGGGGGATCAGTTTAATAAAACCTGTTAATAAATTTCATCTCAGATCGAAGACAGACCACCATTACGATCAGCTCATGCAACTACAGAAATGAGAAGATCATATACGCTGCCGAAAATTGCACCAAGGCTGATAACTGATAAAGATCAATATAAGCATCCAGCTTGCATGCCCGAAGCGGTAAGATTTAAATATGGAATTTAAGAATTATAACCCCAGTGGTATAAAAAAATATGTAAAAGAATTCTAGTAAGTAATTCTTTTTTCAATAAAATCAAATCATTAGAACCTGTGATGGGACAGAAGGAATATCTGCAATATGTTAAAATTGCTTTTATCCCAACAAATAAGAAGCGTCTAAGGGAATTCTTCACGAAACCTGTATGTCTAGCATGGTAATATGATATTTAACTTGTAAGAAATGATCAGCAAGTAGCCAAATCTATAATATTATAAAGAGTTAAATTTGTGAGTTTGGATGTTCGGGGTCCGGCACTACCGATCCGATTTAAAATTTGTTGTTACTATTAGAAAGGTAACAAGCATTATGTAAACTAACTAAAAAAATATATTTTGAGACTGTAAACAATAGTTCCAATTCAAACAACTCTTTTAGTTAATGCCAGAGCCCAGTTGGCATAAAGAGTTAGAACCGTTGGACACAACACATGATGGTTACGAGAAATACCTCGATCCATATCTAACTACGAGCAGGTTGCATCATAGACCCTATACTGCTGATCAGCTTAGCAGACTGTCCGCCTCGAAAGACGTCGTGACTTATTACACTCTAGGTGATACTACTTGGGTAAGCAAATTTTGTTTTTCCTTTAAAAAATCCCTGTAGATCTACGCAGAGCATCAAGTAAGGATATTTTTAAAATAAGACTTTAATTATTTGTCGAGTCAAAAAAACTAGCTCCAGTTACAGGTTACTCAATTGTTATTATATCTCATAATGCTTATCGTTGTTTTACTTTATGTATATATATGTATATATTTCATATGTATTAGTTTATCCATATATATTAAAAGTAATGTGTGTGTATATATATATATATATATATATATATATATATATATATATATATATATATATATATATATATTATATGTGCATTTCTTATGTGTATATTATATTTATATTGTGTATTGCCTTAATGTGTTACTATAATTGTCACATATTTTTCACCACATCTGCCCTTCATACGCTTTTTGTTTTTACCCAATGGTTAGCTGGTAGAGAATGCCATATGGCATTAAGCTCGCCATTTATACAAAATTTTATTGTGCAATAAAGAATAAATAAATAAAAATAGATTAATTCTACTTATTGTTTCCACCGCTGTGTGCTACCGGAATAGAATGAGCCATCCTTTTTTTTCCCATTAATGTTGTAAAAGGGCGACTAAGGGATTTTTAATGGTCGAGAGATGAGCAGCAGCGTACCTGTTAAAATAACACCAAAGTATAACTACGGTTGCCAAACCTCAGTCCAAAGAATGGTAAACTCCAATGGGCCGTCTATGGGGAAGGCCATTGTTCAGTAATGGACAGTTAATGGCTGATATGATGACGATGATGATGATTGTTCCATTAAAAGATTATGGCAGTAAACTTTGCAGAAAGAAAAATTACAAGGAAAAAATCACAATTAGATAAAATTCAAACTAAATATTCGAAGGATATCTAGTAAGTTATGAGTTTACATGAGATTCAATAAAGTAGAAATTAAGAAGTACAACTTAGTTTGTTATTAGTCACATTAAATAACTCGAGAATACGAATTGAATCAAATATGAATTAACTATTTCCTTCTGACAGCTTGCTGAAAATGTTTTTTTTTTACAACACAGGGGGCAAACGAGCATGCGGCTCACCTGATGGTAAATGACCATCGCCACAAATGATCACCCACAACACCAACGGCATTGCAGGTGTGCTGCCGGCCTTTGGTGTTCCCAAATTAAACGATTCGTCACCAAATTTCCGATGATACACTCGACTGCTGATCAAACACTATCTAGGAGGAAAGGGGATTGTTAGTAATGAAATCTAAGTGCCTCATTGTTAGCAATACACCATATCAGATCGATTTCCATGCGGTTCCTCTTGGAAACCATCGTGGTTAATTCTATAAAATTCATCACGATGGGCTAACTGACCTGCTTTCATCGTCACCTGTCATCCCTTACTGGTGCTACGCCAACGTCTACCGATAGCATAAGCGGGGTTACTATTTCATTATCACTTATAAAAAAAGAAACATTTATCTGAACCTAATTCTAAATTTAAGTATGTTCAGACATATTTTTTTAATTGACCATAATTGCAGACATGAGAATTTAGAGTAATTAAAGTTGCTGACACTAAATCTGATTGGTAACTATAAACAAAATTATTTGGTACATTAAAATTTTTTCATTGTTAATAAACGATTTTTAATGTTTATTTTATTATTTATTAAAATGTTATAGTAATTAAAAAACCTTTTTCTTTATTAACAGACTAGAACTCCTAAACCTAAAATCGAAGACTGGCGATTACCACTTCGAAGACCAAAGTCCATGTACGACAGAGAGAAATTCAAAGAAGACTTCAGCGAAATACGAACACACAATCAACTAGAATGGGTTCCAAGGTAATAACACCAAATCACTGATTGACAGTGCATTTGGAGAGACAAACTTCCTTCTTATTTTTATGGTTGTATAATGCAAAAAATAACCTTACGACTAGGGGTATAATATATAGGAATATCTATATATTTCAGATTACAATATATATAAATCGAACCGATACCGAATCAATTGTTTTATGTATTTGAGTTCCTCTGGACATTGAAGACGAAAAAAGGTCATTACCTATTTCGACATCGCCCATATTAGTCGAATACCTATTTTCGAATACGTTAAAAGTCAATCCAATATTATTCCTTGGATAACAGATTTTTAAGATATTCGTTATTGCACCAGTATATACATCTTGTATCTAAAATATATAGATATTGTTGTATTAATCTATAATAGATTTTATTTAATTCCAGAACATTCCGAACTGAAGTTCGTGACAACTATGTCCCGCAGTCATTGAACATCGAAAACTTGGATGAGCAAGTCCGAACTTACTATAAAAGACGCATTGCCAAATTGCCAACCAGAGTACAACATGAACAGACAACAATACAAGATGCGTACAAAACGGAATATACTCAAATTGGATCTGACAAACCTATATGTAGTATCTTTGATCCATATATTGAGAGAAATAAAAGGTTGCAAGCTAAAATAGATGTAAACGAAGTTGAAGTGCTTACTTAAAAGTTAAAGAAATACTACTATACACGTTTAAATTTAAATTAAATGACAGAGAGACAGAGAGACAGAGAGAGACAGAGAGAGACAGAGAGAGACAGAGAGAGACAGAGAGAGACAGAGAGAGACAGAGAGACAGAGAGAGACAGAGAGAGACAGAGAGAGACAGAGAGAGACAGAGAGAGACAGAGAGAGACAGAGAGAGACAGAGAGAGACAGAGAGAGACAGAGAGAGACAGAGAGAGACAGAGAGAGACAGAGAGAGACAGAGAGAGACAGAGAGAGACAGAGAGAGACAGAGAGAGACAGAGAGAGACAGAGAGAGACAGAGAGAGACAGAGAGACAGAGAGACAGACAGAGACAGACAGAGAGACAGAGAGACAGAGAGAGAGAGAGACAGAGAGACAGAGAGACAGAGAGACAGAGAGACAGAGAGACAGAGAGACAGAGAGACAGAGAGACAGAGAGACAGAGAGACAGAGAGACAGAGAGACAGAGAGACAGAGAGACAGAGAGACAGAGAGAGAGACAGACAGAGAGACAGAGAGACAGAGAGACAGAGAGACAGAGAGACAGAGAGAGAGAGAGACAGAGAGAGAGAGAGACAGAGAGACAGAGAGAGAGAGAGACAGAGAGACAGAGAGACAGAGAGACAGAGAGACAGAGAGAGAGAGAGACAGAGAGAGAGAGAGACAGAGAGACAGAGAGACAGAGAGACAGAGAGACAGAGAGACAGAGAGACAGAGAGACAGAGAGACAGAGAGACAGAGAGACAGAGAGACAGAGAGACAGAGAGACAGAGAGACAGAGAGACAGAGAGACAGAGAGACAGAGAGACAGAGAGACAGAGAGACAGAGAGACAGAGAGACAGAGAGACAGAGAGACAGAGAGACAGAGAGACAGAGAGACAGAGAGACAGAGAGACAGAGAGACAGACACAGAGAGACAGAGAGACAGAGAGACACAGAGACAGAGAGACAGAGAGACAGAGAGACAGAGAGACAGAGAGACAGAGAGACAGAGAGAGAGAGAGACAGAGAGACAGAGAGACAGAGAGACAGAGAGACAGAGAGACAGAGAGACAGAGAGACAGAGAGACAGAGAGACAGAGAGACAGAGAGACAGAGACAGAGACAGAGAGACAGAGAGAGACAGAGAGACAGAGAGACAGAGAGACAGAGAGACAGAGACAGAGAGACAGAGACAGATGTAAATTATATTTTCTTCAAAATAGTTGATATAATTATAATGTGAAAAGGGACCTAAATAGTGATAAAATCATATTATTAAAAGTTTTGTAATCTTCAAGAGTTCCGAATGCCGTCTTTTCGGCTCGCTTAGCTCAACAGCTCGCGCTCAATTCACAGTAGCTCATGACTAAGAATCACGAATTGATAACCGAAACTAGTCGAGCTATTCTAAAGTAAGAATCATTTAAGATACATAAAAAGGAAACGTAATGAATCTATAAACATATAGACATTGTGAAAAAAAAGAGAAAAAGAAATAAATGAGCTTTATTATTATAGTATGTGGAGGTTCTCATTTCGATTTTTTTTTATGTTTGATACAATCTTTATTACTTTTTTATGCCAAACACAAAAAAAAACACTCGGGTGTCAACAAGACACTTATATGAACAAAAAATGTTTACAAACAATACCAAACAAAATGTTCAGGAAAATTAAATGGAAATTATATATTTCTTCATAATATTATTTTTTACTTCATATATTATTTATCTGGTGAAACCATATTGGGTACTTATATTATCATTTGCTGTCATTTACGCGTTATACACTCAAATTTCTTTGATATTTTAAATTAAGGTATGTCTTCCAAAACACTTCTTTGAATTTGCCTTATTGAGTTTTGTGATGTAGCAGTTAAATACTTTGCCTCACCTTCCGAGGGTGACGAGTTCATCATCATATCAGCTAGCAACTGTCCTCTGCTAAATATAGGCCTCCCCCATAACGGGGGTTTTGCCAATAGTTACCACACTTCGCAAACGAATTGGCAACCGCAGTTGATATTTGGTGATGTTTAAGAGGAACAATGCCGCCTATCCCTCGACCATTAAGTTTCTTAAATCTCCTCTCAAACCCACGGGAAAGAAAGAGGTGGCCTATTCTATACCAGGACCACACGGCAACACAGTCACGAGTTCGCCACCCAAAAACTCAGACCTATGTTTTTTATGCAACTTGGAATGGGAAACAAGCTGACGGCTCACCTGATGGAAAATGGTAACTATCACCAATAGAAATTAGTTTATGTATTTAATGTAATCTAACAAATTATTAAATATTTTATAAAAATATTGCTTTCTTTCTTTCTTATCATCCAAATAACTTTTCACCATGCATAATTCATAAAATAGGCATAAACGGTATCGCAGGTATATATGATTGATAGATAGATGTATAAAAAGGCACGCAGTCAGGCTTGAGTTCGCGTCATAGTCGCTCGTGACTAAGAACCACGGATTGATTCAGAAACTAGTCGAATTCTTTCGATCTAATTGCACATAAGTTAAACCGGCTATTATTAAATTCAAATAAATAAAATGTTAATTCATTTACATTTCTTTGAATTAATTTATTAAATTCATTATTTAATCATTCTTTATCATCATTAACTAATTCTTGTACCTTTATTAATAAATTTCTTACTTCAACTACAAGTTCATGTGCCCCCCCCTCCCCCACTTTGTTTTAATCCGCGAATCAAATATCGCAACACCTGGCTCTAATGTAGTTATTACACCATAGACGTAGTATAACGTACCTCATGTACTGTGTTTACACAAATGTACTCTTAATAAACCGTGCAATATAAACACTCGTGCTATCCGCACGGATATTGTGAGGAATAGTTCAAAATGGTGCACGTGACATGTATTTTTGCATTAGTGTTTGTTCTAGTAGCAAATTGTGTTAGCTCGGATGTCCAATACAAGGTTAGTAGCTGTCAATTTCTTTTCCACTTTCCACCATAATCGAGTTTTTTTTTTTCCTTTCTTTATTCTTTATTGTGCACAAACAGTGATAGGAGTAATGTACAAAGGCGAGCTTATCTCTAATAAAAAGATTTACTAGATGAAATCTCTTATGTGAAATAAATATTATTAAGAAAAAACACTTTTTTTTAATGGGTAATAATGGAATGGCAACCCCGCCCGCGCTATCGGTATACGCTGACGGGACACCAGTGAGGAATGATAGGTGACGATGAAAGCAGAGATTTTTTTACATTTAACAAAATTTTCCAAATCTCTTTAGATTGACAATCAAAATATCTGTCATCATCATCATCATATCAGCCTTTAACTATCCACTGCTGAACATAAAACTCCACTTTGAGGGCTTATGCCAGTAGTCGCCACGCTTGGCAGGCGGATTGGGAATAGCAGTTAGGGTTTAGAAATGTTTTAAACGGGACGCTACTACCCATCCCTTGGCCTCCCTTAGTCGCCTCTTATGACACCACGGTAAAGGAAGGGGTGGCTCATTCTATGCCGGGACTACACAGCTTACGCAATTAATCTATATACAGGATTATATATGAAAATTACGTCGAATTACTAACAATTCCTTCCCCTCTCCCTGAGACAATAGTACCCAAGCAAACGACCTTTGTACAAAGTCTTCTGTTAATTTTATTTTATATTCAACGTTGTTCCTCTCGGTCGTCTAATATCTACAATATAATTATTATTATTACAGAGTGCAAATATTATATGTCATATATTATTATATGTAAGTTTCACGCTTATTTATTTAAATAATCAGAATGTCTAAATGACTGTGTTGACAAAGAACACGCCTCTGTAATCGAGGACAAAAGTGTATAGAAATGAACAAGCGTGATGAATCTCCAATCACACGCTTCTGAACTACAGTCACAAATACATACGAGCTATTTATCATTGAATAGGCAGTTAGCATAATGGACATATTACATCCTTGTAGCATAGGATATATTTAAAAATATTTTAAAACAAGTAACCAAGTTTTGGTTTCGTACGACTTTTTAGAATAAAATACAGCTCTTGTTTTTGTCTATTATTGATAATGCAATATTGTAATATTGGTAAAGAATTTTTAAAATTGATTAATTACATATTTTTTTGAGTTTATCCATTCGCATCATTCGTTAACTATCGATTGCTGAACATAGGCCTCTCACATAAGGGGAGAGTTTTACTAAAAGTTTTACTAGTTGTCTTTGTTTGGATGATAATGGAATGGTAACCCCACCTGCGCTAACGGAATACACTGGCGAGATACCGGTGAGGAATGATAGGTGAAAATGAAAAGGCAGGTCAGTTGGCCCATCGTGATGAATGCATCTGAAATTCAGCACGACGGTTTCCAGGGGGTTCACGTGGAAGTCGACCTAACATTGCTAGCAATGGGATTGGTAGTCCGCATTGCTGATAATCCCTCCCCCACCCCTAGTTTTATTAATAGTAGCCGGGTTGTTTTAAGAGAAACTCTGCTACCCATCCCTCAAGCGTTACGTTTTCATAATCACCTCTTGCGATACCCAGGGGAATAGAAAGGGTGACCCATTCTATGTCGGGACCTCACAACAATTTATATAAATATATGCAGATTTATATTACAATAAATTTATATAGAAATAAAAAAATCTAATAATTTTTATTCATAATATTAATTTAGATGACTCGCCTCACCTCGACTAGATGAGCGTCTGGGGTGTTTTTCTCTAGAAAACTGTTCGATTCTAGAATAAGGGCATACGGGTATGCGATCCCGGCCTCCCGAGCCGCTGCAGTGTCCCAGTCCTTTCCGCAACTGCAGTGTCTCCCCCCCCCCCCCTTTCCTTTCCCACATAAGTCCCTTATTCCTCTCATTTACCAATTTTCTTTACGCATTTCCAACCCTTCCTTTTTTCCTCAATCCTTTCCTCCATACCGTAGCTAGCGGAAACCACCAACAAATGCATTCCCAAAGAGGGTTGACATCAGGCAGGTGGCCGGTCGTAAAACTAAAAACCAAATCTTTTTGTAATCTGGATAACATCGTATTACGCCGACCCCAAATGATTGGGATAATGGTAGGAAGATGATGATTATTTTAAATGACTATGTATTTGATATGGTGAGACCATAAAAACAAAGAATCGTAAATAAAGTTAAAGAAAAAATATATTATGCTGACATATTTTAATCTATTAATTTTAATTATGCTTATTCTATCTGCCTACCTTGCACGAATTTTGGCGTGAAGGATATAGAAACAAAAATAGCGTATCGCACACCTGTTTGAGGTCATACTACTTGAAGTGGAGCGGTGAAAGTTGTCGCATACGTTATCCTAAGTACTGGTATTACTTGTATTGATCAGAACCTGATAACGGATTTGTTTTTATTTAGTAGCCTTGGTATGCCAATATCGAGTACCTTCAGAGGGGGAGGAGAAGGGATTGTTAGTACTGGAGATTGAGAATCCCATTGCTAGCAATATACCGAACCAGGTCGACTTCCTCGCGGTTCCCCCTGGAAAATATCATGGTTAATTCCTGATGAATTCATCATGATGGGCTAACTGGCCTGTTTTCATCCTCATCGATCACCCTTCACTAGTGCCCCGCCAGCGTATCTCGTTAGCGCAGGCGGGGTTACTATTCCATTTTCTACCAATAAAATAAGTACCTTCAGAGGGGGTGGGGGGGGAGAGATTGTTAGTGATGTGGACTATTAGGCCCATTATTAGCAATATACCCAGTCAGGTCGATCTCCATTTGATCTGAAGGAATGTATATGTGACGTCTGGTTTCAGCATAGAATGGGCCACCCCTTCCTTTCCCGTTGGAAAGTTTGATGCTTTATGTACTGTCATATTAGATAGTTCTTTTGGGCACGGTAGGATAAAACTCACTTGAAGTGAAATGAAAATTAACTTCAATTGAGTATATTTTAAAAGTGTTTAAAGGGAATAAATGTAATCAGAGCATCCTTTGACCATCAGGGAGACTTTGTACAAAAGTCGTTTGCTTGGGTACCTCTGTCCAATTCGTGTTTTTACCGTGAAGCAGTTATGTTTGCATGGCTGTGTTTCAGTTTCAAGGGTGGGATATGGCAGTGAATTTACAGGGTACAGAGGAATAACACCTGAGTCCTCAGGAATGGCAACGCTTGGCGGGTATCACGGGCGAAACAGTATACTCTGTTATGTCCATGGTACTGATCATGTCTATAGGCGAAGGTTACCACTTTCCATCAGGTGGGCCGTCAGCTTGTTTGCCATTATAAGTTGTATAAAAAAAAATTACTAGATATACCTTTTTTGATTCCAGCCATATTTGTCAGTGTACTATGAGAGCAAATGTCCAGATAGCAGAGCGTTTATACTTCAGCAACTTCAGCCAGCGTTAAAATTGCTGCATAAACATATCAAACTCAATTTCATACCATTCGGAAAGGCAAGGGTAAGTGCATACTTCAAATATAACAAGCAAATAAGCTGAATTTCTAAGGAAAATATTTCTTTAGATATGTTAGTACAGAATCTCTACAGTTTTTTTGCTATTTACAAATAAATAAATACCACTGGAGCTATTTATATATTTCCATCACTTAGTGACAGATGGATTAGTCCCAAACTAAGCGGAATTATTATTATCTAGAATAGGATAGAACAGGATAGAATAGAATAGGATAGAGTAATAGGATAGAGTAGGATAGAATAGAATAGAATAAAATAGAAGTACTTTTGTAAAATATACTTGTTTTCAAGCTATTTTTAAATGTTATTTTTTATAATTTGTGATTTACTGCTAGGTTCGGAATCTTGTTATTTGCTGAGAAGAACCTGCAAGAAACTCAACAGTTACACTTTTCATATTATTATGTGCTTAAAAGATAATTTTACATTTGTTTAAGTACTGTGACTATAATTAGAAGTAAATTCTATTTATAAATATTATTAAATAGGAAATAAACAGCAGTATCTATCTAGGATATATGTTGTTTACTTACATGACTTGTCTCGAAGAAATTATAATTCAACGGTTCAGTCGACCAATATCAGTTCCTGCAAATTGGCATATAAATACATTTCGTCGACAATAAAAGTCGATTGGTTGGGTACCTCTGTCCCATTCGTATTTTAACCGTGAAGCAGTTGTATTTGCATGGCTGTGTTTCGGTTTGAAGGGTGGGATATGGCGTGAATTTACAGGGTACAGAGAAATAACATCAGAGTCCTCAGGAATGGCAACGCATGGGGGGTATCATGGGCGAAACAGTATACTCTTTATTTCCATGGTACTGCTCATGTCTATAGGCGACGGTTACCACTTTCCATCAGGTGGGCCGTCAGCTTGTTTGCCATTCTAAGTTGTATAAAAAAATTCTTGATAACCTTATTATATTATCTGTCTTTCATATGGATTTTTTTTAATTTTTGAAAAATAAAAAATATTTATTGAGTACTTTACATAGAGTAATATACACTAAAAATTAAACCTACAGTAATAACAAAAAGAAATTTAATTAATTCACTAAAGTATAGAATTGAGAGTATATAAATTAATCCTAGTAAGTTTCAACATTTCTATTTTCTCTAGGATATAAATTACTCATACCTATATATATGAAATATTCCGTCGTGTGGTCCCATCATAGAAATTACCACCCCGTTCTTTACTGTGGGTGTCGTAAGAGGCGACTAAGGAAGCTCAATGATCGAAGGATGAACAGCAGTATCCCACTTAAAATAATTACCAAAACCTAACTGCGGTTGCCAACCTGCCTGCCAAGCGTGGCAACTTTGACTTTGTGCCCCACTGGGGGCAGTCTATGTTTAACAGTGACGATGACAATAATCTTATGGAATCTCATGTTTCAGAGTGTTAATAATGGACACGGATTCGAATGTCAACACGGTCCTGCTGAGTGTCTCGGGAACATAGTGCAGGAGTGCGCTTTGGACCTCATGACGGGCCGCACCGACCTTGAGAAAACTGCATACGTCGCTTGTGAAATGCGAACTCTAGCGGGAGCTCAGGGAAACCTTGAGGTAATATCTGTCTATGGATGTTGGTGGATGCGAATAGCCTATGACCAGTAAATAATAGATATAGCATAAAATGATGATGATTTAGATACATTAGATAGATTAGATTTTTATGATAAATCCTTTACTGTGAAAGCTGTTCACTTATGGAATAGTCTACTAACGAAATATACAATAGATATTTGCCTAGTTTTAAAACAAAAGGAACTCCTATGTGAGCAAGTATTCGTAATTTGTAGCACTGATTAACATATTTATCATTTTATTTTTTCCATTTTTGTAACTATCCATTGATTGTTTGTTTAAGTAATAAAAAAAATAAACTCAAAGATGTGAGCAAGTTGTCATATTCGTAATTTGTGTCTGATTAACATAATTACATTTTATTTTTTTTATTTTTGTAACTACTCGATTGTTTGTTTATAATGGAAAAAACTCAAAGACTAGAATCTAGACATGCGACGTCGGGCCGGATCCCTACTAATATATCTGTAGTGTTAGTATATTATATATGTATGTATAATTCAAGAAATAGTGGAATGTTTGCTTTCTACCTCGTACTCCGGTAACACTCAGTGAAAACTGGGAAAGTCGAATGTTATGTACTTACATACCACAACAGCAATGGTCGACTTTAATAATCCTGATCTACTTCTATATTATTTTTTTTATACAACTTAGAATGGCAAACAAGCTGACGGCCCACCTGATGGAAAGTGGTAAACGTCGCCTATAGACATGAGCAGTACCATGGACTTAACAGAGTATACTGTTCCATCCATGATACGCCCCATGCGTTGCCATTCCTGAGGACCCAGGTGTTATTCCTCTGTACCCTGTAAATTCACGCCATATCCCACCCTTTAAACCGAAACACAGCCACGCAAACAACTGCTTCACGGTAGAAACACGAATGTGACAGAGGTACACAAGCAATCGACTTTTGTACAAAGTCTCCCTCTGGTAAAGTATCTGTCTACCTATTTATGTTATCAATGTATTTACTTGAGATGCTTTCAGAATCCGTTTAAAAGTCACAGTTGTGCTTAATTTATTTTACAATTTTATTGCACATTTTTCCAGTGTGTGGAAAAAGCCCATTTGCCTGCCAACCTGGTGAACGAGTGCCTCTCATCAGGCAGGGGGACATCTCTACAGCTTCATTCCGAATACCTCACCAAAATAGTGAGACCTCAGTTCGTTCCTACAGTCACCATCGATGGAGTGAGTAATGTTTGTTTACATTAACTTGCAATAATTTTGAGATCATAAGCTTCATCTAATTCCACAATTAAGCTTATTCCACAGCCTAAAATACCCAAGTATATAAAGGAGAGGGGAAAGAGATTGTTTGTAATAGAGACTGAGAATCCCATTGCTAGCAATATACCCAACAACCAGGTCGACCTCCTCCCGGTTCTCCCTGGAAACTATCATGGTTAATTCCTGATGAATTCATCATGATGGGCTAACTGGCCTGTTTTCATTCTCATCTATCACCCTTCACTGGTGATCAGTCAGCGTATCCCGTTAGTGCAGGTGGGATTGCCATACCATTTTCACCCATCAAAAAAAACTATATAAAGGAATTGTCTGTAGGTCTAGCAACAGGTAGAATCAGTTTGTAACAGTCCCCCCCCCTACAGATTTTTTTGAAAAAAGAAAGGTTATTAACCTTTTAAAAACCCTAAACACATAATTAGATCATTATTGTGAACACTCGATCATTTGACCAAATTAATAAATGTGTGATCGTCTAGTAATGTAGGACCCGTTGTGTGTGTAATAACCAAGAGGTTCTTTAATTGGTATATGACAGGAGTTAATAATGAAGATGATTGATATCATTAAGGATTAAGAGTATTTAATGAGTTATACTCATTTTAATGGAACTAGAAGTTATGTTAATTTAATATTGAATTACAAAATAATTGTAAAATATAAATAGAGGAGTGGTAGAACCCCCCACACGCCCAGACCAGTGGAAGACTTTCCAACTATCTATAACTCTTCCTCCTGAGAAGACAGGGGTTTTGGAGAAGCATAATGCACTGGGTAAGGTAGGGAAGTAAAGAGTATTCTCAGTTCCAAACCAAAACAAAAGTACATTAGTACATCAACATTACAATGGCTCCACCAACCCCACAATGCTTCCAGTAGAAAAGTAGTTGTTTTGCCAATGGCAAGGAATCGAAACTGAAGTCCCAGGATCACTCAGACACGAGAGTTTACTTTGGATGCAACCCCTTTCGGTCCTATAAGGTGACATTAAGAGATCAACCCGTAGATACAGCACGTAGTCGAAACTGAAGTCCCAGCATCACTCGAGTCACGAGCTTACTTATGGGGGTTTCCCTTCGGCTCAAATGTGACAATGGAGATCAAACTGTGGAGACAGCCCGAGACGTGACTGAAATCACGAGATCACTCAGACACCAGAACTTATGGGAGATGCTCCGTTTCGGCTCTATAATGTGACATTAGAGATCAACCTGTGGAGACAGCCCGATTAATATGTAAAATAGTGTGATAGGGTTTACCTTCCACACCGTAAGATTGGCAAAGCCAATATAATGTTGATAGCTGCTATATGTAAACATAGCATATTTAATTTTGTATAATTTACTTAATACCAAGAATACTCGAGGATTAAGATAGGTTTTGTGAATGTTGAGTAGGCCGGAGCCAAGTATGAGTAAATCAACCCGTAGGAAGAGAGCTACTAAGAGTGTTTGTTGAATAGGCCGTAGCCAGGTATGAGTAGGTCAACCCGTAGGAAGAGAGCTACTAAGAGTTTGTTGATTAGGCCGTAGCTAGGTATGAGTCAACCCGTAGGAAGAGAGCTACTAAGAGAGTTTGTTGAACAGGCCGTAGCCAGGTATGAGTAGGTCAACCCGTAGGAAGAGAGCTACTAAGAGAGTTTGTTGAACAGGCCGTAGCCAGGTATGAGTAGGTCAACCCGTAGGAAGAGAGCTACTAAGAGTGTTCAGTAGGCCGAAGCCAAATTTTAATAAGAATGTATTTGTAATGTATTTGTATTTAATGTAGTATTTAAATAAATGTTACGTTAAAGATGGCTAAGTGAATAGTATACCGTAATAATGTTTTAAGTCTGCCTATTCAGATAATGATATTTTAAATAAATTAATCTACCTAGTAGTCAAGTAACAAATGAATACCACACAACTAATTAGAAACGGTTAAATTAGTATTTAAGATGCAGTGGTTAGATAAATTTACGTGCTAAAGTTTGCTTAGAATTCAGCTTATTTGGATAATGAACTGAAGGTGTCTAAGTAAAGAGATGTCAAGTCTACCTAATATTATAATAAACGCATAAATATAATGACCAAATAGAAAATAAATGAAATCCGTTTATGTAAACTCCGTATCTAGATAAATGATTCGTTAAAGTTGGTTTCGCGATCTATACAAATAATAAGAAAGTAATAAACCCAAAAACAACGTTTTAGTACTTTTGTCTGTACGTCTGTGCACGATAATCTTAGAAATGGCTTAACAGATTTAAACGCGACTTCACTAGTGCATTGCGGCTTACTTTACCAGACATTTAGCGCTTGTTTCATTTCAATCGGTTCATAAATAAAAGTTATATGAATCTAAATAATGGTGTACGAAATGCTATAAATTTACCGATCAGTTTATATAGCCTAAAGTTCATGAGGGTATTGGGTACATAATTAACAATTTCTATATACGAGTACTCATTTTGGGAATGATATACGAAACTACATAACTAGAGGCGGGCAATGCCGCGGGAACGACTAGTGGTTAAATAATAGTAGTTATAATCAGCTTAATGGATAATGTAAAAGATGGTAAATATAAAAATCTTCAATATCTAAGACTATCAATATCTAAATTTTAATTAAATAACTTACTGAAATAGGCTTATCGAAGGAGTATTATATTATTGATTGAATAAAATGTCATTTAAATGTATCATTTAAAACCGACTAAGCATTTTAAACAAATAACCAAACATTGAAACTAATTCACTTAATTAAATTATTAGAAATGCTAATTCAATGTTATGCATTCGAGACCTATCCTTACATTACGTTAAAATAAATCTAACCAAAAAGGACTGAACCAGACGTATAACAAAATATAACGCGAATTGTAAATAAACGATAATAGTATAGAGTCAATGAGCACGTTTTATAAAATATTCAAAGATAATGTTACGATTATTTATTTTAAGTAGTCGGGTACTATAACAACAAATGATTTCGAGGGTTGTAGTGTATTAAAGAATGTTACGGATCGCTAATGGGTCCCTATACTATACTCTGACGTTGAACCAGACTCAGAACAACGCATCTGTATGACAATAAGCCACTATATAAAGCAGCAATCGTCCCACAGATGGATTAAAGGAGTTTTGATTTTGGAGTATTACGAATCGTTTCTAATATTAAAGCAACACGTTAAACCAAATTATGAAATAAGAAATTTAATACACATATGCACATGAATATTAAATTGGCATAAAATTAGAATAGAGTAAACTTAGATGATGAAATAGACAACTTATAGGTACACACATGCACATAAAATCGCATTGCTGAAGTAAAATTAATTAGTTAAAGCAAATGCTGAAAGAATAAATAGATGCTGAAAATGATATTATTAGTCATACAATTAATAATTATGTGGGTTACATAAAGCATTATTGATTGCGTATTATCTGCTTCCTCCATTTTTGTGAACTTTATTCCTTTGATCAATTTAAGTTTTAATTTCTTAAATGTTCTCCTACGCTAGCTGAAATCCCTAGCAAAACCCTAGCTAGTCCTAAATTATTTAGCAAAATCTATTAATATTTAACTACCTTCTGAATTTATTATTTCTAAAACTATACCTAGCTATTTGCTAAACCTAATGATGAAAGTTCTTTTCAGTTCCAATAATCTTTGCTAGCTGAAAACCCTATTAAAACCCTAGCTATTCCTATATCTAATGTAAAATTGAATTTAAATTATTAAACTTAAATTTTGGTAAAAATGAATCTAAAATACTCTAAGCTGATTGAATCCTATTCTAAATATTCTAAAAACACGAGGAAATAATATGGATTAGTACAGTCAAGAAAACGGAACAGACTCACTGGATTACGCCAACCTCGAACCTGCTACACGCCAGTCAGGTACCAGCAATCAGGAACCCGCAACACATCAAACAGGAAACACTCGCGATTTACTTCCGAATTTAATAAAATTTAACACAATAGAATTTAAAATAAATGAACCAAGCGAATCGGGCAGAGCCTTGACCAGCACGGAGGGAAGCCTTCTTTACGGACCCAATGAGTGTTCTTCCAATTTTTGCAGCTAGCGCGCCGAATGAGAAAAGAGCTGAGCCCCTCCATTCAGGCTCTTTTATAGGGTCCCCCTCGTCATTCCTTCGTCACTCTCTCCTTCCTTCATTTTTCCCTCCAATATCCCAAAACTTCATTCAATTCATTCCTATTGGTTATCCCCAATTTAGGTTACCTATGTGCTTTGTTCCTATTGGCTCGCGCCAAATACCACGCTTTTTCATCATACAAATACCTTCATAATTTATAAATGTATTATTCCTAAACAAAATCATTCAGAATCAAAACATATACTAATATCATAGTTTTATCAAATTTATTAAATATGTAATATAAATTTTAATCTACGATAGCGTTCATTATTATTGAACCAGATAGACATGCAATCGTACCCTTTCTTTCATTACTTTACCTAGTCAGGAGATAAATTTAAATTCTTCCCGCCTACGTACATAAAATATCATTCAATTCACAGTTTATCTGTGGTAGTAAACTTAGTGTCTGATTAAGTAGATTTTTCTTTTTAAAGCTAATTAAGTAATTATATTTTCACAATAATGCTTTCTTATTTTATTGCTATTTTTTTTTTATCATAAAATAATAACTTATAATCAACGAATTTCTATTAATTTATATATGCGAAGCGCCCTCTTCACGTAAAAATTTAGAATATGTTTCCAACTTCCTACTCTTCTGTAAAATATGACAGAGAAATAATTAATATTAAGTCCTTATTGTATGCGTATAAGTTCACTAAATCCTACTCAAAATTTATTAAATATTATAATTTATAAATTTTGTAACATATATGATTTTCATATGAAAATAGTAGTTTTATTTATTCAGATCCATTATGACGTACGATGTTTTTTATACCACTGAAGTGGCAGACAAGCATACGGCCCAGCTGATGGCAAGTGGTTACCGTAGTCATTTTGAACATCGATTTAACAATGCATCAATACCAACCATCATAAATTAATATTAAATTGACATTCATATAGTATTAATTTTGTTAGATCGTTTCCCTAGCTTTACATTTTTCTGTAAACATTAAAATATTAATTTATTATTTAAATTTCTTGCAAGTTCAACACTTCTCCGCAAGATGGCGTTAAATGTATTTTTACACATATGGCGAACCGTTACATGCTAGACCTACAGACAATTTATTTACATACTCGGTTATTTTAGACTATGGAATGAGCTCCCTGCCGAGGTTTTTCCTGGAGACTTCAGTTTGAGGTTCTTCAAAAAGGCTCTATTAAGGTGTCTTTAGGGTCGACAACATAACACCCCTAGTGTTGCAGGCGGTTATAAGCTACAGCGACGGTTTACCATCAGACTGGCTGTATGCTTGTCACCTTTGTGATTTAAGAAAAATCTCTCTCTTTGTCTATCTACGTTACTTGTTCTGGTTCTGAAGACTTCAATTCTACATTTTAAATAACGTTTTATAATTCTTATTTTGAGTTTCCTTTATTTTACAGATTTTTAATCAACAAATACAGGACTCTTCACAAGAAGACCTCATCGGTACGCTGTGTTCGATACTTAAAGAGACGAAGGAATGCGCCCAATATTACAACTCCATTGCAATGAAATTTATACTTTGAAATTAAAGTTTTAATTTTTTTTTATGTATTTATTATTCATTTATGAATTTACAGGATACAGAGGAATAACACCTGAATCCTTAAGAATGGCAAGGCATGGAGGTATTATGTGCGAAACAGTATATTCTGTTATGTCCATGGTACTGCTCATATTTATAGGCGACGGTTATTTTTTTTTTTTTTGATGAGTGAAAATGGTATGGTAACCCCGCCTGCGCTAACGGGATACGCTGGCGGAGCACCAGTGAAGGGTAATAGATGAGAATGAAAACAGGCCAGTTAGACCATCATGATGAATTCATCAGTTAATCATGATAGTTTCCCGCGAGGAGGTCGACCTGGTTGAGTATATTGCTAGCAATGGGATTCTCAGTCTCCATTACTAACAATCCCTTTCCCCCCTATAGGCGACGGTTACCACTTTCCATTAGGTGGGCCGTCAGCTTGTTTGCCATTGTAAGTTGTATAAAAAAAAAATAAAAAAAAAAAATTTCAGGATGGGCTAATGGACCTGATTTCTTCTCACATATTATCTCTCAATAGTGCCCAGTCAGCATATATCGGTGTCGCAGACGGGCTTACCACATTTGTCCTTCTAAGAAAACTTATACAAATTCTATATACTTTATATATTCAAAAAATATTTTTGTACAATATGTATGTAGATATATTTTAACTTCGACAATTAACAATATTAAAAATTATTATGCGATAAAAAAAATATAATAGCCTTTTTCAATAGAAGTTAATGAAAATGTTAGCAAACGAATAACTGACTCGACCATAGACTTTGTATCTCGAACCACGTTAATCTAAGGAGCCGGCAGTAATACCTAAGAACAAGGAATTAGATAGAAGGAATGATAAAATAAAAACTGTAAATCATATGGTTGCCTCCTTTCTTCTTATACAAATATAAATAGTAAAAAGAGGACGAAAGATACACCATTAGATGTACACAGTTAATTGAATGTTTTGACTTGTTACTAATGTTCTTCGTTTAATGTTTATATGGCATTCCATTTGTTCCTTATGGCAGTCTATGGGGGCAGGCCTATGTCCAACAGTGGATGGATAATGGCTGAAATGATGGTGAGGAATGTTTCTATAAATTATAGAAATGAGAGAGAGGTGTTGATAGAGAATATCAACACCTCTCGATTACCTTTTCATACGGTTTTATTGAAATAGGCTATAATAATGTTATACAACTTAATTAAGACGGTGAATTCTCAACTATCCACCGGTGGTAATGCGCCACGTTGGTGTATACGCTCGGAACACCGTCACTGCCGCACTTCTCTGAACCAAACGATACGATGCCCACCTGAAAGATAAAATAATTTATTATTTTTATGACACTTAGAATGCCAAACAAACTGACCAGTGACCCAACTGACGGAATTGGTCACCTATAGATGAACAGTGTCATGATGATGATGATGTCACAGGTTTACTAATCACTACTGAATATAGGCCTCCCCCTTGGTGGGTTTTACCAATAGTTGCCACCTAAACTAAACCTATAGATATTACAGAATGCCTATGATACCCTCATACGTTACCATTCCTAAGAATTATGAAGTTATGGAGACTCATACTCTGTGATTTCACTGTCATATCCCACCGTTCAAAATAAATACAACCATGCAAGTATGACTGCTTTATGACAAAAATACGAGTGGAACAGTGGTACTTAAACAGACGAAACTTGTACAAATTTTCTTCTAGTTAATATAATAAATTATTAATCTGGAAAATATTTGAACGATTATAGAAGCATTTCAACAGTATACTCTAGTATGTACTGCTCATCATGGTACTGCTCATGTGTATAGGCGACGGTTACCACTTTCCATCAGGTGAACCGTCAGCTCGTTTGCCATTCTAAGTTGCATAAAAAAAAAATAAAAAAATCGTTCTTATTAACTAATTATTATGTATCTATAGATATTATCTACCATTTTCGTCCCAAATAAAACGAGTTCGTTATTGTACTGTTAAAGCGTTAAGAAGTGAAAAATAAACCGTCCAAATTACCTGTTTATGTAATAATTTCAACAAAACATGGTTACTTTTTTTTTTGTAAATTTGCTAGTGTAATAATTAATCACCTGAAAGTACTGTCCGTCCCGATTCAGCAGAAGTGGCGCTCCCCCAAATCCGGCGCAAGCATCCCTTCCCTCCTCGCCGCCAGCACACAGCTGACCCTCGTGCACAGGCACCGAGTCACCGAAGATACGCTCGCAAGTTTCCAATGTCACTAAGGGGACATCTAAAAGTTGCTGCCGACTCACCTGAAATGAAATTATTTATTTGCAAGCGTTCATTCTTATTGGTGGTTGTTACCTGTTATCAAAAATTCAAACTAAAAGAACAGTCGACTTCATCAGAATCACTTTATTATGCAACTTAGAATGTCAAACAAGCGGACGGCTCTCCTGATGAAAGGCGATACATTGGTCAGGCAACTTGTTATAGGTAAGGGGAAAGGGATTGTTAGTATTGGGATCCAACAGCCCCATACAATACAGCTATCAATATAGCCTAGCAGATCGACCTCTTTGCGGTTCCCCTTGAAAACCATCTTGATGAACACTTTATTAATTTTGCTATTTCACTAGGGGCCGACTAATCTGCTTCCATTATCATTTATCGTCTCTCACTGGAGTCCTAACAGAGTATACTGTTAGCGAGGCCACCATTCCATTAATAGGTATTAAAAAAATTATTATAGGTTTAAAAAAGAGACTTTATTTACCAATGGAAGACTTTGTAAAAACCTCTATCTCACTCATGTTTCTTTCGTAAAGATCGATTTGAAAAGTGTGACATTTCGTATCGATTTGAAAGGTGTGACAGTAAAATCACAGAAAACGATGGCATAACACTTTAGTCCTCAGGAATAGCAACTATCACAGTGAGGGATATTATCACAGCATTCTGTAACGTGTGTATGTATGTGTGTATATGTATGTGTATGTGTATATGTATATATATGTGTATGTGTATGTATGTATATATGTGAATGTATGTGTGTATATATATAATTATTTATAATTTATGTAAATATTTATTTAAATTTCTGTCTTGCACTACTACTGCCCACTCACTACTTCCTATGCCACTGCGTTAGGTTGACTGGAAGAAATCTCTTTTAGAGATAAGTTCGCCTTTGCTAACATTGTTATTAACTTATTGTTGTTACTGTATGTTTTTGTGCAATAAAGAATATATATATAATATCCACAATGCTGTTCATGTCTATAGGCATGGTTACTACTTTATATCAAGTGGACCATCAACTTGTTTGTCATTCTACGCAAAGTTTAGCAGAGGGTAATTCTGTACGAAAAACGTTTGCTTGTGTACCTCTATCCCTTTCGTACTTCAACCGTGAAGTAGTTGTGTTTGTATGGCTGTGTTTCGGTTTGAAGGGTGGAATATGGTAGTGAATTTACAGGGTGCAGAGGAATAACACCTTATTCTTGGCAACGCATGGAGGGTATTATGGGTGAAATAATATACTCTATTACGTTCATGTATCACCTTCCATCTGGTGGGCTGTCAGCTTGTTTGCCATTTTCAGTTTCATAAAAAAGTAACAAAAAACAAGGCATATATAGAGAGAAATTAATCCGTAGCTAAGCGTTCTTTCCTAGCAGACCATTATTATGATTTGCTTTGAAATCACCATATTAATAGTAATCATACCATACTGCTTTGTCCAGACAGTTTCCCCCAGCCGACGAGTGTTGCTCGTTCATTAATGACGATTTCCGTTCTATCGTTGAGGCATACCGGCGCTGCTGTCACTGGAAATTGTGATTTCAATCAACGTCATTAAAATAAAAGATTACATCTGTGACATGAATGGATGACACTGTGTGACAGTCAAGGTCACGGGAAAAGGTGACCAGGAAGTGTTTGACAGTGATGAGTCGGTATGCGACAAGGTTACCGAAATGTTAGGAACTGTTGATTTGTTATTTGATAATATTCTTTAAACTAGAAGCCTTCTGATCACGGCATACAATAACAATTTTATCAAAATCGTTTCAGTACTTTAGTTTTTAAATCAAAATCACTGGTCTTGCCATAACTGAAGATTTTTTTTTGTGGAACATGCTCTTAAATTATTGTAATCACTTATGCGTATATGACGCGTATTATATCTTTTGATTTATCTAAAAATTTTAATGAAATTTTTCAAACCTAAATGAATTAAAACGGAACAATACGTCTTTTTTCACAGGATGGTATGAAAAAGTATAATCTGATGTGTAATAGAATATCAGACAAGTTATTTCAAAGATATTGTCTGAAAAAGAATACAACAGTTGACTGGAAGAAATCTCTTTTTTTGGATAAGTCCGCCATTGTACTTATTCTTTTCTTAAGAACTCTGAATACTATAATTTAAGACTTTACTATACAATAAAAGATTACAAACAAACAAGATCTAATATTTTAACATCATCATATCAGCCGTTAACTGTCCGCTGCTGAATATAAGCCTCCCCATAAGAAGGTTTTGCCAGTAGTTGTTACACTTGACAGGCGGATTTGCAATCGCAGTTAAGCTTTTGGCGATGTTTTAAAAGGGATGCTGCTGCCCATCCCTTGATCATTAAGTTCCCTTCAATATCAATATACTTACCCGAATATCTTATTTCTTCTTTGAGTACAACAAGCGCTATATCGTGTCGAAATATCTTCTTCTCATAACCTGGGTGCACTATAACGTTCTCTACTTTGATAGCCTGGGTTGGTGGCGCGCAGAAGAATTCGCTACAGTCAGGACTTCGACTCGCGTCATATTCTCCCACCACTACTGTCGATCTGAATTAGAGAATACAGATTGTCTACAATTTTTTTTTTTAATCTCTTGTACTTCAAAAATAACTATACATATAAATGATGAAGTAAGTTCTGTTAGTTCTAATAGAAAATTTTATTGTTTACAATTATCGTTGCCTTGCCTTTTCCCATTTGTTTGGGGTCGGTGCAGTATGTCTTCTTTTTTGACAAATCCTTGTCAACTGTCATTTCCTGACTCATTCTTCTTTTGTACATATCATCAATCACAGAATTCATTCACTTTTTTTTCAGTCGTCCTCTTCCTTTATATCCATCCACTTTCATACTTAACACTTTCTTTAAAACATGACTTTCTTTAATTTTATTTTTAACAATATTTACATTAATAGTTAAATTTTACTTTTTGTATAATCCATGTTTACCATTATTGCCCTCAAGTCCTTATTGTTTTTGCCTAATATGGTTAACTAGTATTAAATATCACTAATATATATAACTACTAATATATACAATATACAGCAATAAGCTCACCGTTTGTATAAATTGTATTGTGTAATAAAAATTAAATATTTTAGAAAAATGTTAGTATTGAAATTAACTTAAAGAGAAATACATTTATGTATATACGCAACTGTGTATTTAGGGCTATATTTATGTAAGAAAGATGGAATATGGCAGAAATAGTATGGCAATGCATGAAGAGCACTATAGTTATTACGATACATATTGTAATGTTCATAATGCCATGCATATTTTTGAATGCAAAAGCAATTCAACTGCTAATATCTCTGGAACTACTGGTCCACAGTTTCTTTATCTGCATAAAATTTCCATCAAGAGTTAGTGAAGAAAAAATTTTTTTCTCTAACATTGAATTGAAAAAAGTGGAAAAAAGTGACTTTTTCTCCTTTTTTGGTTACTTGGATGCTAATATGGGCGGGATGGTAGAAAATGAAAGATCCCTGGATTTCAACGGTTTTTCTTGATTGAAATTTTGTAAGGGGACAAGGTTTTTGTCAATAATACCAATTTTCATGACTTATTACTCAATTTTTTGTTTTTTAAAAATTCACAAAAAAAAATCAAAAAAATCAGTATTATTAAAGAAACTCGGATTTTATTCCAGAGATATTAGCACAATAATCTTTTATACTGGTACAATTTGTATCCTATACAATGGAGTAGCTCGAAAAAATTTTTCCATCAGGTTTTTTCAGGTTTAAGAATTGCTAAACCACAAAAAATTTTTTCACCAAAAAATCTGTGGTTTTCAAGCTGCAGTCAACACAAAAATACTCTTTTGGAAATAATAGAACCAATTTCATGACTTATTGCTACACAAAGAACAACAGTATTATTAGATTTTATCCAATAATCTTTTATACTTACAATTTGTATCCCTCAGGTTTGCAAATCTAACATTGCCTGACTCCTTATCTGAAACAAAAGATTTTATCACCATATTCCTATAACCATAAGGTTTTGGATTTTGGTTTTCAACCAACCACCTGCTTGGCATCAACCCACCTTTAGATTGAATTTATTGGTGGTATCCACAGGGGAAAGGATTGAGGAAAAAGGAAGTCATTGAGGTAATGGAAGTTAGTAAAAAAAGAAATAAAAGGAAGGAAAAACTGGAAAAAAAAGAACACCCTCAGTACAAAAATACATAACCTGACGAATTATATGAACTTGATGCCCGCATCGACCTTCTACCATCGCATAAATAACACATTTGACTTTGCAATGACATTAGCGTGCCAAGATCAGAATAAAATTGATATATATTGCAAGTAACACCTTTATTAAGTTCCCCAAAATAAAACAGGTTCGAGGTATTGGTTATCACGTAATGAAATCTTGATTTTAATTTACATGAACCCAAATCGGTCGTATGTGTATGTTTTTTTTTATACAACTTAGAATGGCAAACAAGCTGACGGCCCACCTTATATAAAGTGGTAACCGTCGCCTATAGACATGAGCAGTACCATAGACATAACAGAGTATACTGTTTCGCCCATGATACCTCTCATGCATTGCCATTCCTGAGGACTCAGATGTTATTCCTCTGCATCCTGTACATTCACGCCATATCCCATCCTTCAAACCGAAACACAGCTATGCAAATACAACTGTTTCACGGTTAAAACACGAATGGTACAGAGGTACCCAAGCAATCGACTTTTGTACAAAGTCTCCCTCAGGTATATTAATAATCCTCTATATATCACGTCCTCTGTATACTAAATTTCATATTGGTTAAACCATTATGGCGCTAAGAGGTAACAAACAAACAAGGAATCTCACTTCCACGTTTCTAATATACTGAGGATAGTAAAGATATGGTATAATAAAAATAAAGTACACTCCTTCATTAACTTACGAGTGAATCCAATTCTGGCAACCCAAGGATGTGCTCCTATACCACTGTAGTTGACGGCTCTGACCATACTCTGGCCACAGCGCTCGGTGCCTTCCTGGTAGACCCTGCTGCAGTCGCAAGATGGACAGCATACGTAGTCCTCGCTGTTGGCATGACCGCAGGTCAACTCGTTCAGTCGGTGGAAATACCTGCAGAGTGGAGCGAAAGGGATTGTTAGTAATGGAGACTAAGAATCCCATTGCTAGCAATATGACTAGCCAACATGACCTCCTCGCGGTTCCCCCTGGAAACTATCATGGTTAATTCCTGATGAATTCATCATGATGTGCTTACCTGGCCTGTTTTCATTCTCATCTATCACCCTTCACTGGTGCTCCGCCAACGTATCCCGTTAGCGCAGGCGGAGTTGCCATTCCATTTTTATGCATCAAAAAAAGAATCTACAGAATGGGGGGAGGGGTTGTTGATAATGGATACTAGGAGCTGCATTGCTAGCAATATACCTAACCAGGTAGACCTCCACGTGGCCCCCCTGGAAACCATCGTGCTGTATTCCAAGTGTATTCATCACGATGGACTAACTGACCGGTCTTTTTATCCTCACCTATCATCCTTCACTGGTGCCCCGCCAGTGTATAGTGCAGGCGGGATTACCATTCCATCATTACGCATTAAAAAAAAATACCTGTAGAGTTATACAATGACAGAATAAGTTAGGAACGTTTTCTAAAAATCGGAGTATATATAATTATAAAAATTAAAGCAAAAATATGTGTAAGAGAGAATAAATAAATAAATGTTTTCCACTCAACTCTAATATATATGCATTATTTTAGCATAATTATGAGATTCATGTCATTCATAGGTGCAAAGGATGATACAATCTGCAATACAATGATGTGGGTTTCTACGCAATCGCTTTTCATGTATGATTATTTCATACATTGTTTAGAAAAATTTAATACAACGATATCTAGGACTATAGGGCAAAAACCCATTGAAAGTGATTGTAAATTAGTTTTCTTACTTGTCTGAAGAAAAACACGAAAAGTCGAGCAAATCTTCTAGCATAGGACACGAGCTTATAGGCTTACACTGCGTGTTAGGCGGACAGGGTCCCTGGAAATATAAAAAAAAAATATTACAATAATATTTGATAACTATTTCATGTCAAAAGAATGCAAGCAGAAAAGGCATTAAAATATTATTGAAATGATATTAAAAATGATTCTGAATTAGGACGAGAAACCAAAATTGTGGTAGAGGCAAAAAAATTTAATTAAGAATGTACTAACATATATAGTTTCTTAGTATACGTACTAACAAATAATTAACTTAAAGTCTTCTAAAATAAATAAATATTTGAAATTTAATATGAAATTTTAATTTATACTTTACAGAGTCTAATTTTATCTTCATTATATATTTTATTATGGAATAAACTATATAAATGTACGATTAATAAATATATATTTAATTTTAAACATTATAACAAGGTTCATGTGGGGGGGAGAGATTGTTACTAATGGGGAGGTTAGTCCCAATTGCTATCAAAATACCATTGGAGATCGACCTCCACGCGGTTCCCCCTGGAAACCATCGTAACTAATTTATCGTTGAATTCTTCACGATGGGCTAACTGGCCTGCTTTCACCCTCACCTATCACCTCTCACAGATGTCCAGCCAGCGTATGCCAATAGCGCAGACGGCGTTACCATTCCATTTTCACCTATTAAAAATAAACTTGAAGAAGTAGGTACTTATGTTTTTTGTGAAAAAGTTATTTAGTGGAAAATGTTGTCATAGTATTTAGTACAGATTTTAAAAGAAATAGAATTGAAGATTGTTACTGCATAATCTATGGTTGCTGAAAGGAACGTGAAGTGTGAAGCAAATTGCGACCACCCACTAATCAGCAGCCACATTCACGTCATTCGTTTTACAATTGAATTGCATTATATACCGTCGCCTCTTCGTTTTCATATATATATTCAAAATATTATAAAATATAAATTTATATAGTTTAGTTGCAATATTAAAAATAATATCCAAAACAACAACAGTTCGTTATTACTGCAAATCCAGTAAAATAAACTTGGAACTATCCAATCGGCAAGGGCAAACCAACGCACACATGCCCAAATAAAGATAAAACTTAGAAGAGACAGAAGGAAAGAACTAATGTGTATACAGGAAACCTCGAGCATGCATTAATGAATTAATGGCTTTTTCTAAAATATTTAAAACAATAATGGGTTATTAAAATTACAAGAACAATATTTACCCAATAAGTATACCTGTATGAGTATAAATAACTTACTTTGTCATTATCTAAATCTTCATTATTATTTCTGTCTCCCAGTCCTAAACTTAATGACATACCTGTTGAAATAAAACATTGTTTACACAAAGACATTGCAAACAAATAAAACAGGAATTGTTCGGTTTTTTTTTAATGAATGATAATGGAATAGTAACCCCGCCTGCGCTAACGGTATACGCTGGCGGGGCACCAGTGAGGGATGATAGATGAGGATGAAGAGGCAGGTCAGTTAGCCCATCTTGATAAATACACTTGGAATTCAGCACGATGGTTTCCAGGGGGGACCACGGGGAGGTCGACCTGTTAGGGTATATTGTTAGCAATGGGACTGATAATCCGCATTTCTAACAATCCCATCCCTCCCCGGAATTGTTCGGTTAGGTATCTATAGAAAGTCATTCTCATAATTTAAAATTCAGCTCCGCAAAAACTAACTACATCTATTGATAATACTATTGTAATCATGTGAATATGGAAACACGGGTTTATGGGAGAAAATTAGTTCATAATTGGCAAAGTTATCGTGTAATAGTCCTATAAAAAGGGGGGAAAAGGATTGTAAGTAGCAATATACCCAACCAGGTCGACCTCCTCGCGATTCCTCCTGGAAACTATCATTGTTAATTCCTGATGAATTCATCATAATGGGCTAACTGGCCTGTTTTCCTTCTCATCTATCACCCTTCGCTGGTGCTCCGCCAGCGTATCCCGTTAGCGCAGGCGGGGTTACCACACCATTTTCACCCATAAAAAGTCCTATAAAAAATACAAGTGAATCATGAACCCTCTCGTTTTCGAAGTAGCCTGAAATTTTGAAATTTTATATGTTCTAAAATTCTGAATACTATGGATAAGTTGTCTTTAAATATTTATTAATTTTATATCCTCATGAAATGAACCATAATTTCCTTTTTTTTTTGTTATAATATAAAAAAATGCTGTGTGGTCCCAACATAGCATAGGTCACCCCTTTCTTTCCCGTGGGTGTCGTAAGAGGCGACTAAGGGAAGGTAAGGGATGGACAGCAGCGTCTCTCTTAAAACATCTCCAAAGCCTAACTACAGTCGTCAATATGCATGCCAAGCGTGGTAACTACAACTGTAAAATCTCCTAAGGGAGAGGCTTTTGTTCAGCGGTGGATATTTAAAGGCATATCATCATCATCTCCCTGCCCTTATCCTAATTATTATTTGGGTTCGGCGTAATATGACTTTAGACATATCACTAAAGGATTTGGCTTCTAATATTACGACCGGACGCCTGCCTGACGTCAACCCTCTTAGGGAATGTATTAGTTGATGGTTTCCGCCACCTACGGTTTGAAAAAAGGAAGGGAACGTTGGAAATGCGTGAAGGAAATTAGTAAATGGGAGGAATATGGGACTTATGTGGGAAAGGAAAGGAAAGGCTTATGTAATGATGATAAATATAAAAAATACATAAAATTTATACGTGCATCATAATGTGCACTGGCATCATTATTACAGGTAAATCATTGCTGTGTATGACCTTGAGTGTAGAGAGATATGATCATCTAGTTCAGGATACAAATCGAGGTTACAGATTCACTGTGTCGTGTAATTATTGGATCACAATACTTCAACGTCCATTTATTTATTACAACACACATAATGGTACAGATCTTTTTTATATAATTTCTCAAAAGAGAAATGTTCAGTATAGCAAATATTTATTCAAATTTAAATTTCTAAGAAAGTTTTTGAGGGCTTAAGATTTAAAAGAGAAAGTCAAGTGGGTCAAGTAACAATCAATGATTAGAATTTTCTTTCTTCCTTTCATTTGAAAACACCTCTAAGTCTAGTTTAATCTTTATTTAAAGAAAAAATATTTTTTTTAATAAAATTTTATTGGGTTACATTTTTTATGCATTTTCAGATATCAATACATTTAAAAGCACACCGAATGAAAACTGGTAATCTAAAATATTTTCCAAGGAATTCTTACTCAAATTTATGAACGAATCATGTTTTTTTTTAAAAAAAAAGGTTAAATAATTCTGAAAGCTACATCTAAAATGTATGTTTTTGTGGGCCCATGATTTAGCAAAAAAAAAAAAACTTGTATATTGATTTATTTTGGTCTTCCCGCTGTCCTGATCTCGTTTCCATAATCCAACGCCCAATTGTCTATTTACTACTTACGATTTCAGTTTATTTAGGAATTCTTTGAATTGTAGTTTTATACTGCACATGTGAAAACTAAAAATAAACTGATATCCATGGGTATCAATACCAATTTCCCATCCACATCCAGCGAGTGGGGATAGAATTACTATAATAACAAACAATGATAATTAAAGCACATCTTTTTCCATAATATTCGTCATTAATTTCAATATCAAATCATATATATTACTAAAAAAAACTGTTCAGTAAATATCATAATAAAATAAAAAACAATTTAAAAAATATTTATGAAAAAAAAATACAAAATCACTTACTCCCAAATTGGGCATCGACTGTCCATTCGATAATACACAAGCATATAAAAACAAATAGACTCATATTTAATAACTTATTCACAAGTAACAAGGTACAAATTCACATAACTATTATTATAAAGTTTTGTCAATTATCTATAGCACACATAAATCATTGGAGGTTGTGTCAGCGCCGGGTTCACAACAAAAGTGATACGGTACAAAGCCTCTTCTTCGTCCAATGTGAATCAGAGGTGTGCAACATTTGGAAATATTATTTAGAACTAATGTTTATATTTTTAATATATATATATATATATAACTTATACTAATAAGTTCATTAAATTCCCATTATTTAATGATTGAAAATGAAAATTCTATTGTCTAATGTATGTATGCTCATGACTTCAGTATGGCTGCACCTATTTAGTTAATTCTTTTTGTTGTTGTTGATGTTTATAATTGTCAGATATGTATAAAAGATAATGTTTGAAAAATCGGATGAAAAAGTATATATTTTTCACACTATATTAACACAAATATTAATTAAATTATTATAATTTTCTTTAATAATGCATATGACCAAAATTATGTTAAATATCAGTTGAACTAGAAAATTTAAATAAAAACAAAAAAGTCCTAATTACAAGCACATATAGGATAGGATCCTTATCGTTTGCAAATAATACCATTTCTATTTTGTATACACAATCCCGTGCTACAAATTGTTATTGAACCCTAATCTGGTGTGAATCACCGCTACAAATGTTTGCCTCAGGTTAGTGCAAGCGTTTACAACTATTCACAAGTATTAATTATGTACAGATGAGAACAAAAGTTTTTTTTTAATATAATTTATTTTCTCAAACATGCTTGGAAATGTTAGCATTATTTTGACAATCTTCTTCGAGATAAATCAAAATTGCCGTATTGGCTAGATACAGGCGGGCAGCGGCCGGCAAAAGTTGTTTGAAAATTCATATCTGTCGTGTTTTGCAGCCAGATAAATTACTATGTAAACTCATATCTGTCCTGTAATTTAAAAATGGAATGACCTTCTCTTTCAAAACCTGGCTACCAAGAAGGTAACTAATAAAAGGTATTATTTAAATTTCGTACTGGCTTGTAAATAGAAAGCTGTTTATTGAAAAAAAAAAAACAAAGAAACATTATGGCGCGTGAAAAATTATTATTGTTCGTTATTCGTCATTGAACTTAAAAAGTAAAATTGTGTTTTTGATTTCCACGCATTGTTTGTGAAAAGTACTATACAAGCTTTGGCCACAACTAGGCATTGATGGACTCACGTATGTGTGCCTCGGCTATGCCTCGGCCCACATTTGCACGTTCGTCCATCAATGCCTCAGTTGCTGGCCGCTGCAGTAATGTACTATAATTTTATAGTTGAATATATTAGGATAAGAGTAAAAAGATGATGTTGATGATGAATATAGTTGAATTATTGAGTTTATATTGATATTGAGATTATATTATTAATGATTACTAACATTGAAAGTGTTGTATATCAATAATTCAAGTGTCAGTGTTTTTCTAGAATAACTTTTTATGGAAAAAGCTATTATTATGTAGGGTACTAACACACAGCTTGTCATCAGTTGTAATACGCTATTCACAATAAAAAAACCATGATTAATTTGTATTATTTCTTATTTGATATATAACAGAGAGTGAGTGTATTGCTAATGATTACTCCTGTATTCACCTGTATACTAATGAGGTACAAAATTATGATGATAAATATAAATTAATTTAGAATCATCTAAAATTTTCAATAATAAATATATACTCCATATAAACTCTATACATAAACAATACAAAAAACATGCAAAATATATTATTTATTTATTTCATCAACTGAACGAGCTTTACAGTCTCCTAATACGCTCGCCCAGAAAATATACGCTCATAATATAGTATGTCATAACATATTTTATTTTAAAATGTTATTTCATTCTAACATATAAAATTAGGTTAACTGGAAGAAATCTTTTTTTAGATCTCTAAAAGAGATTTTAAGAACAGAAGCTCGCTTTTGCTTATTTGCTACATAAAATATATATAAATATATAACCCTGTACATCCTGATAGTACTAGTAAACTAATAAGTTTTTTTTTATTTTCTCATTTACGTTTGTATTGAATGTATCAATACAAACGTAACGTATACAGTTGTTACCTTATTGAACATATTATGTGCAGTCGCTAACAAAATTCAATAAACGGTGTGGTAGACGGACACAAAAAATGAATTGGCCTGTAGCTAGGTAATTGGTATAAAATTTTATAAACAGTAGTTTAATTTAATTTGCGATATTCGGTTTGATCTAAAAAAAAATATCCATTAAATAAATGTATTAAATGTTCACTATTGAACAATAAATGAAAGTTTGGCCAGTAGATGTTACGCTTGGCGGCGGATTGGCAACCGAAATTAAGCTTTGACTGCAAGGCTATGAAAAATATCCCATAATTAGGCCTTATAAATAATAATATTTAAATTTAAATTTCATAAACAATATTCTTAAAAAAAAGAATACTGTTTATGAAATGTCGTAAAGTTAAAATCTCGATGTGCCAAAAAAACAGTATTTTTTTTAAACACTACAAATTTAATATAGAACTGACACAGGATTCTGTTTAATATCGAAAAAGTATTTTTATCGAAAAAATATCCTTTAAGCAAAAAAAAAAAATTCCAAATCGGTTTAGAACTGACGGAGTTGTAAAGTAACAAACATAAAAAAATACAATCTAATTGAGAACCTTTGTCCTTTAAAAGACGGTTGAAAATATTTTGCAAATGAAAAGTCATGAAAAAAAAAAGAAGCCACTAACTAAATATGCAGCTAACAAAAAAAATCATAAAACAGAACTGTACGTATTCGAACTGCTGTCCTCACTACAATCACCACGTCCGGAGCGGACGGTGGCCAGCTTATCTTCGGCGAAAATCAGTTTTTTCGCACCTTTATTGTAGTTTTTGCTCTGTCTGATGTCATTAACATCATCGGGTTGAGGACTTACGTGGCAGCGTGAAGTTAACATTTTACTGGATCTAGAGGTACAGTGCTTCCTTAAATTATATAGATAGAGTGCCTCCATACAAACGCTTCGAGAAAAGCGAGTCAACTTTTGCATATAATTTTGCGTGATAAATAGGTATGCATATTTCATATTCCATATTTATTTTGTCTTATAATTTTTGCACCTTTTTAATGCGCAAAAACACATTTTATTTATCAAATAATTGAATATAGATACGTCAGGATACAATGTGTGCGTAAGTATATAGAACATTCATAAAAAAAATCAGCTAATTTGACAATTAGCTGACAAAAAGTTGACCCGTTTTTGGGACTCGAAGCTCTATCTATATAATCTATGAGTGCTTTTTACAAAAGCTACTAAGTATAGGGTAGTTTTGTGTAACGTGCAGGCTAGATACCAATGTCTTATCTATTTCTACCAACCATGGTCAGGCAATGTATTAAACCACTACACTCAAAAGAAATACTAACCAACATTTGTTGAGATTTACATTGCATTTATCATTAAAAAATAGATAGGACAAGAAAATACTTCATCTACAAAGAAAATAAATCGTAGTAGGTAGTTTTATCGAATTTTAAGAACTACTAAATTTTTAATATAAGATTGCTAAATATCACCTATGACACCTGGGATAGAGTGGAAAGAATAAAGGTTACAGGAAGGGTCACTGTTTTGTAGTGAGGGAATTTCAGGGATTTGACAGATCTAATTAGAGGTAAGAACTTGAAGACTAAATGAAAACTACATAATTATAAACTACATAGACTTACATACTTATATTACATTAATGACATTACCCCAAAAAAAGGGAAATCTTACCCGAGGGAGACTCTATACAAAAGTCATTTGCTTGAGTAGGTCTGTCTCATACGTGTTTCAGCCATAAAGCAATTGTGCTTGCATTGCGGCTGTGTTTCGCTTTGAAGGGTGCGATATGGCAGTGAATTTACAAGGTACCGAGGAATAACACCTGAGTCCTTAGGAACGGCAACGCATGAGGGGTATCATGGGCGAAACAGTATACTCTGTTATGTCCATGGTACTGCTCATGTTTAAAGACGACGGTTACCACTTTCCATTAGGTGGACCATCAGCTTATTTGCCATTCCAAGTTGCACAAAAAGAACATTACCTTCCATTTTGCAGCAACTGGATAACAAGTTGGATTAAAATGAAACCATTTTAAAACCTGTTGAATATGGTATAACCGCCAGTGACGGGTCACAGGCCGATGCCTCCGCGCCGGCGGCATGTCGGCTCATTGTTTCGTTCCCATGAAAAATTGCTTCCTAATCAGATAATGGGATAATCTCTAACAATTACATGGCGCGGAATTTGGGCACGGACCATTGTGGGACGACCTTAAAATTGTGACCTAACTTAAATCGTTTTTAGCGAACAATTAACAATTGAGATAAAACTTTTTTAGAAAATAAAATAAAGTTAGGTAACTTATTGCAACTGATAGATATTCAAAATTCTCAACCGACTTCAAAAAAGGAGGTTTTCCATTCGATTGTATTTCTTTATATGTTTGTTACCTTATAACTCCATCAGTTATGAACCAATTTGGAAAATTTCATTTTTTATCTGAAAGGATATACTTATATATTTGTGTAATAGAAATTTTATCAAAATCGGTCCAGTAGTTTTACTACAATTAGAGTTTTTTTTGGTTCACAATCTTAAATTATATCATCAAATTTCGATCGAATTAAATAACTTGTATGTACCAATACTACTATGTGTGTATGTATACATACTACATATGTATCTATATATCTTTTTATCTGGTATTAAAATTTACTTCAGTACCTAATGGCCATTTTTACAATAAAATACCTTTAATTAATTATACCAAAAAGTTTGTGTAGTACTAGCTATGAGATTAATTCACAAGAGTTTAATTCTGCTTAATTAGAATTGAAAAAAAAGAAATAAAGTAACTTCATTTTTAAATTACTGTCATAGAACCTGGAAGAGTTACGTCAAAATTCTGCAGATTTTAAAATAACAATGTTTCCTTAAATTATTTATTTTTAAAATGATGTGTACATTCAACTATTGTTAAAATAAGACAGAGAAGTATGTGCAATTTATATTTAATTGCATTTACTTTAAAGTACCTCTTTATTTAAAAAATAAAATGTAAATGTCAATTGGTGATCTGAAGAATAAAAATGTTTTGTTAGTAAAAATAATATTTAAAGACAACTAAAAGAAATTTTAGTTAAAATCCATTATTTCAGACAATGACATCTAGTCAATGTAACACAAAACATAATCTCAACTACAATGGGCGGACATGATAAGGAACATTGTAATAACATCAAAAATAAAATAAATCTACCAGAAAATAAACTTAAATTAATGAACAGTGCATCCGATCAGAATATATTTTTCACCTACGTGTGTCTGATAAACGATTTAAAGGCAACAGACACGATTTATAACAAAGGCCATAAAAAATCATCTTTGAATTTGATGAACGAGGAAGCAGAAGAGGTATATAGTTGCATTTCTATTATATATTTGTTTTAAGAAGGAGAAGCTTGCTAAAATGGTAATAGACTGATCACGTAGCTTGAAGAACCGATAACCGAATGTCCAATGGGGAAGAAAGGTTATTTAATAGCGACTCCGTACAAGTAAATACAATATAGGGCAACTCCCGTGTTTCTACCGTGAAGCAGCTGTGTTTATATGGCTGTGTTTCGGTTTGAAGGGTGGGATATGGCGTGAATTTACTGGGTACAGAGGAATAATACCTGAGTCCTCAGGAATGGCAACGCATGGGGGTTATCATGGGCGAAACAGTATACTCTGTTATGTCCATGGTACTGCTCATGTCTATAGGCGACGGTTACCACTTTCCATCAGGTGGACCGCCAGCTTGTTTGCCATCCTAAGTTGTATAAAAAAAAAACAAACTCCCGCTTAGAGTAATGACCTCAAATGCATTACAGAAAGTATCTGTGTGTGATACAAGTATACTCAAGACCGTTCCTTGTGGCAATCTTTTTTTTAATGGTTTGCGGTGCAATATTTAAGGCATCCCGTCCTCGCTATTGGATACGGGTGATGGAATGCCTATACAAGAGGATACATGGTGGACGCAATTTAGACGCAATATTTGAGGAGCACCTTGTGGCAATCTATGGGGGAGGCCTATCTTCAGCAGTGAACAGATAAAAGCTGGGATGATGATGATGATGTGTTATAACAAAACTAACAACTAAATGGATTACAAACAGATTCTAGTAGTGAAAAATGCACATTATCTCTATTGCCAATAAGAGTGACTTTTTAAGACATTTGAGAATCTGAACCATCGAATTATTTTTTAGACAAACCAAGAAGAACTTCCAATACAAGTGGAGAGATCGAAAGCACTTCACGAACTGATCGAGTTTCATAGAAAAGATGACACAGACGTGGAAAAGGAACATAATGAAGCCGACTCATCGACTACTTACGTAAGTAAAAAATATATTAATGCTAAGCTTCATTTTAAAAATTGGCATTTTTTATTTATGTATTTATATAACTATTTATTTTATGATAGTTTGTTTTCCTTGTGCCTATAATTATTAATATATAGTATTAGGTACATATATGCATGGGATTATATATTGTAATATGATTGATAGATATATATATATATATATATATATATATATATTTTAATTTGCAAAAGATACTTTTTTTAATTATACAGTACTATCATACCTCCTTGTACAACAATTAGTCCATTACCTTAAGGTTGTCTTGAAAAGATTGCTCTCAGCAATAAGACCGCCTTACTGTATTTATATAATTGTATCGTTATGTTTGTAAGTTGCCTTGCTTATTTCCTATATTGTATAATGCAAATAAAGTATACACATTCATTCATTCATAATAATGCCAAGATCCAGGAAAACACTAGGATGGTTACTAGCAACGGGGCAGTTAAACACCATTACTAACAATACCCCCCCCCCCTTCTTTTCCATCGACTATTTTCGTTGTGGACATTATGCACATACTAAGCTGAACATATTAGAATGACAGGGGACGATCCTATAGCTGTATGCCGGAGTAATTTCATTTAGTAACGGTGTTCGTTAGTTGCGTATGTGAAAAAATAAATGCTATACAATCACAACGATTGCTTCTTTTTTCATACATTATTTTTGTGTCTATCCCGTATTGCAATTTTAACTGGGAATATTTTTTAGCGATATCCAACTTGGTAATAGATGGCTATGTTGTTACGGTACACTTCTATAGTGGTACAGGAGGTAAAGGATTGTTAGCAATGGAGACTGAGTATCTCATTGCTAGGAATATACCCAACCAGGTCGACCTCCTCGCGGTTCCCCCTGGAAACTATCATGATTAATTCCTGATGAATTCATCATGACTAACTGACCTGTTTTCATTCTCATCTTTCACCTTTCACTGGTGCTCCGCCAGCGTATCCCGTTAGCACAGGCGGGGTTACCCTACCATTTTCACCCATCAAAAAAAAAATAGGTTTTCACAAGTAGCAACAATATAGATACAAGGCGCTGTACACAAAGAAACAAAAATAGGAGTTAACAAAAAAAATATGAACATACAAGAACGAAAACAATTTTTCAAACAAATTTGAAGTACATATATTTCAAAACTTACGGCTAATCGCTTTTATGCCAAACTGTTCTATTAATCTTTCTAATAAAACAAAAACAATAGTGAATAATCTAGTTAGGCAATAAAAACGGTACATTTATGATGGCCGAATTAATGTTATAATAGTGAAATTAACATTTTAATGACAGTATATTGTTGGCTGAACTAACTACATATAATTTGCTTTGTGTTGCGTGTCTATCCGTTCATATGACCGATGTTATTTACAATAGATCATACAATAACATAGTTCACACGGATCTCGTTTATACATAACTTTAGGAGAGAAAATAAATTGTATTTATAAACACTCATTAATTGAACATAGACTTATGGGGCAGAGGGATTACTTATAATGAGATCTAGCAGCCCCATTGTTGAGTATCCCATAAGTACCCTGCCAGGTCGACCTTAACATCATTCTCCCTCTAAACCATTGTAATTCACTTGATGTGCAACTGTGATTCATTGGCAAGTATGCGTATGAGTCTACTGGGAACGGCTTATCCAGAGCCAGGGGACTACAGATATCTTAAATCGCGGGATATCGATACGGTAACACATAGAATAGGATAGGATGAATGATGGTATAAGGCATAAGGGTCGACGTGCAATGGCATAACTAATCCCATATGCGAAATTAAGATAAGAAACTATCGTAATAAATTTTTCAGTAAAATGATCGTTCGTTTATCACCCAGCTATAGAAATTTTGATACCTTTTTAATTTATATCATCATCATATCACCCTTTAACTGTCCACTGCTGAACATAAGCCTCCCCTTGGGCGGTTTTGCCAGTAGTTGCCACGCTTGATAGGCTTGGCAATCGCAGTTAGGTTTTAGAGATGTTTTAAGAGGGATGCTGCTGCCCATTCCTCACCTTTATATTATAATTTGATGCAATTACTGAACGGATTTAAATGAAATGTAATAACGTAATAATTTGTATGAAATAGTATATAAATTATATTTTTAACTTAGCACATAAGAAACTTAATGTACTTACTGATTCACGTTATCGAGGCGAAGACGAGGAAAAAAGTTAGTTATAAAATAAATGAGTGTATAATACAAAAGTAGTAAGATGCAGGTACCCGAAAAAATCTGTAGGAGAAATCAATAATATTCCAGAATGTGGGCGAGTGAAACAAGTTATGAATGTAAACGAAACAAGAGAAGGACAGAAACAATTACGAAACTAATATAAAAAGTCGAATCAAATTTTCTCTATTTACCTCTAAGACTATGTAAATAGTATTTTTTCATTCCAGCCTTCGACTACATTTGGCGATGATAGTGAATTGTCTGAAACTGAGGATGCCAACATTCAAAATAGTATAAGTCCTAATATACTAAAGCTTACCAAAATGAAGTGGCTCACTGAGGAGCAAGAAGGATCTCCAGATTCTAGGTTAGTCAATGTACAACTAAGATTGTTCTATTGCATTTAGGATTTTATGTGTATGCATAATGTCGTTGCAGAAAAATTAACGCATTAACAGGCGCAAAGTTAAAGACCAGAAAGATGCGTCCATGATCTTTTGGACTGCGAAATCAGGTAATTTTATGATTGAGAATCTAAATGTTTAACCAATAAAGTGCAAAGTCTATTGACAAGTAGAAGTATAACTTAAACAATAGTCAAACCCATTTCTTTGTCTGTACTTGTACTTATAGCAACTTTTTCAAAGGACACATGCTTTGTAGTTTTCATAATTACAGTGCATGCAAAAAGCAAGTGGCTCAGGACCGTTCTTTAAGGCAGCCTATGAGGGAGACCTATGTTTATTGAACATAGTTCAATAGTGGACGGATAACGGCTGAAATGGTGATGATGAATGCATGAAAACTATATAGAATGATGATTATTTATTTTATTAATTGATCTTTCTTTTTTTGTACATAACTTAGAATGGCAAACAAGCTGACGGCACACCTGATGGAAAGTGGTAACCGTCGCCTATAGACATGAGCAGTACCATGGACATAACAGAGTATACTGTTTCGCCCATGATACCCCCATGCGTTGCCATTCCTGAGGACTCAGGTGTTATTCCTCTGTACCCAGTAAATTATCTGCAATTTAGTCACAATTTAACTAGTTTTATTATGCATACCATTCATTTATAAGGCGTTGTTAAAATGGATCTAAAACAAAAAGTTGACTTGATAAATATTGTAATTTCTTGAGGTAAGCCAATACATTAAATATGAAAATAAACCTTTACAATTAACAAAAAATAATGATCGAATCCCAAATTGGGGATAGTATTGCCTTTATTTCTATATTAATATTGTAAAAAGGAAAGATTTGATTGTTAATTTATAATGGATAAATTCAAAAACTTTTCAACAGATTTTAAAAATTCTTTCACCTATAGAAAGTTACATTGTCAGCAAGTAACGTGGGCTACACAAAAATTCTATCTACCCATGCGAAGCCGGTTTTTTTTTTAATGGGTAATAATGGAATGGTAACCCCGCCTGCGCTATCGGTATACGCTAACAGGGCACCAGTAATAGATGATTGGTGAGGATGAAGGCAAGAATTAACCATGATGGTTTCCAGGGGAAACCGCGTGGAGTTCGACCTGATGAGGTATATTGCTAACAACAGGGTTATTAGAACCCATTACTAACAATCCCTTTCCCCCCTGCGAAGCCGGGATGGATCGTTAGTGTTTCAATAAAGACAATATTTTCTTTCAGCTCACCCCTGCTTTCTCCCACAAATTCCTCAACAAGTACGAATGGTAGCAGAGAATCAGATGATGGGATTGATCAGCGAGTCAGTGTCAACAATAAATACCTATCCACCATTCTCCGATTGGATAGAGAGCATAACATGTTCGGCCTATCAAACATAACAATAGTCAAATCTCGACCGTCAAGAAAAATGCGGAAAATCGACGAAAAGCCGGTTTTCCACCAAACGGCTATAGTACAGATTTGTTGTGGAAAAAAGTGTTGTAAACACAGGGTATGTGTATCTTACTATAAGTGTAATTAAATGGTTAATATACTATTAATTTAATAAATATTTATACTTGGCGCATTATAATATGCAGATATGATAGGTCACTGAACCCACGAATATGTAACCATCAATTAAAGAAGTAGATTTTGTAATAAAAAGGAAAAACCGACTTTAATCGAGGCTAAACAAGTTAACTTGATTTAGGAACCAAACTACTGCCAAACTACAGAACCGATTTTAATAAAATTTCTAAAGAATCAAACTGAAAGTATATCCTATTAGATGAAAGATTCCAAATCGGTCGATAAATAACGGAGTTCTGAGCTAACAAACATTAAAACATACAATCGAATTGAGAACATTATTTTGAAGTTTTTTTGAAAACTAAAGCGTATCTTACCGATTCAAGGTAACATTTTATTTATAAGAAAATATTTTTATTCTTTATTGTACACGAAATATATAAAAACAGATACTTCGTTATTGAGATTATTGTACAAAGGTAAATAAATCAATTATGTTTTATTAACATCTTTATGTTCTTATCCCAATAATTTGGAGTCAGCGCGTGGCGTTTTATGTTTCCCTCTTCCATTCGTATCTAATTGCAGACATTTCAACTTAACTCTTCTTTCAAACCATATCATTTTTTATACAGTCCATCCATGTAATTTTTTTATCTTTTTTATTTAGAGGTTTTTACCTTATAAGGATATGTCAGCCCCATCATACCCAAACCTTAATTAGTTATTTCACATATTAAATTAGAGGGAATCAATGATATAAAAATACAGCAATAAAAGATTTTGCCGTTTCGAAATGTAGATCTGCGAGTATACCAGAGGTCTACCGTGAAGCAGTTGTGTTTCTTGGCTGTGTTTCGGTTTGAAGGGTGGGATATGGCGTGAATTTACAGGGTAAAGAGGAATAACACCTAAGTCCTCAGGAATGGCAACGCATGGGGGGTATCATGGGCGGAACAGTATACTTTGTTTTGTCCATATTACTGCTCATGTCTATAGGCGACGGTTACCACTTTCCATCAGGTGGGCCGTTAGCTTGTTTGCCACTCTAAGTTGTATAAAAAAAAAATTAAAAATAAAACATTATCTTGTCCATGTCATTTTAAGTCTTCTTTGACCCTTGCAGTTATCTACATTCATACTTGAATACTATTCTTACAATAATATCTTCATTCCTTCATATAACATATCCATGGGCGAGGACGTATGTCGACCAAATAGGCGACGTGCTGAAGAAGGGCCAAATTAAAAGTACCCGTAACCGGCGAGCGTGTATGAAAAGATTGATGAATGTGGAAGAAGCGAAAGAGGTTTGTTTGAATCGAAGCATTTGGCATTCCATTGTTTCTGCCTACCCTAATGGGAGACAGGCGTGACATATATGTATGTATGTATGGGCGAGGACAGAAAAATATCATAGAAAAGTTGTAGTGTCACCGGATTTTCTGCCCGGAAAAAAAACCACGTTTCAATAATAATAATTATATATATACAATCATACCAAGACAAACGGTTATATTTTCACAAGATTTTTTATCTCTGTCAATTATGAATATCAATTGACGTATTGTGTAATGTATTTTAAATCGTTTTTATTTAATCATCAACTGATCATTACGTTAATGATCAGTGACAGGTATAGGTTCTCAACATGTGAAAATCATTAAGTTTTATGACTGTTAGATTGATTTTGATTTAAAAATTTCCACTTGTAAATATTTTTTTTTATACAACTTAGAATGACAAACAAGCTGACGGCCCACCTGATGGAAAGTGGTAACCGTCGCCTATAGACATGAGCAGTACCATGGACATAACAGAATATATTGTTTCGTCCATGATACCTCCCATGCGTTGCCATTCCTGAGGACTCAGGTGTTACACCATATACCAACCTTCAAACCGAAACACAGCCATGCAAACACAACTGCTTCACGGTTGAAACACGAATGGGACAGAGTTTCCCAAGCAATCGACTTTTGTACAAAGTCTCGCTTTGGTATATATATCGTAAATAAATACTACCAAACTATCTACTGTCACGTACCAACCATAACGTACAACAAATTATACGTTTTAATTTTAAACTTTCGTGTTGTTTACACATATTTTAAATATACTATCTTGATTGTATGAATGTATAATTGTATTGCATGACTAAGGAAAGGAAATATAATGTGGAATATATATATATATATATATATATATATATATATATATATATATATATATATATATATATATATATATATATATATATATATATATATATATATATATATATATATATATATATATATATATATATATATACATTTCTTATTTTGTTAAAAATTTGCACGCCAACATAGAGGCATATGTACATGGGAAATATAAACCCCTATCATCGAAAATTACCTGCATTCTAACAAATAAATTCAATTTATTTCATTAAACGCTAACTAAACGCCGAATAAAAGTCTCAGTCATTTATTTTTTCATTTCAATAATAAAAAACTCATTGTTAACTCTTAAAATAATAATTTAATAAAAATAAAAAAAAGTAATATACTTTATTTATGTTTACAATATTTCTTTTTTTTTAATAAAAGTTATATTTTAATATCTATTAAGTGTATCGTGTAATTTATTGGTACATAAATTATCCAAACTTTCTTTTTTTCAGAGCAAAACTGATCTTCCAGCTTCTTTAAAGGTACTTACGTACATATTTTACGTTTAAATAAATAAAAAATTTGCCTACCTCAAATATTGTATGTAATATTAAATTACTTGCAATGCATACGTCAATAAATAATAAATACCCACTCAAATCAAATCAAAGTCATAAAAATTGTATAAATACCAAATTACATAATAAATTTTTTGTATTCAATTGAATTTATAGTATTTCGAATATTATTATTATTTTGCTGCTTTTTATTGTTATTTGCCGTATGGTTTTGACATAGAATGAGCTACCCTTTCCTTTTCTATGAATAAGAAAGTGACTGACTACGTAAGAAATGACTAAGGGAATTTAATTGTCAAGGGATGAACAACAGCGTCCCTCTAAAAACATCACCAAAGCCTAACTGTTGTTTTTGGATGGGTGAAAATAGTATGGTAACCTCGCCTGCGCTAACGGGATACGCTAACTGAGAACCAGTGAAGGGTGATAGATGAGAATGAAAATAGCCCAGTTAGCCCATCATGATGAATTCATCAGGAATTAACCATGATAGTTTCTAGGCAGAACCGCGAGGAGTTCGACCTGGTTGGGTATAATGCTAGCAATGGGATTCTCAGTCTCCATTACTATCTCTTTCCCCCCGTAGAGATTATTGGCACCACCCCCCTTATGGGGGGAGGTCTATGTCCAGTAGTGGACAGTTAACGGTTGATAAAATAATAATCATTAGATACAGGCAATATGGATACCGATCCGATACTACATATTGCGTTCCTCTGGACATTGATGATGGGAAAAAGGTCATCACCCATTTCGTTATCACCCATATCGAAATAGAAGAAATTGAAAAAAAGAATAGATAAATATCTAGTGGATACAGTTGTCGATGCATAAATTAATCAGTTCCCACCAAAACGTGTCATTTGCATGCTATTCTATAAATGGCTAAATCGGCTCGAAACATTGTAACATGTAAAATAAGATCACCGATACCTACTTTATTTAATGTAAATAAATTTAATATATAATAATAAAAGTTAAAAGTCTGAAATAAATATATAGAAAATTATAATATATATAGAATATTAGATTTGTTATTTTTTTTTCGAAGTCACTTGATTATGTCTTCTGCCTATAGATTTGTTAGTTCGAAGTCACTTAATTATGTCTTCTGCCGTACCAAAAAGTTCATTTGCCATATCTTAAACTTGGATCTAGCTATTTCCCTGTATATATAAATAATAATAATAATTTCCCTACTGAATGATTACAAATAGCGTAGAATAAACAACATAATATGACCATATTTAGAACTAACAAAATTTTTCATCGTGCCTCCCACCAAATTGTTTATAATTACTCCTCTCCATCCAAAGGTTGGCTGGAAGAGATCACTCTTAGCGATAAGGACGCCCATTGTTTTCTCATTGTGATTATTTCTTGTAATTATTTATCTTTATAATAAGTTTACTATTGTAATCTTTTGGAGGAAACAATAAAAAGTATCTATCTATCTATAATATGACATTCCCAGTGTGGCGGTTGTCGCGGGTGTCGCATTGAGCCGTCCCATATTTATGGTGCTGAAACCTGCACACCATCAGTATGTGTATGTTCCCTTTTTGTCTTATCGAATTCACTATCATTTTTCATTGTACATTGTATATGTGCCTTTGGCGTGTGGTTCCGATATAGATTGGACCACTCTTTTCTTACCAGTGGGTATTGTAAGAAGGGCTAAGGGGACTTAATGGTTGAGAGATATTTTTTTTATACAACTTAGAATAGCAAACAAGCTGATGGCCCACCTGATGGAAAGTGGTAACCGTCGCCTATAGACATGAGCAGTACCATGGACATAACAGAGTATACTGTTTCGCTCATGATATCCCTCATACGTTGCCATTCCTGAGGACTTAGGTGTTATTCCTCTGTACCCTGTAAATTCACGCCATATTCCACCCTTCAAACCGAAACACAGCCATGCAAACACAACTGCTTCACGGTAGAAACACGAATGGGACAGAGGTACCCAAGCAAACGACTTTTGTACAAAATCTCCCTCTGGTGAAAGGCAGCAAGTGCGAGTGATAGGCAGCAGTATCCCTTTTAAAGCATCATCAAAGCCTATGTTTGCCAGCCCACCTACCAAGATTGGCAGCTACTGGCAAAACCCATCTTATGGGGGACGCTTATATTCAGCAGTGGACGGTAAACGGCTGATATAGTACATGGTGAAAATGTCCATAATTAAGTACGGCGACGTCGCCTTTTGATATTTACCTCTAAATATCAAAAGATACAGATATTTTGCATTAAATTTTAACATTTTTACTTCTCTAGACTCCATGTCCCCCGGTAAAGTGTACAGTGGACTGCACCACTTGCTTCGGAATGAAGGTAATGTTTCTATTAGTACTATTACCGATTTTTTTTCGTGTATTTTATTTATAAAAAAAATAACAATAGGGTTACAACTTTCCAATTTTTTTCTTATTTTTCATTTATCGTTAGTAAAATAATAAAATTAATAAATAATTTAAAATTTTCATAACAAATTAATTATGACGAGTGACAAATTTTATGATAAAAAATTAGCACTACATATGAAGTATAAAACAAAGTAGCTGTTGCTGTCTGTCCGTCACTACGTATACTTGAATCTATAAAACTACGCAATGGATTTCGAAGCGGTTTTTTTTAATAGATATAGTGATTCAAGCGGAAGGTTTATATGTATAATACATGTATAATATTGTAGAGAAACACTGATAAATTTAGAGGTTTCTAATATGATGTCGTAATGTAACATAATCGGGGCCGGGCAGCGTTATTTATCAGCATTGCACCCGTGCGAAGCCGGGGCGGGTCGCTAGTAAATAATAATTGATAAAAATAAAAAAAAAACCAGAGGGAGACTTTGTACAAAAGTCGATTGCTTGGGTACCTCTGTCCCATTCGTGTTTCAACCGTGAAGCAGTTGTGTTTGCATGGCTGTGTTTCGGTTTGAAGGGTGGGATATGGCGTGAATTTACTGGGTACAGAGGAATAACATCTGAGTCCTCAGGAATAGCAACGCATGGGGGGTATCATGGGCGAAACAGTATACTCTGTTATGTCCGTGGTACTGCTCATGTCTATAGGCGACGGTTACCGATTTCCATCAGGTGGGCCGTCAGCTTGTTTGCCATTCTAAGTTGTATAAAAAAAAAGATATGCTATAAAAATTATACGAATACAAATTCGTATGATATTTATAGCAAAAACATTTAATACAATTTCCTTTGAGTTTCATGACTGACTGCAAAGTCATTACTTTTAATTTTTTGTTTTCAGATATCTCTTAATCGTAAACCGAAATTTGAACCATCGCCAGTAAGTTACTAATTAATTTTTAATACTCATAAACTACATTAGAAAATTTCTCATTTAGCTCTTATATATGTATTTCTTCATTTCACAACTTTGATTTTAATAACATTCTTAAAAAATGCGCTTGAATTAAATTAAAGATATAATATTTACAGGTTGAGTTAACACCAAGATCTAGCTGTATTTTACAAAAGGTAAATGAATCAACTACAATAAACTCGTTTTTGTTTATTTTAAAAACACATTCTGTTTTATTAAAGTTTATTATCCATTTTATTAGTTTTATTATTAACTTTAATAAAACACATTCTATTTTATTAAAGTTTATTATCCATTTTATTAGTTTTATTATTAACTTTAATAAACACATTCTATTTTATTAAAGTTTATTATCCATTTTATTAGTTTTATTATTAACTTTAATAAAACACATTCTATTTTATTAAAGTTTATTATCCATTTTATTAGTTTTATTATTAACTTTAATAAAACACATTCTATTTTATTAAAGTTTATTATCCATTTTATTAGTTTTATTATTAACTTTAATAAAACACATTCTATTTTATTAAAGTTTATTATCCATTTTATTAGTTTTATTATTAACTTTAATAAAACACATTCTATTTTATTAAAGTTTATTATCCATTTTATTAGTTTTATTATTAACTTTAATAAAACACACTGTTTTATTAAAGTTTATTATCCATTTTATTAGTTCTATTATTAATTATTAAAGATTTCAAAATTTTATAAAAATTTATAAAAAGCTAATGGCAGTTGACAGGGATTTTTTGAAAAATAATATAAACTGCGACCTCAAATAAATAGGAAAAGACAAGACAATGATAATAATGATATAATAAGCTGTAAAATTTAAGCTCTCAATAGGATATTTTTTTTTTATTTAATGTTTAAATTCCGATGTGAAGTATATTTTATAGCATACCATTTTAATGGCTTTTGTATTTAAATAGGTTAAAAGAAATAGAAATATTAAAATAAAATGTATAAATTTAAAATACTTTAATTACTATTGACTGCAAATTTCAGTACATGGCAATGAAACCAAAAAATTAAATGTAAAAATTAATTACACTTATCACTTTTATTCATCAGCCAATCGCAGCAAGATCCTGCCATCACCTACCTCAGTGCATTCCCCCGTCTTCGTGCTTCCCCTACCTGATGCCTTGCTTCTGGCCAGCCAGGGCAGGGGCACCATGTAACACGCCCGCGCGATGCTTCCACAATCCCCCCTGTCGGCTACCGAGAACACCTCAAATTCCTTTACCTCTTGAAGAAACTTGTCCACCTGTAATTATCACCTCTTCAATTATCAAAACAGAGAGCTTTTTGAAATTCACATTTTTTTACTATGAATGTACAGTCTCCGAAGTACTTATTCATGTTTAAACGCGACTGTTACCATTTTTCGTCAAATATGCTGTAAGTTTGTTAGTGATTCTAAGTTGCATAAAAAATATAGGTTAATTGAGAGTCTACCCTTAGAAGACACTTGAAAATAATCTTAGTATCATCATAATTCAGTTAAAATTTTCGTACTAGTGATAAAGCCTGACTAGCATCATATCGATACCCCTAAACGTAATAATTAAGATTTTAATAAAAAATCGGCTTTAGTTGTAGTAAAACTACAGTAACCGATTATGATAAAGTTTCTATAGGATCAATCTGTTAGTATGTATATCCTTTTAGATAAAAAAAAAAAACAAATTGGTTTACAACTGATGGAGTTAAGAGGCAAAAAACATACAATATAACAACGGAAATGAGAACTATCTTTTTTAAATAGGTCGAAAAAAACTATTATATCATTATTACATATATAATAAAATCCATTACGAAATACTTATACTGATATATATAAAAAAAATGTAATATAAAAAAATTAAAACAGTTACATTTTCTTAAGGATATATTTGTTTTTTTAATTGATGATAATGAAATGGTTACCCCACCTGTGCTAGCGGTATACACTGTCGGGGCACCAGTGAGGGGTGATAGGTGAGAATGAAAAACCAGATCACTTAGCCCATCGTGATGAACACACCAGAAATTCAACACGATAGTTTCCAGGGGAGACCACGCAGAAGTCGACCTTATGGGCATATTGCTAGCAATGGGACTGATAGTCCGCGTTACTAACAACCCCTTCCCCCCTAAGGATATGTTAAATACAAATCTTTTTTTTCCTAAAGAAACTATCTCGAAAAAAAAGTCTACACTGCCTATTGGATAATCCGGCTATGTCTATTGGTACATTTTCCATAATATATTTTAATATTATTTCAGAAATGCGAAGATAAAGCTGCTAAAACGAAATGTCAAAATCAATCATGTCCAGGGGTAAATAAAATTCTATTCTGTTGAAATATGTTTTGGATTATTTTTTCATACATTGCTCTCTTGCACTACTGTTGCTCATTTACTATTTCCTATGTAGGATTAATAGTAGGGTTCATCTTTTAAATATATTTAATCAATAATTAAAAAGAACAATAATTATTTTACAATAAACGAATAAATTTTTGCATTGTCCAAGTTAACAAAACACTCTCTCTGGTCGCCTCGCTGGCCCGTGCGCCGGATGCGCGCGCAGTCAACAATCACAAAGCGCCTGCGCGACCTGCGCGCGCATCTTGCGAGTGAGTCCCGTGACCAAGCGTCATGTTATAAATATATATATATTTTATAATTTAATTGAATTTTTTATTAGTTAAAAACAAGCAGACAAACTAACATTTTGTATATATATATATATATATATATATATATATATATATATATATATATATATATATATATATATATATATATATATATAAAATGTTAGTTTGTCTGCTTGTTTTTAACTAATAAAAAATTCAATTAAATTATAAAAGTTGATATACATAAATATATATAATAATTGGTGAGTATTATATACCACACTTATGTCGCCGCCTTAGTTTGATTGGAAGAAATCAGTTTTAGTAAAAATAATTCCATATGACTATGTTATATATATAATCCATCTCAGTATTTAAATGTAAATTTATTTCATTTCATTTAGAGATAAATTCACCTTCGCTCACATTATTTCTAATTGTTTTTATTACTATATTCTGAGTGTAATAAAAAAAAAATGAAAATATATTGTTTTCATTTTATTCGATTTATTTTTAATATTATTTCTAGAACAATCCTACAATGGAGAAAGAAATTGAAACTCGATTCGGAAAGAAATAAAATATGGCCGGCCCAAATGATAAAAGATTTAGAACCTGTTCGTGTACAACTGTGAATTATCGAAATATAATCAGATTTTCTTTATTTATTTTTGAATGCTAAACAATCTCGACGTTATTTTTTTACGAAAAAGAACATAATAATTCATAACACAACGATCAATAAAAAAAATCACAATAAATAATAGTCAATATAAAGTGTTATTTTTTATTTAAATTTATTTTTATTTATTTCAGTATAACGACATGGAAAGTGAGAAAAAACTAATTTTACCTTCATATATACACACACATATTATTCATTTGTAATTATTTCAGACTGAAAATGAAACTGAGGCAGTAATATGTGATTTCAATGGGAAGAAAAAGAAAAATTTTAGTAAATAATGAATTAAAAATCATTTCATAATTACTACTTTTATAATTTTATTTAGAAAATAAAAATCAACCATCATACTTGTGTAGAACCCCTAAAAACATTCCAATGATGATGGTTAAAATCATTTAAATTAAAGGAATAAGTAAGTATGCTATTCAGTTTGAATTTGGACTTATATATATAAAACTACACAATTTTCATTAAATAATTTTTGTTATTGTTCATACATTTACTGTTATACATTTTGCGTTACCATTCCTGAGGACTCAGGTGTTATTCCTGTGTACCCAGTAAATTCATGCCATATCCCACCCTTCAAACCGAAACACAGCCATGCAATCACAGTTGCTTCACGGTTGAAACACGAAAGGGACAGAGGTACCTAAGCAATCGACTTTTGTACAAAATCTCCCTCTGGTCTGATAAGGTACATGCCAGATACGTTTGTGTTATACATGTCTATTTTTTTTTGTGAGAGTAATGGAATGGTATTCCCACCAGCGCTATCAGTTTACGCTGGCGAGGTACCAGTAAGAAATTATAGGCGAGGAAGAAAATGCAGGTCAGTTAGCCTTTCGTAATAAATTACACAAGAATTTATCATGATGGTTGCCAGAGGAAACCGTGTAGATGTCGACCTGATACAATATATTGCTAGTAATGAAGACATTTTTTGACACGAGAATGTTATATATTAAAATATGAATTGTCACTGTTCATAATCTCGCGACACAAAGTATCTCTTCTGGCAGGCCTTATGGGGAGGCATATCATGGTTAATCTGATCAATGACAGTATAAGGTGGTGTCCCTTGAGATATGTGGCAATAGTCACTACAATACATAAAAGGTGCTATATTCGTCTGGTAAGGGTTTGGAGGGTAAAGAGCCAGGTCGAAGGTCTCCCCGTGGAACCAAGACGCAAGAGGCGAGCTTGCAAACGGTATCTTGTACTTCTTCTTCATTTCTGACACGAATACTCTGAGGAAGAAATATGTAGTAGGTATTATAATATAAAAATGTTGGGGGGAAAGGGATTGTTAGTAATGGGTCAAATAGCCCCATTACTAGCAATATACCCTGTCAGGTCGACCTCCACGTGGTTTCCCCTGGAAACCATCGTGGCTAATTCTAGTTGAATTCATCATGATGGGCTAACCGACCTGTTTTCATCCTCATCAGTCATCTATCACTGGTGCCCCGCCAGTGTATACCGATAGCGCAGATAGGGTTACCATACCATTATCACCTATTAAAAAAAATATAAAAATATTACAAAAATAAATACAAAAATAAAATTATATTATATAGATACACTCCTCGCAAAAATTAAGGGAACATAAAAATTTTTGAAATTTTTGGGTGATTTTCAACAGGCTGTTTTTCAGTGAAAAATAATCGTACAGGAAATTTAAAAAAAGGGTTTTGAAGCTTGAAAACTCTAGTTTTCAGATTTTTTGGTGAAAAAATTTTTTGATCCGGTTTCCATGCAATTCTTAAACAAAGCTGAAAATATTTTTTTTCTAAATTTTCAAGGTTTCGTTTTTCACTCTATGGGCATGGAAAAATTTTTTCGAGCTACTCCATTGTATAGGTCTCTTAGCGTGTTTATTCAGCTTCAAAAATCGCTTTGGATGGCTCAATTACGACCATTTGTCTCCGAGATATCGAACTTTGAATGCAAAAGCATCCTTTTCCATTCAACTGCTAATATCTCTGGAACTACTGGTCGCGCACAGCAAGCGGGCGCCGAGTTTCTTTATCTGCATAAAATTTCCAATTAAGCACAGTCAAGAGTTAGTGAAGAAAAAAATTTTTTCCACCTCTAACATTGAATTGAAAAAAGTGGAAAAAAGTGACTTTTTCTCCTTTTTTGGTTACTTGGCTGTATCTTCGCTAATATGGGCGGGAAAGCTAAGGTTTGAGGAAAATTTTACAGTCTATTGTTCCTTAAAGAACCCCCTAAATCCCTGGAACGATCGGTTCAACGGTTTTTCCCGGACCAATTGATTGAAATTTTGGAAAAAATAAGGGAACAAGGTTTTTGTCCCTTAAACTCACCCTAATCCATTCAAAAATCAATAATTTCATTTGTTTTTCACTTTTTACTCAATTTTTTGTTTTTTAAAAATTCATTATCAAAAAAAAAAATCGAAAAAAATCAAGAAAATTTTATGCAGATAAAGAAACTCGGCGCCCGCTTGCTGTGCGACCAGTAGTTCCAGAGATATTAGCAGTTGAATGGAAAAGGATGCTTTTGCATTCAAAGTTCGATATCTCGGAGACAAATGGTCGTAATTGAGCCATCCAAAGCGATTTTTGAAGCTGAATAAACACGCTAAGAGACCTATATAATGGAGTAGCTCGAAAAAATTTTTCCATGCCCATAGAGTGAAAAACGAAACCTAGAAAATGTAGAAAAAAATTATTTTCATTTTGTTTAATTGCATGGAAACCGGAGCTCAAAAAATTTTTTCACCAAAAAATCTGAAAACTAGAGTTTTCAAGCTTCATATATTTTTTTAAATTTCCTGTATATTATTTTTCACTGAAATACAGCCTGTTGAAAATCACCCAAAAATTTCAAAAATTTTTATGTTCCCTTAATTTTTGCGAGGAGTGTATATAGAAATATATAATATATTTAATTAATAATAATATGCTTGAATGTAGCTTTCTGGATTTTTACATTTATCATCGTATCTAATTTAATTAAAATTATTAATGGGATTATGATAAAAGAAAATGAAAATATACGAGTATTTTATTTACCCTTTAATGTTGTTGACGGGATTGTGGCAAGCAGCGACTTCTTTATACTCCTTTTTGACATGAATTCTATCGTATACTCCTCTGTGCACTTTGGCTGTTAAAGGCATCCAAATTTCTTTATGACGGGGTCCAAATCCACGCGCCTGATTTAACATTTTTTTAATATTATTTATCACCAGTAACGACCTATATATATATATATATATATATATATATATATATATATATATATATATATATATATATATATATATATATATATATATATATATATATATATATATATATATATATATATATATATATAGTATAAAACAAAGTCGCTGTCGCTGTCTGTCCGTCCCTATGTATGCTTAAATCTTTATAACTACACAACGGATTTAGAAGCAGTTTTTTTTAATAGATAGAGTGATTCAAGAAGAAGGTTTATGTGTATTATATAATACATGCATAATATTGCAGAGAAACACTGATAAATTTAGAGGTTTCTAATGTGATGTCATAAATAAACACATTTTTTTGCGCTTACATTGTAAACGCTGGCTATAAATCAAAATAATGTACACAGTATTGTACACCTTAAAAAGGTCAACAAAAAAGTCCGCGATGGTATATGTCTATCTCTTAAGGATAACCCACAATAACAATTTTTTACATTTTGCGGAAAAAAATGGCTTATTTACGAAGTGATTTTAAGCAATACAGCATTAATTTTTATCCAATTAAGTACCTTAATCATATTGTCCATTTAATATAGATCAATATGGCCCTTTACAGCATATAATTTAAGTGATTATTTCCGAAGATATTACAGATTTAAAATGCAGGGACATGCGGTACGGCATTGCACCAGTGTGAAGCCGGGGCGGGTCGCTAGTATATTATATAGTAGAACAGAACTATCGCCTAGACTAGACAAGACTGAACGATATCTATTACTTAAAATATATAAATTAAATACTCGTAGCTTCTCTAACCTTCGGTACATCAAATTCCGAGTAAAAGGTGATTTGGTCCTTCGCTCCTATGCCATATTGGTCTTCAACGGTGAACGGCTTATGGTAAATTCTGTAGGTGGACACATAAGGGTCAAGTAGCTTACAGAATCCCTTTGAGTTGTCTGATATTGCTGGAACTTCGTTTCTACCTGCAGCTACTACCTGGAATACGTGTTTTCTTTTATCAAGCGTTAACTTGTCTTATCGAATTTTAAAGCTCTTTTCGCATCAATATATTGTTTATTAAAGTAATCTTCCATATCTCTTTCTAGATTCCTATTCCGAGAAGTGATGAAGTTAGAAGAAATATGTTATAAATCTTTTTTGTCCTCAAGACCTCGAAAGAGAAGGATGAAAACACCAAATGACATAGTTGGTATGAAGTGTATTGTCTAATTTTTGGAACGAAATTAGTTTATTTTAAGCAAGCTCACATCAAATATGTATTCAGGGTCTGGAGTTTGGACGGTTATTTCAGGAGGTGCCGTTGGCATTCTTGGTAGTCCTCGGAAATTATCCTTCATCTCTGATATCATAGTTGGCTGTGTTATATTCTTGCTCAATAACTGCAAAGTGAAAAATAACTTTTTGTATTGAAATGTGGATAGTAACAGAGAATATACTTAGTCCACGTGTTTTATTTACATATTCAAGAGAACTTGCATCTATTATTACCTTCTCGTAAAATATTGCCTGACTCACGTTAATCATATCATTATGTCTGCCGTGAAGAATACCTACGTGTGTGTGGGGCGAAAGGGATTGTTAGTAATGAGGTTTAACAGGCCAATTGCTAGCAGTACACCCAATCAGGTGGACCTCCACACAATTCCCTTGGAAAGCATAGTGGTTAATTCTTATTCAATTGGTCACTACCTGATGGTAGTAGGTACATGCGCTATCGGTATGATTACCGATAGCGCATGCGGAGTTGCCATTCCATCTTCACCCATTTAAAAAAAACTATGTGCATTTGTGTAAGTCTGAAAGTATTTTTTTATACAACTTAAAATGGCAAACAAGCTGACGGCCCACCTGATTGAAAGTGGTAAACGTCGCCTATAGACATGAGCAGTACCGTGGACATAACAGAGTACTCGTATACTGTTTCGTCCATGATACCCCCCATGCGTTGCCATTCCTGAGGACTCAATTGTTATCCCTTTGTACCCTGTAAATTCACGCCATATCCCACCCTTCAAACCGAAAGACAGCCATCCAAACACAACTGCTTTACGGTTGAAACACGAATGGGACAGAGGTGGCCAAGCAAACGACTTTTGTACAAAGTCTCCCTCTGTTCAGTAATGAATGAACAGTCCATATAATAACAATTATCCTAAGTTGACCGTTATAAGACCTACCCGTTTCTCGACGCTAGTCATGTAGTTAACCCTTCGGCAGTTGATGCTGCAGTCAGATCTTTCCATCGCCTTATTAGGATTTGGTTTCACACAGTACTCGCCGCTTGTCGTTCTGTACGTTTCCTTTTGAACTACCATGTCCCGGCCAGTAACACGCTCAGGAAGAGGGTCATCTATTTTCTAATGATTTGTTTGGAATAGGATTTTTTTTATGTTACTTAGAATGGCAAACAAGCTGATGGCCCACTTGATGGAAAGTGGCAATCGTCGCCTATAGACATGAGTAGTACCATGGACATAACAGAGTATACTGTTTCGCCCATGATATCCCCCATGCGTTGCCATTCCTGAGGACTCAGGTGTTATTCTTCTGTACTCTGTAAATTCACTGCCATATCCCAGCCTTCAAATCGAAACACAGCCATGCAAACACAACTGCTTCACGGTAGAAACTCGAATGGGACAGAGGTACCCAAGCAATCGACTTTTGTACAAAGTCTCCCTCTGTTAAAGGTCTGGGTATTATGTTGTTTCTTTGCTGTTTGTGATAAATAGCGATTGCTTGGATAGCTACTTATGAACTTGTTTTTATTTAAACTCAACTATTGCGTTATTACTTTTTTTATGCAACTTAGAATGGCAAACAATCTGACGGCTCACCTGATGGAAAGTGGTAACCGTCGCCTATAGACATGAGCAGTACCATGGACATAACAGAGTATACTGTTTCGCCCATGATAACCCCATGATACCCATTACAATGAAATAAATAAATATAACAAACACAATAATAATTTATAAGCACTAGTGAAAGTGGTATTTCAATTTTATAAGTAATATATCATCTTCATGCCGTTTCCCCTCATGTATGGTGTTAGTGTAATGTTTTTCTCCCATTCTCTCTCTCTCTTTCTCTCTCTCTCTCTCTCTCTGTGTGTGTGTGTGTGTGTGTGTGTGTGTGTGTGTGTGTGTATTTGTTTATTTATTCATTAGTACAAATATGTGTACATGGCGAACTTAATGCTAAAAGCATTCTCTCCCAGTCAACCATAGGGAAGTGTCAGAATACTCGAATGCGGTACTACTAATTATTGATATACATACATACAAAAATTATCATTTCTATCTGCAATCTATAATCTTTGAGTATTTCTTTAAAATATACGTACACAGTCCAAACTATGCGGAATAGCTGGTATATGTCTATGTGCTATGCTAGTGCCAGTTCTCGTCTCATTACTGGACAGTCTCAAAGGTATATTGTACTGAACGTTACCCCATGTGTTCACATTTTGTATCAGCAATTCATTTAGTTCAAGAGGCTGCTTATACCCTCTTGTTTTAGCCATGATTTTGATTATGAAAAATAATTGAATTATTATCAAAAAATACCGTTATAAAATAATTTTTAAGGATGAAAAAAACCATCTACGACAAAATGACAAGAAAATTGACAAGAGACAGCGTTAATATTAGACAAGTCATACAATAATAAGTTTTAATAATATTATGGAGGTTTGATGTATGATGAAAAAACAAAAATTGTAGTCGATGTTTGATCAATTTAGTTATTTCATAATAGTTAAGGTAGTTTAATATTTTTACTATTATTCTTAGTTACTATTAATTATGAGTATGATAATGATTTAAAGATTAAAAAATAAGACAATGTATAAAAAAAATAGAAAAAAAAAACATTTTTCGATATCAAGGTGCTGTAATTGGAAACATTACCCTCAGATGATCTTTAGATCCATGCTGCAGCATAATTAGTACAGGTTTACATTTTTCAAAACTGCTGACTGATGGATGTGGAGTTTTATGGGAGACCAATAATGTTATTTAATATTTAAATATTTTATTACGTACAATGTTACAAAGATTATTTTAGTGACAAGACACAAGACACTTTTGTTTTTCTAATTAATTAAGCTGTAGGTTTATGGCCGTGTACTACCTCATTCTTACACTGACTTTAAATTTTTCAAAGTTGTTCCACTACTACTTTCATGTAAATTGAAACGTGTCATTATTGCATTTACTGACTTATAATTAACTAGCGGCCCGGTACGTGCTTCGCTACGTATAAAGTGAAATAATAAAAAAAAAAATAACATGAAGTTCATTTATTCAAACAAAAATTTTTTTCAAATTAAGTCTGTAAACGATATGAAACACAGACGACTCGCTAAAAAACTGAGAAAAGTACACGCGCACATATACATACATTTGAACAATTCAAGACTCACCGTTTGTATGAATGTTTAAAAATATAAACACAAAGCAATAATTATCGCTGACAATTTGCTTTAATCGAATCGTCCAAAATGAAATGACCGCATGAATGACATAACAACATGCTTGTACTGTCAACACTGACAATTTTCAATTTGACAGCACAACCCTCATCTTAAAAAAAGGTTGAATTTGACACAAAAATCCCCATTAACAAAATGATCCGCCATTTATTGAATTCATTTGTTACAAAAAATGTGACAAATGAAGAACCGCTCGACCGATTTTGTAACACATAAACCATCTACTAAATAGTCCGAACAAAGCCTAAACATTTGGTTTGGATAGGTGAGCACGTTCTTGAGTTATAAAATTACAACGAAAAGTGGTATTAATATACACTATCTATACTAATATTATAAAGAGGAAAACTTTGTTTGTTTGGTTGTAATGAATAGGCTCAAAAACTACTGGATCGTTTTCAAAATTCTTTCGCCATTCGAAAGCTACATTATCCACGAGTAACATAGGCTAAATTTAATTTTGGAAAAAAATAGGGTTCCGTAAAATATTTGGGTTTATCGGACACAAGGTGTAAAAAAATCAACCAGAAAAGTTACTTATTTTGCGTACGCTGCCTAAACTATAAAAGATAGAACCATAAAATGTTCTAATTAATTGTAGATCTTATAAATATCTACAAAAAAGTCCGCGACACACTATACCTATCTATGTCGAGTGAGCCACAACAACCTTGAAATTTAAATAAAACCTTTTATTAGTTACCTCCTTGGTAGCCATGTTTCGAAATGAAAGGTCATTCCATTTTTAAATTACAGGACAGATGAGTTTACATAGTAATTTATCTGGACGCAAAACACGACAGATATGGATTTTCATACAACTTTTGCCGGCCGCTACCCGCATGTATCTGGCCAGTACGGCAATTTTCATTTTTTTAAGAAGATTGTCAAAATAATACTCACATGCATGTTTGAGAAAAAAATATATTATTTATAAAAATCTTTATTTACAATTATCCATAATTACAACATCTTAGAAAACAATTTAGCAATATTCGTCTTCTTCTTTTTAAAGGCTGGATGTCTACTGAGATCGTGGGTATACGTGGCTTTCAGAGATGGTTGCAAGTACATGGGGAGTAGAACATCATTGTCGGCCACCCACTCCATCACGTAATCCGTAATAGCTTCTATATGAGGAGATTTCTTGAAGGTCGAGCGAATGATCATTTTGTTGTTGTTTCTGAACGACTGTTAAATGAATGTAAATTTAATAATCGGTAGGGACTTCAAAGAAATTTTTTAATATAAAAATATATATTTTTATGTTTTAAGATCATATTATAATTACAAGATTATTTAATATTAATTGCTGATTTGACATTAACGTTTCTTCAGATAGCAATTTTCTATTGTCGTTTAGCCGACGTCGGCCTAATTTAAGAACGATTGGCTTCTGGTGATTTTTTTTAAAGGAACTCTGCTGACTATCGCTTGACAATTAAGTTTTTAAATCATAACATGATTTTATTAGCGTAATTTCTTCAAACTTACAGGATTACTATGTTCCTCGACACAATGCAAACCTTCTTGCAATGTCATTCCCTTGCTTTGTCCCTGGAATATAAAAAAAAAAAATAACAAAGAGTATTACAAAATAACTTGTCTGTAAGTATATTGATAGGCATTTTTTTTATGGGTGAAAATGGTATGGTAACCCCGCCTGCGCTAATGGTATACGCTTGCGGAGCACCAGTGAAGGGTGATAGATGAGAATGAAAACAGGAATTAACCATGATAGTTTCCAGGGAGAACCGCGAGGAGGTCGACCTGGTTGGGTATGGGTATATTGCTAGCAATGGGATTCTCAGTCTCCATTACTAACAATCCCTTTCCCCCTGATAGGCATTTTGAAGGCATTCCAAAGAGTTGAACTGGTGATTTCGTTGTATATTAATAATTTGATTTTTCACATGACTTTAACAACTTAGGATCAGTATTTATTTATTTAACTCTTTATTGCACCTAATACATAACCAATTCCAATTTAAAATGGTTGGCAATGTTGGTGCTACAGTTTAATAAACTTTACAATTGTTACTCATTGAAAAGAAAAAGTCCTGGGAATACATTTTTTGTCTAATAAAACTAGATTTTTTTAATATTTTCTCTATGCTGATTATTTCTTATATCATTTTTTTTTTGACGGGTGAAAATGGTATGGTAACCCCGCCTGGGCTAACGGGATACGCTGGCGGAGCACCAGTGAAGGGTGACAGATGAGAATGAAAACAGGCCAGTTAGCCCATCATGATGAATTCATCAGGAATTAACCATGATAGTTTCCAGGGGGAACCGCGAGGAGGTCGACCTGGCTGGGAACATTGCCAGCAATGGGACTCCCAGTCTCCATTACTAACAATCCCTTTCCCCCTCTTATGTCATATTAGATAAGTATGTGCAATAGTGCGTAAAAACGTACTTCAAAATTGTAACGTAGAAACTCAGACTTGAGGACGCAATAGTAAGAACAACTACTGTGTCCTTTTTATAGTAAAAAAAGACTCTACCTTAAAAGCAAATGTCCCAAGGACTTTTTTACTTCAGAAGTTATACACTTCTATCATGTTTTGTAAAACACCACAATTAATTGGTCGTTTTTTTTTCTTTTAATAGCAAATCTGTTAATAATCATATTCGTAACATGAGGAACTATTTTTTTTTAGGTAAATATAACTATTGGGTACCTTTGGATAAAGTTCTTTAACCATAGCGAGTAGTTCATCAGTTTGGTCTAAATACAAAAAGAAAGCCCAAGGTGATCGGAAAAATTCATAAAAATTATCCAATTTCTTTGCCTGGAAACAACGAAAGATGATTTTTAGTAACTTTTGAAATTATATATTATATACATTTTATATTAATTAATTTAACTCTTTTCTTCCTTTATTTTTTACTATATTTATTTGATGTTGACTCACTGCATGACATGAGTATGTTTGCGTGTTTTTTATGCAACTTAGAATGGCAAACAAGCTGACGGCTCACCTAATGGAAAGTGAGAACCGTCGCATAACATAGTATACTGTTTCGCCCATGATACCTCCATGCATTGCCATTCCTGAGGACTCAGGTGTTATTCCTCTGTAGCCTGTAAATTCACTGCCATATCCCACCCTTCAAACCGAAACACAGCCACGCAAACACAACTGCTTCACGGTAGAAACACGAATAGGACAGAGCTGCCCAAACAAACGACTTTTGTACAAAATCTCCTTTTGGTAAAAGTTCTCTCTCTGTTTATGAAGGTATTATAATAAGCAGGTTATTTTTATATCGTTTACTTCATTGTTTAACTTCAAGCAATCTCTATATCAAATTTCCTTCAAATTAGTAGTTCAGACAGTAGATAGCTTACTATAATATTATTGCTAGGGTTAATAGTGAAAAAAAATCTTAAAATAACAACGAGAGATAAAGTATCTTCATGTTGTATGAAATGCAGTGTTGTCTTGTTATAAACTTGATTTGAAAAACAATAGTTATCATTAATTACAGTATATCTCAAGTGAACGTTATTCAAAGCAGCAGCCGACAGCCCGTAAAGGTTTTTAAAGTTTTCCAGCGAAAACTTATCAGCACTAAGACAAGTAATTCCGTCCACGATATGATCGTTGGTGAGGTGCAACTTGAAGTAACCATCTTTAAACGTTTCCATTACGTATCCCTGAAAATTTATTTTGTATTAGCATTTTTAAGTGTTCTCCTTTTCCGTATGGTGGCAAAGGGAGAATGAATGTACAATGCTTTTTATTTCCAGGATATCGTAAATAAACTTGAAGAAAGCACAATGTACTGGACAGAGGAAAAGTACCACTTTTTAATGTGGTAATTATAGACTTTTCCTCTCGTTAGGAAAGAGCTGTACCAAACATTGAGATGATAATTAGCGGTTATCATAAGCATCATATCAACCATTAACCGTCCATTGGCAAAGGCCTTCCCCTTAGGGGGTTTTGTTAGTTGTTGCCACGATTGACAGACAGTATTTAAGACAGACTTTTAAGAGAGAGACTTTTTTAACTACTTAGAATGCCAAACAAGCTAACGGCCCACCTCATGGAAAGTGGTAACCGTAGCCTATAGACATGAGCAGTACCATGGACATAACAGAGTATATTGTTTCGCCCATGACACCCCCCATGCGTTACCATTCCAGAGGACTCAGATGTTATTCCTCTGTACCCTGTAAATTCACGCCATATTCCACCCTTCAAACCGAAACACAGCCATGCGAACACAACTACTTGACGGTAGAAACACGAATTGGACAGAGGTACTCAAGCAATCGACTTTTGTACAAAGTCTCCCTCTGGTAAATACTAATGGTTATTATATAATTGATGTTGTAATTAGAAATGGTCGTATGGGGGAATATTTTGATAAGTTTACATTCTTTTATTTTACTTCAAAAATTACTATTTATATATAAAATATTTGCAATAAATATATTAATTACGAACGTTATACTGCAGTGACTGAACATAATAATGTGGATTCTTCACTCCTGGTGAGCGTACATCAAGATATTGCAACTTTCCGGGTAGCTGGCAATGGACAACAATAGGCTTCGTCAACAACGGCAACTTCTCTTCTTCGTTATCATTATATTCTTTGCTGAATATTGAGAGAATACTAAAGATGTTTGGCGTCCGTTAATTTACTGTTTTAAAATTAATAACAATAAACTCTTTATTGTGCACAGTAGAGTGCACAGAAGTATGTATACAAGGAGTATTTATACAAAATGCGCATATACAAAAGGCGGCCTTATCGCTAAAAGCAATCTCTTACAGACAACCTTAATGTTAATAGCAATATAAAATCAAAGAATATTTGGGACCTATATGCATTATACAATTATTAACAAGGAACTTTTGAAGAGTCAAGCTTTTTATGTTATTGCTAATGATGAAAAGGAAAACATGATGAAGGTCCACCTGTTGAAATTAGTAAACCCTGTTCAGTCTTTTTTTGTCAACATCAGAGATCATATCATACAACACATTATTCGGTAAGAGTTCTCACATGAATTGGAAGTACAATGTTTAATATAAGAGGCACTTTATGTAAGTACAATTTACAATGTATAGTAATACATATCAGACTAAAACGTTGTTTTACCTTCATCGCACAAATAGTCGTCATCAGCTTCATCATCAGAATTGGAAGTACAATGTTTAATATAAGAGGCACTTTATGTAAGTACAATTTACAATGTATAGTAATACATATCAGACTAAAACGTTGTTTTACCTTCATCGCACAAATAGTCGTCATCAGCTTCATCATCAGAATTGGAAGTACAATGTTTAATATAAGAGGCACTTTATGTAAGTACAATTTACAATGTATAGTAATACATATCAGACTAAAACGTTGTTCTACCTTCATCGCACAAATAGTCGTCATCAGCTTCATCATCAGAATTGGAAGTACAATGTTTAATATAAGAGGCACTTTATGTAAGTACAATTTACAATGTATAGTAATACATATCAGACTAAAACGTTGTTTTACCTTCATCGCACAAATAGTCGTCATCAGCTTCATCATCAGAATTGGAAGTATAATGTTTAATATAAGAGGCACTTTATGTAAGTACAATTTACAATGTATAGTAATACATATCAGACTAAAACGTTGTTCTACCTTCATCGTACAAACAGTTATCATTATCAATCATTAGCTGTCCACTCCTGAACATAGGCCTTCCATATAAAAGGGGGGTTTTCCCCATTAGTTGGCACGCTTGGCAGACGGCTTGACAACAGCCTTTGGCAACATTTTTAGAGGAAACTGCTACTCATCCCTCGACTATTAAGTTCCCTTAGTTACCTCTTACGATACCCATGACTTAGAAAGGGGTGGTCCATTCTATGCCAGGACCACACGGCAACGAGAATTTAAGCTAATATTAATTTAGACAAAATTTTACAATCAGTGAATATTTTTTTTTTTGTAGTTATTTAGATTAGTGGCAGAGAACTAACGATGTCTTGCTATTGTGAGATCCACTTGATGTTTTGCTCGAACCATTCGTTTCAATGGAAGACGTGTCAAAGCTTACGCTTTTACTAGCTAATACACTTTCAGATGAACCTTTGGAGTTATACTTCTTTGCGGAGAAAAGTGGATCTAGTTGATTTCTAATAAGTTCACCGAGCTGCAAAAATGTGTAGTACTTGAACCATTTATTGTCTATAAGGTTTAACGTTACATGACTATTGTGGTATTTTTTTTTATAATATACTGTTATGTTTTATCAACCGTTAACTGTCCGCTGCTGAACATAGCCTCTCCCATAAGCGGAATTTGCAAGTAGTTGCCATACTTGGCAGGCAGATTGGTAACCGCAGTTTGTTTTTTGGCGATGTTTTAAGAGCCCATCCTTCCACTATAAGCTCTCTTAGTCGCCTCTTACAACGTCCACGGGAAAAGAAGGGGTGACCTATTCTATGATAGAACCTGCACGTTTGTTTTTTTTTACAACACAGGGGTAACCGAGCATGCGGCTCACCTGATGGTAAGTGACTACTGCCGCCCATGGTCACCCACAACACCTACGGCATTGCAGGTGTGCTGCCGGCCTTTTAAAAAGGAATATGTTCTTTTCTTGAAGGTTATGTTGTCGTATCGGTTCGGAAATACTGCTGCTGGATGTTGATTCCAAAGAGCTTGCAAAGACCATAAAGCTTGCAAATAAGTATACCATGATGAGCAGTCATCAGAGGTTATGGTTACCTACAGCACTAGCAGTGTACTGTACGAGGTCTGTCCGGAAAGTTCGTATAAAAGTGTTCTGGAATGCGAGAAAGAGGAGTGGGGAGGCCAGGTAAGCGCAGGACCCCTTCCTTATGTCCCTAACAATGCTTCAGTTCTGGTCTGACCGCCGTGCGGTGCGAACTGGCTTGTCACGCCATCTGTGAAGTTACCTCTTAACGAAACCCCGTCGGCATGGAGCCCGCTTCCGTTGAAGAGCAGCGCGTCGTAATCAAGTTTCTCTCGAAACTCGGCAAGAATGGCCGTGAAATTTTTGCCGATCTCAGAACAGTTTATGGGGATGATGCTGTGAAGGAACCAACCGTCCACAAGTGGCTAAAAAGATTCAGAGAGGGCCGAGAAAGCGTTCAAGATGACCCACGTTCAGGACGTCCTTCCACTTCACCAGTTCCAGACAGTTGATGGAAAATTCTACGTCGATGTGCTCAGACGCCTCAAAGCTCGTGTGGCACGAGTTCGTCCAGAATTGGCGCGAGAGGGGCGTTGGATTCTTCACCACGACAATGCCCCTGCCCACACCTCTCTTGTTGTCCGTGAGTTTTTGAGTAAAAATTCCATTACGGTGACCGAACACCCCCCTATTCGCCGGATTTGGCCCCGTGTGACTTCTTCTTGTTCCCAAAAACCAAATTGGTACTTCGGGGGCGGCATTTGGGGGACATAAATGAGATAAAAAAAGCTACGACGGGGCAGCTGAGAAACCTACAACCAGAGGACTTTCAAGGAGCCTTCTCACAGTGGAAACGGCGTTGGCACAAGTGCATTATGTCACAGGGGGAGTACTTTGAAGGGGATAAAATTGATTTACCTGAATAATTGTAAAATAAAATTTTTAAAAAACTTTTATACGTACTTTCCGGACAAACCTCGTACTTGTATAGCTGACTATACAACTATGAATCACAGCACTCAGTATGTATTGTATTGTAAAATCTTTATTTTACATAATTTACACTGGACACTTTAAAAGATTTAATATACAACGGCGAATTTATCCCATAGAGGCATCTCTTACAGTCAACTTTTGAGAAGCTAAAAGAAAACTATAGAATATTCAAGGACATAAACCATATAGCTATGTATGTATGGTTTATGGTTATTACATTATATGTATACAGTTACAAGAATTAATACAATTTTATAGGAATACATTATACTATATTATATATTATAATAACTATACAAAGCGAATAGTTTCACTGTAGCACCAAACACACATTTACATATGTTAGTTTTCACACATAATATTGTATAAAACACTACACTTGCCTACTTCTTCTTGTATTTTTTTCTTTGATGGGTGAAAATGGTAGGGTAACCGCGCCTGCGCTAACGGGATACGCTGGAGGAGCACCAGTGAAGGGCGATCGATAAGAATGAAAACAGGCCAGTTAGCCCATTATGATAAATTTATCAAGAATTAACCATGATAGTTTCCAGAGGGAACTACAAGGTCGGCCTGGTTGGATATATTGCTAGCAATGGGATTCTCAGTCTCCAGTACTAACAATCCCTTTCCCCCACACTTCTTCTTGTGTTCCTACATTAACTACTATATGTCTTATATCACCTTTTGTCCCACTTCGTACGAGTCATAATATTTCTGCCTCCGCGTGTCAGCGTAGTATTTCCTGTAGTATCTGGTGGCGGGGCCTGCTGCATACACAGAGGGATCCTTGGTCTTGAACTTGTGGTTAATGAGAATACCACCGTCGTAACCTATGCCGCTTTTATTTATTGCTAAAATTTCATATTGTATAAGTCTTAAGACCTACTGGAAAAGTTTCATAATAATTTATACATATAAGTTCCTTTAATAAACGTTAAATTTATAATAATAATCATCATCATCATCATATCAGCCTTTAACTGTCCACTACTGAATACATATAATAATACATACAAAAAATTCACAATACTTTATACAGAAATGTAATATTGTTTGTAATTAATATTTTGTATTTATGCCCATAATACCTGTATGGTCCCGGCATAGAATAGGCCACCTCTTCCTTTCCCCTAAGGGTCGTAAGAAGCGTCTAAGAGAGGGCGAGGGATGGGCAGCAGTGTTCCTCTTAAAACATCTCCAAAGCCCAACTGCGGTTACGAATCCACCTGCCAAGCATGGCATCTACTGGAAAAACCCCCTAGTGGGAGACTTATGTTCAACACAGTTAAAAGCTGATGTGATGATGATGATGATAAATTTAACGTTTACTAAGAGAACTTATATGTATAAATTTTATGTTTATTTTATACATATTTTATAATTCATAATCACTTAACAATAATAAAATCAGTTTTATATCTTACCAATGAACGCCTGTGTATTGATACCACGTTTCCCATAATAAAAGAAGGCAGAGCATTCCAATCGTATTTGTTTGAAATGTGACAAAAATTCTACATGTGTTACATTACTCTGGTCAACTGTCCAAGACTTGAAATAGTATGAACGGTAAACTGTCACGTTTAAGTCACTTAACACTTCCCTTATAGTTTGATCAATCTAGAAGTAAATAGAAATACCCTTAATATAAATATTACATTAATGTAATGAAATTTCAACTATGTAATATATGAGGGGAAAGGGATTGTTAGTGATGAGATTTAATAGCCCCATTGCTAGCAATACACCCCATCAGGTCGACATTCACGCGGTTTCCCCTGGAAACCATAGTGGTTAATTGTTGTTCAATTGGTTACTGTGGGCCAACTGACCTGCCTTCATCCTCACCTATCATCCTTCACTGGTGCCCCGCCAGTGTATACCGATAGCACAGGCGGGGTTACCATTCCATCTTCACCAATTAAAAAAAAAACTATGTAGTATATGTAGATAGATACATACATAAACATTATAAAACACAGGCACCCTGGATTTCTTGCTGTCTTCTGGCGGGAACGGTTCCACGAAAACTATGTTCTCAGGAGGCACATTCATTTCCAGTAACGTTGCTAGACAGCAGTAAGCATGGATAGACGCTCCATAGACAATTATTTTATCTATTATACATTATATTATCTGTTATATCATATTTTATATCTATCATAAATTACATCTTAATCGACATAGACATTAAAATAATCGACATGGTCCAAAGATTAAACAAACTGAATTGGTAATTGGCTGGTCACAAAACTCGAAGAGCTAACAAGCGATGGGAAAAAAAGTTCTTGAGTGGCAACCGAGTACGGGTAAACTCAGTGTAGGACGACCCCCCATTAGATGGAGTGACGACCTGAAGTGCATTGTAGGTAGTCAGTGGATGCAGGTGGCTCAGGACCTTTCTTTATGGCGATCTGTGGGGGAGGTTTATGTCCAGCAGTGGACGGATAATGGCTGAAATAATGATGAGTGATGAAATTACATTTTACAATTTTATTAAATTGTAATTCATCTTACTTATATAATAAAATTGTAATTTTAAAAATGTGTGTACACGGGAGATCATCATCATCACCATTTCAGCCGATAACTGACCACTGCTGAACATAAGCCTTCCCATATTGCCAGTAGTTGCCACGCTTGGCAAGCAAGTTGACAACCACAGTTAGGTTTTTAGAGATGTTGTAAGTGAGGCGTTGCTGCCGATCCCTCTACCATTAAGTACCTTTAATCACCCACAAGAAATGGAAGGCATTCCTTTCTTGTGGGTGAATAAATAGAGACCTTAAAACACACTTAGAGACCTTAAAAACACACTTAAATTGACTTGCGTCTGTCTGTTCTGGGTCTACCATGAAATGAACTGAATAATTCTTAACATTTTGTTTATCATAAATCCCACCATAAAAGTCCAAAAGAACGATAAAAAAATTTGTATTTTGTTCAACTTAATATAAGATCCACAGTCGTTCGTAATACTTTTACTGTGTGTTGGCATTTACATTTATAATTATTATATTATAACTCTCTATACTATAACATGTCAATTCAAACTAAGCGAATAATAGTAAATAGAAAGATAGATACTCTTTATTGTTTCCTCCAAAAGATTACAATATTACAATTATTATAAATATAAATATAAATATAAATATAAATATAAATATAAATATAAATATAAATATAAATATAAATATAAATATAAATATAAATATAAATATAAATATAAATATAAATATAAATATAAATATAAATATAAATATAAATATAAATATAAATATAAATATAAATATAAATATAAATATAAATATAAATATAAATATAAATATAAATATAAATATAATAATTTTACACACAATCATAATTCTGTCAAAAAAAAATCCTTAATATAAGATTACTTTCATTGTTAGTCAATATGTTATAGTAAACCACTGTATACTATAATATATCGATGCAAACAATGTAAATATTTTTACTTACAATCATAATTCTGCCAAAAAAAATCTTTAACATAACCAAGTGCTTTATTTGCGTCCATAATACTATTAACGATAAACACATTGTCTGGAACATCGTTTGTTACGAATTTAATTTCTTCTCTCAATTTTGGCACATCAAGACGGGTATATAATACTTTTCCAGCCCTATAAATAAAGGATTTCTTTTAATTATAATTATTATAAAGTTTGACTATTGTAATAGTTCGCACTAGTCAGTTTTAATGTAAATCATATAAAATTTACAATTTAAGCTATTAAGTCTTATATTTAAAATAACATACGACGTATAAAGTGATTAATATAAAACTTAGATTAGACATTTAAGTCTAAATATTGTAACAAATGTACAATTATTAGACTGAATACTGTGCAAAAAAGAATGTTTAGTTATAGAAGCATCTAGAATCAATTTGCATGTAGAGGATGATTTTTAGTCATGCGCAGTTAAATTTAAAAAGAAATAAAAAGAATAAATCCAATTGGCAGATAATCCTACCAAATATATCAAAAATAATAATATGGTTATTTGATTAGAATTATTTTGTTTAATTCCGCTATCATTAGCCATATAGCTAATATAAAGGTTGTAAAACTTCTGGTATTAATAGTGGTGGTCAATCTTCGAGTATTGGTAGTCACGAACATACTAATGTTAGTGGAATTAAACAAAATAATTCTGATCAAATAACCAATGATTTCCATAAAATAACATCTAGTTCAGTAAAATAATAAACAGTACAATGCATAGTTGAGCCTCTTTATTCGCTGGCAACATCTTAAAAAATACTCTGGAAGAAAATATAGTTGATAGAAGTTCAATGAATAGGTAAAATAAATGAAAAACTTAGTATTATGTCATAAAAGTCAATAATATGGTCTCAAACAGACCTAAATAAAGAAAATTACAAAAATTTGTTAGTCAAATAATAATAGAGAATAAATAGCAGTTACTTGAATTGTTCATCCCATTCCAATAGTTCGTGTAAATAATTCGGATGTTGATATTGCTTCCCGAATGTAAGAAATAGCATATCGTAATAGTATTTTGATCCATTGGCTAGCGTTACACGTTTTGCATGCCTGGGATATAATAATCACTAATGATTAAAGATAGCATTCAACAAAAAACTAACTTCAATTGTGATAAAACTAGTTATTTTGATTTTAAACCTAAACTAATCAATCGATTTCGATAAACATTTTATAGGACCAATCTGTGAGTATATCAGACCAGCATATTACCAGAGGGAGAGTTTGTACAAAAGTCGTTTGCTTAGGTACCTCTGTTCCATTCGTGTTTCAACCGTGAAGCAGTTGTGTTTGCATGGTTGTGTTTCGGTTTGAAAGATGGGATATGGCGTGAATTTACAGGGTACAGAGGAATAACACCTGAGTCTTCAGGAATGGCAACGCATGGGGGGTATCATGGGCGAAACAGTATCATGGGCGAAACGACAGTATACTTTCCATGTTATGTCCATGGTATAAAAAAATCCTTTCAGAACGATAGTCTAAAAAAATATAACCGAATTTAGAATCTTCTTTTTGAAGTCGGTAAAAAATTAAATAACATCATATTAATTAAATATAATATTAAACCTTTAGTTGCATGTAAAACAATTCCAACTTTCATAACAAATTTCTAACTTTCATGTGTGAAAGAATTGCCGTCAACTTGTTAATGACAGTACAGATGAATCAAATTTTAAGTTGTATAAAAAAAAGCGAATCCTTTTCCAATAGCAAGAGACCGATTGTTTTTTTTTTCTATAAACTGTCTTTAAAACGTAAAAAAATAATTAACTATTAGTTTTAAACAAACATAGAACGAAAAATGACAAATAGTTTTGAGAACAGTTCCTCGCACTTGACAGCTATATGTGCCGTGTTAGTTAGTATAAGAGATTTAAATGTATTTATCGTTTTCCAATCTGTTTTTTTTTTTTTTTGGGAATAATTATCAGTTTTACTGGTAAGCATAGTACTTCCTTTTAAGAATGTTAATAATTTTAATTTTCCCTGTAGCACATATATCGAGTTTTAAATCAATAAGTAGTAATAAAAAGCTTACCTATCTATTTCAACAACTGTTCCATACACAATATTCAAATAGTAAGTGTATGGTACACTTTTCAGAAATTTGTCCGAGTTGTAACGAAACTTCGAGAACATCGACTCGGTAGGATACTTCGAATGTTTAACGTAAGGCAAGCCTTGTGGTGATATGAGTGTTACATTTGTAAATACCAAATATGATATTGAATCGCTAAAACAAAAAAAATTATGTTAATAATTATATGAACTATTGTCAGTCAAATGAACCTTCGAGATACCAAAAGGCAAGAATAGGGGAGGAGAGAGGTTTGTAATGGAGTCAGACGAGACCATTACAAGAAATATAGAATTTCCGAGGTCCACATGCTACCCATGGTGAAAACTATCGTAGATATATGGTTAACTGGTAGGGAATACCATACGGCATTATGCTCGCCATTTGTACAAATTTTATTGTACAATAAAGAATAAATAAATGTAATAAAATCAGCTAACTTACCTGACTTCGTGCTCACATAACATCTCTTATTAGTACCCCTGGAGCGAACTAATAACTCAAGCTAAGTGAATATGGTAAGGTTTTTTTTCATACAGCTTAAAATGGCAAACAAGAACTTAAAATGACAATCCACCTGATGGAAAATGATAATCGTCGCCTATAAACATGAGCAGTGCCGTGCATATAACAGAGTATACTGTTTCGCCCATGATACCCCCCATGCGTTGCATATTAATATTTCAATTACACTGAATATAACAGTATTATTCCCTTAAGGCACGACTTGGGCAACCTTACCCTATTTCAGTTTTTATCTATGAAAAATTCTGTTTCATTGAGATATAAATTTCCTTGCAGAGTGCAACACTTCATCAAAGTTCTTAACATATTGTAACCCATAAAATATTTCCCTTCTTTTTAGGCAATTGTGTAGCTAATGAGATAGTACACCTTTTATAGCATAGACTTTACGAGCACATATTACTTGCTAGACATATAGGATATATTCGGTTGCTTATGAACGTCAATTTTTCTTAAACTTCTTTAAAGACTTTTAGCGGAAAATAATTGATAAGTATCTTGAATGTACATAGATTTCTTTTTTAAATGAATCAGTTAACAAAAGTTTGCAGCGAGTGTTAGAGTTAGTACCTGAAGAGTAAGGTGTTGAGGAAAGCCATCGCGGTACTAGAAGCGCCTACTACAACAATCCTCGTATTCACGTAAGCTGAAGGGACACTTGTCAACTTTTTCCCAATGAACCACGTACTAAACGTCATTCTAGAACATAATAACTATAATTGACTTAATATAAGCTTGATTAATATATGGCCAGTGACCATACCGTTCTGAGTGACCATACATACAACATGGTGTACGAATTCATCGTTCTGATTGATTCGTGATATGCTTTTATGAAAAGAATACCTAATTATTGTAATAATCCTCCGTTTGCAAGGAAAAACTTTATTTTCTACTGATGAAACATTTTTTTATAAAAAAGTCAGTAAATTTAGAATGACACCTACATTAGTATCTGAATCATAAAAATTAATGGAATTAAATCTTCCTTTTTGAAATTAATGGAAAATGTATTATACGAACAGAATCTACATTTCTTTCCGCATAAAAACTACCTACCTACCTTCGTTTTAATCGTCTTTTACTGGTTATCTATAACTGTACGTACATATTTTTGGATAAATTAATAATTTCCTTAAATTCCGGTAAAGAGGTACAATCTATTTCAGATTTTCTTGGTATAAGTGGAATCATGGCAGACGCTATATTATTTGCCTTATGTGCTGCCTGAAAAAATCAAAAACATATTTACAAGTCAGTAGATAGTATTCTTAATAAAACAGTCACATCAGGAAGTACTAAAATAAACAAAAATAACAATAGACTAAGGAAAAGAAGAATACAGAAATTTAAATTATTCTACATACCCACTTATTTCTATATGCAGTTAGCCATAATAATGCAGTAGTGCCAGAGAGACGCATAATGTCTCTGGCAAAGAACCTGTAATGTGCCCGGAACACAGGATAAACGAACACCGTCTTCAATGAGGTGAAGCCACTGCTAACTCCTTGCCCTCTCACATGATATTTATGGACATGAAAAGAATCAATGTTATATTTTGCACGAATGTAATCTATTTGTTCCGGTGATCTGTAAATTAAAATTTATTGCTTTTATCTTAACAATATTTGTAATATCTTTATCATTAATTATTATTTCAACCCTTCATTATCCACTAGTGAAGATCCTTATTTTCATAGGACTTTCTAATAATCGAGAATCTACCTAATCAATTACCAGTACTTCGAAATATATGTCTTTTTTGTCTTTAACTGATGACCTCATTTTGGAATCTGTAATGATGAAGCTTTAAAGTTTTCGATATTAGGAATTTTCATTGAATTTCTAAAAAACTACTAGTTTTTAAAACTTCTCTAACATCTATTTCAATTCCAAAGACGTCAAAAGACACAACATCCTTTATTGAACCTTAAAGTGTAGCACATAATGCAAATACAGTGTTTCGCAGTATAATTCCTTTATACCCACTGTAATTAAGAATTTGACAAGAATATTGACTTACGATACTGATTCAAATTATTGTGCTTACTCTAGTATTCCCACCCCTATTATGGTGAAACCGCTTAAAAGTACATAAGCTTTATTGTGTTTATCTCTTGTCAAATCATTCTCGATGGTCCAAAGTGTTTCTTTTCCATCAACATTGTGCAGAAGTTGTGCTATTTGCGGTATGTCTGCTAATTCCACTTCGCGTACTCGTAATTTGCTATAAGCAAAGTATATTGAATAATTATTATTATTAATCACAGAAAAAAGTCGTGTAAATTTAATTTGGATTGCATAAAAATTGTCTTTCACTTCGTGCTTCGGAGAACACGTAAACCTATCGTCCTATAAATTACGTTAAGAGTACAACAAAGGTGGTCTAAAAAGCTCTTAATAATAGAAAGATTCCGTGCTTAGGTACTTTATTTGTTTAAGAAGTATACAAAGAAATAAATCTACCTCATAACCGAAGATCTGTGAGCAATAAATAAAGCATATTTGCAGCAAATATATGGTTTTGTAGGCACATACTGTAATAGAGAAAATGTGAAGTGATTTTGAAGAGACATTTCATACTAAAATTAATGTTCTACAACTCTCATATTAGAATTAAGATTGTTGCTATGCTCAAGTTTTATGGTATTTTATCTAAATACTAAGCATAAGTACAATAATAATAACAATAAAAAGCATATAGATTAGACATCTAGAGAGAAAACGATACGAGAATGTCATAGAATACCACATCAGAATATTAAGAATACCATCTCGATATCGCGTTAGAAGCCATTATTAAATGTTTTATATATAAAAAAGCAAATTGTTTTTTTTTTTTTTATATATATATCAGCTTCTTAGCTTACATTAAAATGCTGTAATAACGAGAGCGTCTTGTCGGCACATGGCATGCGAATTAAACAATAGTCATAAATGTTCATTACTTCAAATGCCGCTTCCAAGAAATCAAAAGCATGTCTGAAAATATTATTGTTATTTATAAAATACAAACGAATTGAGATCTCGCTTTTTGTCAAAAACCTATTGAAACTAATGACTACGTTACCTCTCATGAATGTCGTCTCTCAAACCAAATAGTTCAATCATAAAAGCATTGGGTTCTCCACAAATAGTTGTTGCTTCACTATCTTCAATTTCTCTAAGTTTGAACAATGAATTTCTACCTACAATCACAGTATGAATGAAGCCCGGAATGTATCATAATATATGTATACGAAGTGAAATCGAAAAGAAAATATTTGCATTATTTTTAGGTGATACACCTATAGATATTTTATTGGTACAATTGAACATTTTCCAAAAAACATGGATCGAATGAAATATTCCATAGGAATGTTTTTTAGTCCGCTAATTTAAGAATGATATTTAATTTCACTAGTAAAACAGTTTCCTAAAATAATTCTCTAATGTTTTTGCTTTTGTTCCTTTAATTATTTTTTTAACTTAATCATTACGTAATATGTAGCGAATATTACAATTATTATTCAAAAATAATTAATATAATTTATTAAAATTTTCATAAATACGTACTTTTTCTTCTGGTCTTCATCACAGACAATCTTGTCCTCTTCCAGTATGTCATATCATTGGTTCTATAATGAATACATTATAAATTATAATTTAAAATACTCTTCAAGGAGGGAAAAGGATTGTTAATAATGGAGACTGAGAATCCCACTAGCTAGATAGCAATATATCCAACCAGGTCGAAATCCTCGCGGTTCTTCCTAGAAACTACCATGGTTAATTCCTGATGAATTCATCATGATGGGCTAATTGGCCTGTTTTTATTCTCATCTATCATCCTTTACTGGTGCTTCGCCGGCGTATCCCGTTGGCGCAGGCGGGGTTATAATATCATTTTCACCCATCAAAAAAAAAACTCTTCAAGAACAAAGTTATACACGTAAATTTTTAAAATGTAAAAAGTTAAAAAAAAACTTACAATTGTTCAAACGAATTCACGTCTGGTACGGTCAGTAACTTCTTGTCGATATTAATAATATCATAATCGAACGTATCACCCTCCAACAAGTCAATGACAGAGTAATTAGTAGTCTGCGATTGTGTTGGGGACGTCGTATAATTTTCACTTAGGTCAACAGAAAATGTTTTATTTCTTAATTGCTCCATGCTATGTCGTTCTCCAATGCTGTGACCAAAATTCACTTTGCTTGACATCTTCGGTGTCTGATCAACTTTCTCTTTTGATGGTGCCTGTATAAACCGAAAATTTTAGTTAATTACAGTATCTTTACTTTTATCCATGTTTAAAAAACTAATCTAAATCTACTAAAATAAATCTAATAATAAACTAAATCTAAAAATTTCTAAATATAAGAAAAAGAAATGGTTATGGTGTTAGAAATGTCTATGCGTTACTAATTCATGCTAGATAGTAGTGAGAAATGATAGATGATGATGATGAAATCAGGTTAGTTGGTTCATCGGAACAAATTTTATCAGAGGGAGACTTTGTACAAAAGTCATTTGCTTGGGTGCCTCTGTTCCATTCGTGTTTCAACCGTAAAGCAGTTGTGTTTGCATATCTGTGTTTTGGTTTGAAGGATGGAATATGGCGTGAATTTATAGGGTACAGAGGAATAACACCTGAGTCCTCAGGGATGGCAACGCATGGGGGGTATCATGGGTGAAACGGTATACGATATACGGTTACCACTTTCCATCAGGTGGGCCGTCAGCTTGTTTGCCATTCTAAGTAGCATAAAAAAAATCCGCTACCATTAGTATGAGTGTAATTACCAACACTGGAACACACATACTAATAGTAGCGGAATTAAATAATTCTAATCGAATGACCAGTGATATGAACTTCCACGAGACAACACACCTAACACCTATTTCAGTAAAATATTGTTTATCCTTATTGTTTCATCCTGCGCTAATGCCCCATCATTGTCAATTATTAACATTGACAGATGCACCATCCCATCTTTATCCATTATAAAAACTCTTACCTTTGGTTCAATCAAAATTTAATTTCATTCCGTTCTAACCTCTCTTTAATTCCACATGAACATGAATTGAATGATATATGAAATCATGAATATAGGATGTATATATGAGTATACATATAACTTACCTCGTTAAATGATTTTCTTTCCAACTTTGATAACCTATCGAAAGGCCCGAATTTACCACGCATAATAGGTTCTCTGAAAAAAAAATTGTTTTATTGCTTTTGCTATCAATAGCAAACCTATTTATTATATGGAATATTCCTTTGGAAATATAAGTTTTTATATTACTATGTAAATAACAATATTACTTCGTTAAAATTCGGAAATTTGTTCTATTTATTTTGTTAGTTCCTACTAGAACTTAAGTTCATTTCGAAGAAATTGGAAATTTAGAAAAAACTCCGATTTTAGAAAAGATTAGATGAGGTAGATGAGAATAATACCTGAAGAAGGTAAAAGCCCTTAAAATAATATATATAAAAAAAAAGATATTACTATAGATATTATATTTTTGAATAAAACAAAGCAATGTAGAGGTAAAGTACAATAGGTTATTACAGTGTAAAATACTATTATGATTAAAAAATAAGATTCAAAACACAAACCCAAAAACGTTAAGCAATATATTTTCCCTTTTCTTCTGTTCTTTCTCGAATGGAGTAGCCTTGATCAATCCATGGTAAGGCTCTAATTCATAGATACTTTGAAGTTTTTGGTAATTTATTACGGAATTCAGACACATTACGCCGACAGCTTGATCTTGCGCCTAGATTTTAAATGATGAATTTTAAATTATTATATGTTACATTTATTTAGATATACCGTCCGTGAAATTACTGTGGAGATTACATAGAATATCAACACTGTAGCAGTAAATAAACTTCCATAGCGTAATGCTGAATGCTGGCTACATTAGCAACCAATTGTTACAAATTAATTTTAATATTATTATCTCTTTCTATTGTTTTATTTGTGAATACAATTAGTTGTCGATAAAGCTTTTCTTTCTTTCTTTTTTATTTGTACTGTTTGTTTTTGCATTGCAAGTTGCATTTCTCGCGCTAACAAGAACATAAATCTATACTTACCTCTGCAACAATCAGCTTCCTGTTCATATCTGGGTGTCTTCCAATAATTTCACTTATGTAGTAATCACCGTACAATTCCTTCAATCTTGGACATTTCTTGTCTAGAATCTCGACAATATCATCATTGTCTTCTTCACTAATAAATGATTTAATAAATTCATCTCGTACATCTTCAAATGCATAGCAGGGAGTCAGTGGATGCAAACGACTCAGGACCCTTCCTTATAGCAAGCAACCCTTAGCAGGCGGATTGACACCGCAGTTAGACTCTTAGTGATATTTTAAATAGGAAGCTACTGTCTATTCTTGTATCATTCAGTTCCCTTCATTCCCTCTTACGACACTCACGGGAAAAGAAAGAGTGGCCATCCAATGTCAGAACCACATGGCAATAGCCGTTGCCAATGATACCCGTCAGGGGGGAAAGGGATTATTAGTAATGTTGGATTAATAGTCCCATTGCTAGCAAGCTCTGTCACGTCAACCTCCACGCGGTTCCCCCTGGAAACCATCTTGACTAATTTATCGTTGAATTCGTCACGATGGACTAACTGACCTGCTTTGATTCTTATCTATCATCCTTCATTGGTACCCTATGAGTATATACCGATAGCTCAAGCGGGATCACCTTTTTATCATCCATTAAAATCCAAAAAAAATTATACTCGTCATTAATAATAAATGTAACAAAGAAATACCTACAATTAATTCTATCAGCGAAGATAAACTAAAAGACAAAATAGGACAAAGTTATATACACGGCTCGTCTTATCCTCAATTTGGGACAGAACTCCTGTCGCATGGCCGTCAACAGGAACTGCGTATTATCATTGTCACTGTCCACTTTCGCACTATATTTAAAAATGCTTCGTTTCTTGAAAACTGGATATCTCAAATATTTATCTGCAAATTATATTTTTAACTAGCATTTTCTGTTATTAGCTTTCGTACCCTAGTCTTTCAGAATTAGGTAAATCAATAAAAAAAATCAGTAAACTTATTATAAATACAAACAATTGCATAAAAAGATTACACTGGGAAAATATTAGGTGACCTTATCGCTAACAGCATTCACTTCCAGGCGAACTTTGGATAGAGAAGAATTATTATAGTTTGACCAGAAGCACGAAACTTTGGTCGTCTTTTTTAAATACATATAGAAACATAATACATACAATAATATAAATATAAATGTACATATTAATTTATTAATTACCTTCCGGACAATTTGTAGGTACGATCATGACAATGTAATTCAAATAATCATCATTGTTAAACACAGACACGAATGCCTCGTCTACGAAGAAGTCTGCAACATCTGTCAACATCTGTACAGGTAATAACAAAACGTTGAAAATAATATAGTGTACGAACAACGTGTTTCGCCGGATACACGATGGAATTATTAATTATTATTAATGTAATATATAATAAATACGAAATAACGTCTGAAAACATTGAAAATAATATAGTTAATTCTCATTTACTGATTCATTTTTAAATACCGATTATAAAAAAAAATAGAATTCTATAGAATCTATATTATATATATATATATATATATATGTGTATGTATTTTACAACACAGGGGGCAAACGGGCATGCGGCTCACCTGATGGTAAGTGACTACCGCCGCCCATAATCACCCACAACACCAGCGGCATTGCAGGTGTGCTGCCGGCCTTTTAAAAAGGAATATACTCTTTTCTTGAAGGTTATAATGTCGTATCGGTTCGGAAATACTGCTGCTGGAAGTTGATTCCAAAGAATGGTTGTTCGTGGAAGAAAGTGCCTTGAAAAACGCACAGTGGAAGACCGCCACACGTCCAGATGATTGGGATGAAATTTTAGTTTGTGGCTAAATAGACAGAAAGATATAGGTATATATGTAGATATTCAAGTAAAGCCGGAGAGAATCATATATAAATATCAAACCACTGACTGGAACATGTTCCTGAGCCAAAGTTCCCAGTCGGCGGGGTCGACGGCCGCCACGTTGGGGTGGTCGCACAACGCCATGAATCCCGTCACTTCTTTGTTCTCGTTTATCATGCATATCGATAATGTTGATAATTCGCTGTAAAGTATTAGTCTAATAAAAATCACTGGGGGAAAAGGAATTGTTAGTAATGGGATCTAACTGTCCCCTAGTAAATAATACACCTTATCGCGTCGACCTCCACGCGATTCCTCCTGGAAACTATCATGGTGTTGAATTCGTCACGATGGGCTAACGGTCCCACTTCACCCTCACCTATCATCTCTCACTCTATTTATAATATAAGGAATACATACTTACCTTTTTTTTATACCACTGAGATGGCAAACAAATTTTTTTAAGCAACTTAGAATGACAAGCAAGGTGATGCCTTGAGACCTACCTGATGAAAAGTGGTAACCGTCGCCCATAGACATGAACAGTACTATGGACATTACAGAATATATGCTATTTATTACAGAATATATGGCTATTTCATCCATGATACTCTCCAAGCGTTACCTATACATATATATACATCTGATGGTAAGCGGTTACCGTAGCCTATGAACGCCTGCAATACCAGAGGTATTGCAGGCGGTACGCGTGCGTTGCCGATCCTGAAGAAACCTCTTTACCCCTTTTTTGACGAGCCTTATACTTATGTAGGATTGATTGTAGGGTTCATCTTATAAATATATATACATACATACATACATACATATCTGTCACGCCTGTCTCCTATTAGGATAGGCTGAAACAATGGAACGCTAAATGCTTCTATTCAAACAAACCTCTTTCGCTTCTTCCGCATTCGTCAATCTTTTCATACACGCTCGCCGGTTACGCGCACTTTTAATTTGGCCCTTCTTCAGCATGTCGCCTATTTGGTCAACATACGTCTGTCTAGGGCGGCCCCTACCGACATCTCCATTCATTCTTGCTCGATAAATCTCTTTCGTAATTCTTCTTTCATCCATCCTCTCCAAATGGCCAAACCAACGCAACATTCCTTTTTCGATTTTTGTCACTACATCGTCTTTCAGTCCACACTTCTCTCTAATTAACAATTAAAATATAAGAATTATTTTACAATTAAATATATACATTTTTGAATCGTCCAAGTCAACAAAACACTCTTGCGGGTCGCTGGCCCGTGCGCGGTATCTTGCTCTGCGCGCGCAGCCAACAATCACAAAGCGTTTGCGCGACCGCCGCGCGCATCTTGCAAGTGAGTCCCGTGACCAAGCGTCGTCACATAAATAATATATAACAAAATGTTTGTTTGTCTGCTTGTTTTTTTAAGTTCAATTATATTATAAAAGTTGATATTTATAATAAACATCGGTGAGTATCATCTCACCACACTTACATCAATTCAGCTACATCGACAACACCAAACAATGGCTCTGTGTGTTCCCTTTTCCAAAATAATTGTACATCGTACTTGTCACTATCCACCGCCCTTCTAAATCTTCTACCAGTGGGACCAACGTTGAAATCAAAATATATTGACATTATAATTAAGCATACAAATATATAACTCCAATGCCAAACGTAGATAAATCTAATAGGCCATGAAAAGAACAAGGTATATCCAGTCTTAACTGTAGGTCAGTATCATACAATCAATAATCATGTTGATAAAAAAAAACTGAAAAGCACAAACAAATTCAATCATTCGATTTGGCACCAACTATCAATAATCCAATATAACTACTGACATAATTCCTAAACTATGAATCGATATAAAACAACAAAAACAATGATAACAATTTTATCTATGACTACATACAAAATAATAAACAATTCAAAATCAATCATAGAGATTGTTTTTAATATTATTATGCACCAAGATTAATTAATCAGGAAAAACAACCAATTAAATCCATAAATATTGATATACGAAAAAGTCAACATGTACAATTGCAGAATGAAAATAAAGCGCATCCGACCGAATTATGCACTCATTTCTAACTAATCTTGCTTGAGCCAAAGTCTTCTTAAACAAAAAAAAAACTTAAAATTTAAACATGGAATTTCATTTGTACGATATTTGGCGCCACTTACACTCTTGTCTATGATAAGAAATTATTTTTAAATATTTTACTAAACCACGCGTTATCTTACGGAAATCAATATCACTGGTTAGTCGATTAGAATTATTTTGTTTAATTCCGCTACCGTTAGTATGTGCGTGTCTGCTGACACTCGAAGATTGAACGCTACAATTACTACCAGAAGTTCTATAACCTTCCATATTAGCCATCAATCCATTTCGACTTTCGACTAACAGACACGTGATTCACTTCTAAACGAGACATCTTCAGACAACATCTTTTTTTTGTATTCAGTCAGAGGGTACTCAGTGCAAATTAATTTAATAAAAATTGGCTCCTCATTTATTTTTATTTTAGTTGTACTTGTCGTGAGACATAGGAAGTTAAAAAAAAGACTGTAAACGAGAAACTCTAAAAAATACGTATTTAAAACATTAAATAAATAAAATACTGTTATTTCTTCTAAAATACTGTTAATTCTTCTAAAATACTGTTTAATATTCTTCTCAGACCAAAATATACTTTATTTCTTGTAAAAAAAAAAATTGGTAACCCTAAATGTTGGGCAAAATTACTGTAATCGTGTGATAGGCTCTTTAGAATTTTCTTGTCGTAAACAGACATAATTTTTCTCATAATACCTATTTGCTTAAAAATCCATTCATGAGTAACAAGAATACGATCTTTTTAACCTTCACGATATTATTTATTACTATTACCTACTAATCTATCCTACTTCCCACTAATACCAGTAGGAAATAGTCATGCGTAATATAGATACGGCTTTGATAATTTTAGACATAGTAAATTTAAATAAATACACACAATGTTAACAGAGATTTAAAACAGTAACTGTTGAATTTCTTGCGAGCTCTTCTCAACAGATAACTTTCCGAACCCCGCATTCTTAAAAAAAATATCGATTGTGAAATAAAGTGCTTGTAAATAAGTTTATTTGAATAATTAATTTGGTTCGTTTACATTTTTTCATTTAATTATTTATGGAAAAAGTCACCACTTATTTTAATATCATCTATGTCGGTCGGAAATGTCTATTCATTCCGATCGGATTATTGCATTTTTTTATACTACTTAGAATGGCAAACAAGCCGACGGCCCACATAATGGAAAGTGGTAACCGTCGCCTATAGACATGAGAAGTATCATGAACATAATAGAGTATACTGTTTCGTCCATGACGACCGTTTCAAACCGACCACAGCTATGCAAACACAACTGCTTCACGGTAGAAACACGAATGGGACAGAGGTACTCAAGCAATAGACTTTTATACAAAGTCTCCCTCTGGTAGATTTAGATATTATATATTGAACAATGATTGAATAATATGATATTTAATATATACATTGCCAATTGAGAAAAATTGCCAGTAGTTGCCACGCTTGGCAGGCGAGTTGGCAACCGCAGTTAGGCTTTGGTGATATTTTAAAAGCTAAGCTAAGGCTTCTGCCCATCCCTCGACAATTAAGTTCCCCTAGCCGTCTCTTATGACACCCATGGGAAAAGAAGGGGTTGGTGACCCGTTCTATGCAGGGGGAAAGGGATTGTTAGTAATAGAGACTGAGAATCCTATTACTAGCAAATTATCCGACCAGGTCGACCTCCTCGCGGTTCCCACTATCTATCTAGGAAACTATCATGGTTAATTCCTGATGAATTCATCAGGATGGCCTGTTTTCATTCTCATCTATCACCCTTCACTGGTGCTCCGCCAGCGTATTCCGTTAGCGAAGGCGGTGTTACCATTCCATTTTCACCCATCAAAAAAAAAAGACCCATTCTATGCCGGGAACACATAACTAAAAAATATATACATATATAATATTTATTTACAAATTATACCTAATACTATAAATCTTTCAGGGTTAGCATTGATTTTGTTATCGAATTAACGCTTTATCGCAATACACAGAAGTTATAAAAGTCATTGGTAGGTTCGCGCAATTGTTATTCCTAAGTTAAGGGTAAAATGTGGAAGGTGCCGCTTCTCTGTTTGTTTCTGGGGGTAACAGTGCTTGCTGGTACTTCTCCCCATGCAGAATACATTGAACATTTATACAAAACTACACAAAATGGAGGAAGGTTTTCGGACAATATCCTGGAAGACGCTAATTTAGATGTGGTAAGTTTATACAATCAGATTTTAAAAATAAAAAAAATATATATATATATATATATATATATATATATATATATATATATATATATATATTATATATATATATATATATATATATATATATATATATATATATATATATATATAATATTGCGAAAATTTCCAACACAAGGCCGATTAAACGAAATTTAAATTTGTCAAATTACATTCTACTGTATTGTCGGTTAGATCATTTACCAAATTACAGCAACGAAAAACTATTAGAATAATGTAAACCAAGCATCATCATCATCATCCTCATATCAACCGTTAGCTGTCTACTGAACATAGGCCTCCCCCATAAGGGGGATTTTGCCAATAGTTGCCTCGCTTGACAGGCGGTTTGGCAACCGCAGTTAGGTTTTGGTGATGTTTTAAAAGGGACGTTGTTGCCAATCTCTCGACCGTTTTTTTTTTTTATGCGTGAAAATGGTACACATGGCTACTAGTATAGTATTTTTTATTTTGATGGGTAAAAATGGTATGGCGCCTGCGCTAACGGGATACGCTGGCGGAGCACCGGTGCAGGGTGATAGATGAGAATGAAAACATCCCATCATGATGAATTAATCAGGAATTAATCATGATAGTTTCTAGGCAGAACCGCGAGATGGTCGACCTGGTTGGGTATATTGCTAGCAATAGGATTCTCAGTCTCCATTGCTAACAATCCCTTTCCCCCCATCTCTCGACTGTTGAGTTCCTTTAGTCGACTCTTATGACACCTATGGAAAAACCAAGCATATTATAAACTAATTTATTTACCATTTCAGGAAGGCCTAGTAAGAAAATACAACTATCCAATCGAAACTCATACTGTGACCACTGAAGACGGTTACATTTTGGGAGTGCACAGGATTCCACATGGCCGTGACAAGAACAATGTGACAGATCCGAATAAGCCAATAGTATTTTTAATGCATGGGCTCCTTTCGTCGTCTGCTGACTGGATTCTTATGGGACCTGGAACCGCATTTGGTAAATTTGCTTTTATATGGCATACATGCACTCATACACTTCATCATTTTACTGCTCTTATTCCCATTATTTGGAGTCGACATAATATAATTTACCAGAGGGAGACTTTGTACAAAAGTTGTTTGCTTAAGCACCTCTGTCCAATTCATGTTTCAACCGTGAAGCAGTTGTGTTTGCAGGCTTGAAGTGTTTCAGTTTGAAGGGTGTCTCGAATCGGTGAATCGAAATTTGGTAATTTAAAAAATCGGTGACGCAATGGGTGTAGCGATCTAGCCTAGAGCCGATCGCTCCACGGGTTAAAGCTAGTCCAACTCTTTGCAGCTTACCTCCTTGCCGAAGAAGGATACGACGTTTGGCTGGGCAATGCTCGCGGCAACTACTATTCACGTAAACATGTTCGCTTGAACCCAGACGCCATTTTAAGTACTAGGTACTGGAAGTTCTCATGGGACGAAATAGGCAACATAGATTTGCCGGCCATGATCGATTATGCGCTTGCGCACACCGGCCGAGACAGGCTGCACTATATCGGCCACTCTCAGGGTACCACGTCGTTCTTCGTGATGGGTGCCCTACGGCCGGATTACAATAAGAAAATTATCTCGATGCACGCGTTCGCTCCGAATGCTTATATGGAAAACAACAGGAATCCTCTATTGTTAATGATATCGCCATTTGCTACTAGTCTTGAGGTATGTGTAAGAGACCTAGAAATTTTAGATTTATGATAATACTAACTGTATTCATTAAGCAAAAATCAATATTCACAGTATACTTACATTATATAGATAAAGTATCTCCATACAAATGCTTCGAGAAAAGCGGATCAACTTTTTCATACAATTTTGTATGATAAATAATTATGAGTGATTCCTTAATAAATTATATATTTATTTGGCAGTCTATGAGGGAGGCTTATGTTCAGCAGTGGACGGATAATGGCTGAAATAATGATGAGGAATTTAGAATTATACAATAAAAATTGTACTATCATATAGCGAATATTAATGCATTTTTTTGTTAATGGATGATAATGGACTGGTAGCTCCGCCTGCGCTATTGGTATACACTGGCGGGCCACCAGTGAGAGATGATAGATGAGGATGAAGCAGGTCAGTTGGCCCATCGTGACAAATCCAACAATTAACCAATCAAGATGGTTTCCAGGGGGAACGGCGAGCAGGTCGACCTGATAAGGTTTATTGCTAGCAATGGGGTAGCTAATCCCCATTACTAACAATCCCTTCCCCCCAATTTTAATATATTAACTGTCGTTGCAGAAAGTGGGATCTGTATTTGGTCTCGGTGAATTTATGCCCAACACTGCAATAATGACGTGGGCCGGCCAAGCGTTGTGTATGGATGAAGCACTTTTCCAACCCGTGTGCAGTAACATTTTATTTCTTATCGGTGGTTGGAGCGTATCGCAACAGAACACTGTAAGTATTTATCTAGTCTAGTTTATAATGGGGGAAAAGGACTGTTAGTATAAGGGTCTAACTGCCCCATTGTTAATATATTTTTTTTTAGCCCACGGAGGTGGCAAACAAGCATACGGCCCACCTGATGGTAAGCGGTTACCGTAGCCTATGAACGCCTGCAATACCAGAGGTATTACGCGCGCGTTGCCGACCCTGAAGAAACCTCTTTACCCCCTTTTGAAGAACCCCATGCTGTAGTCTCTCGGGAAAACCTCGGCAGGGAGCTCATTCCATAACCTGAGTGTTCGTGGGAGAAAGCATCTCTGAAACCGCATTGTACGCGACCATTTAGGCTGTAAGGTATGAGGGTGAACTCCCTTTTTTTTTTTAACGTCTGGAAAATGCTTTATGCAGACCCATACACCTTGTGGGAGGTGAATGGGTACTGTGGGAGTCCCCCCGTAAGGTGGGGGTGTACCCACTAAAAACCAGACGATATACCCTCGAGGTGCCATATGTCGGAGACATGGATTCGCTTTCGCACTCACCACATCTCCGACGGCAGCGAGGGTGAACTCCCTGCCGATGGTGAGCCGTACGATTATAGAAAGTGGCCATAGGCATCATATTGAACAATTCCTCTGAGCACAATCCGTTGTATAAGCGGTAGAACACGCAGAGTGAGGCAAAATCTCTCCTAAGACTTAAGGGTTCGATACCGCTTGCAAGCATGGGATGCAAATGATATATCCTATATTAACATGCAAGCATGTTAATATAGGATATATCCTAAAAACCACGTGGAACTAGGCCTGATAGGATATATCCTATCAGGCATAGCTCCACGTGGTTCCCTCTGGGTTAAGGGGGAAAGTTATTGTTAGTAGTTAATGGGGAGGTTAATCCCCATTGCTATCAATATACCTTATCAGGTCGACCTCCACGCGGTTATATTAAAATTGTAACTGCACGGTATTTGAACATAGGAGATATTATATATATATATCACATTTGTCTTCTTAAATATCAAAATCTGGTGTATGTGTTATTTTAATATACCATCATCTATTTAATTTGTTTTTCTATTTTTAAAATCCCCGCATACGAAGTAATAAACAGAAAGGCAGACAAAACAATAATATTCATTTCAGCTATTGTTTACAGACTATGATTCCTGTGAAATTGGGCCACACACCGGCCGGGGCGGCCGTGAGACAGTTCGTCCATTACGCTCAAGGGATCGCCAGCAAACGCTTCCGCCGGTACGACCAAGGAAGTATGAAAGCTAACAGAAGAGCCTACGGGACTAGACGACCGCCAGAGTACGACCTGTCCAAGATCACAACTCCTGTTTTCCTCCATTACGCCGACAGGGATCCAATGGCACATGTTAACGATGTAGATAGATTATTTAGGGAGCTCGGCAGACCCGCGGGGAAATTTCGTATATCACTACAGAGTTTCGGCCACTTGGACTTCATATGGGGTGTCGACGCTAAAGAATTACTGTTTGATAGGGTAATCAATCTCCTTAAAGCGATGGACGTCCATGGTGTAGATGGGCAGGTTTAATGTATACAATAAATTTGATGGTATTTTATAAAAACAGCGGACAATATTTTTAATAATATTTAATTTATCTTTTTGACTCACGTGTACATCAAGTTTCAGTTGGAAAAAGGAAGAGGAAAAAGACCACAGACAAGAGAGCACACACTGTCATAAACAACTACAAGAGTTGCCACCTATGAATAATATTAATAATATTTTTGGACCTTTAGTGACCACACTTAATACTCCAACACCCCTCCTCAATAAAGTGTCCAAAAAGAATAACCAAAAAGAACCTGTTCTAATATTTTGAACTGAATTTAAAAATATATATATATACACATATATAATATCATAGATGAATCATTTATTCTAAATCATCATTAATTTGCCTCTAAAATATATAAACTTTTCTTTACATAAAGGTTTTGTCAATATATCAGCTTGTTGCTCTCCAGTCTGTACATATTTTATGTTAATTATACTATTTTCTATGTTTTGTTTAATAAAATTAAATTTTATATCAGTGTGTTTTACTCTTCTATTGCTTTCTGGGGCATTACAAATAGTTATAGTTGCTTGATTATCAACATGCATTATTATTGGACCAGTACAAAATAAATTAAAGTCATTAATTAATTTTTTTAACCAAATCGCTTCTACTATAGCAGAACTAAGAGCATTACATTCCGCTTCAGTTGATGAAAGGCTCACAGATTGTTGTTTTTTTTGATGACCAAGCAACAGTACAATCAAACAATTTAAACAAAAAACCTGATGTTGATTTTCTATCATTAATATCACTTCCCCAGTCAGAATCCACATAACAACTTAATTTTGTTTCACTACTTTTACAAGAATATATCAATTTTAAATTTATTGTATTTTTTACATATCTCAACACTCTTTTAATTGAATTATACAATTTTTCATCAGCATGATTTTGAAATCTACTAAGATATGACACTGCAAAACACAAGTCAGGTCTTGTTCCTTGTACTGCATATATTAAACTTCCCAATAAAGCTCTACATTTTCTCTCATAAAAAGGATCATTTTCCTTTGATTTAACAAGTTGTAATTTATTTTCCATTGGTGTTTGTTGTGTTTTGCAGTCTGACATGTTTAGTTTTAATAATAACAATTTCAAATAATTTTCTTGACTTAATTCGGTGGTGCCCTCTCCAATATTTTGATTTACAGATATACCTAAATAATTTTTGACAGGACCTAAGTCTTTCATACAAAAGTTTTCAGATAAATAGGTTTTTAGTTCACACAATTGAGTATAGTCACTTGCACATAATAATATGTCATCTACAAACAATAATAAATATATTTTATTACCTTGTTCACATTTTGAATAAAGACAGTAATCATTTTCAGACCTAACAAACCCCTTCTTAGTTATTACAGAATGAAATTTTAAGTTCCAATATTTTGGGGATTTTTTTAAACCATATATCGACTTATTTAACTTAAGAACTATATTATTTTTGTTTATTGCACCCTTAGGGGTTTTCATATATACCTCCTCATCTATATTTCCATAAAGAAAGGCACTACGGACATCCAAATGATGAACTGGTAAATGTAACTTATTTGCTATGGCTAACAACACACGAAAGGTACTTAATCTAGCTACTGGTGCATATATATCATAAACCTCAAAACAGTCATTTTGTTGGAAGCCACGGGCTACTAACCGAGCTTTAAAGTCTGTAGGGTTCCCATCCATATCACACTTCACTCTATACACCCACTTGCAATCAATCACATTTTTCCCGATAGGCACAGGCACTTCAGTCCATGTGTTATTTTCATTAAGCACTTGTAATTCTTTATTCATAGCATCCTGCCACTTTTCAGAATATGAACTGCTGACAGCCTCTTCATAACTTTTTGGCTCTTCAATGACACATAGAAATGATGTTTCATAATCATTCCACCACAATGGTTTCTTTATTTGTCTTTTTTGTTTTTCTATAGTTTGTACATCTGTGTGAGATCTCTGTGGAGTTTCTTGGACATCACTTTCAGTTATTTCTTGTGTCCTCTGTTCTATGATAGAACTTGTGGTTTCTTGACACTTTTCCCCCTGTTTTGAGTCAGTTATACTCTCAAAATCTAATATAACCTCACTTTCTGGTAATAAAGTATCTGTTTGTTTTTCATCTGTTGATTTAATAAAGATTACATCTCTTTTTACCTCTATTGTATTATTTGTAGGTATGTATATCCTATAACCTTTGGTCTCTGTTATTCCAGACTCTCCATATCCAACAAAAACACCTTCTAAACTTTTTGAATCCCATTTTTGCCTTCTCACATCTGGCACATGTATGTGAACTTTACTCCCAAATAATTTGAGATGTGATATGTCATATTTTTTGTTAAACCAAATGTCAAATGGTGACTTTTCAGGAATATTTGTTTTCCCGGTTCTATTTAAATTAAACACTGCTGTATTGACTGCTTCTGCCCATAGATTCTTATTTAATTTTGCTGATAATAGCATTGTTCTTGCACATTCGACAACTGTTCTATTATCTCTTTCTATTTTTCCATTTTGTTCTGCAGTGTAAACTACTGATGTTTGATGTCTAATAGCTCTGTCTTCAAATAATTTTTTAACATTATTATTTATGAATTCTTTCCCATTATCTGTTCTTACTATTTTTATTTTATTTCCAGTTTCCTTTTCTGCCATATCAAGAAATTTTTTTATTTTTTCATACACTTCATATTTATTTTTTAAAAAATAAACATATCTGTAGCCTGAATAATCATCCTTGATTAAAAGAAAAAATCTTGATTGCCCTAAGGAACATACCTCCATAGGGCCGCAGACATCCATATGTACTAACTCACATACTTTGGTAGATTTTGAGTTACTCTTTTCAAATGGGAATTTATGCATCTTTCCCTTAATACAGTCTTCGCAGCTTTCAATTTGACTGTCCTCATACATAATATTATTTTTATTTAATATATTTCTTACATGTTGTAAGTTTTGATGGCCCAAACGCTTATGCCATTCTATCAAACACACTTCTTTACAGACTGCAGCATGCTCCCCTTGTGTGAATCTCATCATATACAGTTTATTTTTTCTAACACCAACAGCAACTACCATACCATTTTTTAAAATTTTACATTCTGTGCTATTTATATGTAAATCATGGCCCTTGTCCATGACACTTCTTGCAGAAAAAAGATTTATAGTCAGTTTAGGGACATATAAAACATTCGATATTGTTGTTTTTATCCACTTGTTTCCATTATATGCCAACAACTCTATAGTTCCTTGTCCTTCCGCATCTAATTGAGTTCCATCTCCTATTATTACTTTTTTTGGAGGGTTTAATTTCTGATAATATGAAAATGATTCTCTTTGGAACGACATATGCTCACTAGCTCCAGTGTCGACAATCCATTGACTGGAATCACTTATATTAGCAACAAACGCATTACTGATATCATTGCTAGTGTGCTGAACTTTCTTACTTCTCTGATTTTCTTTATTTTTCCTTATCCAACAGTCACCTATGGAGTGTCCAGATTTTTTACAATAATGGCAGACAATTCGATAACGACACTCTTTTTTAATATGACCTGGTTTTCCACATGAATAACATTTGTTTCTATGTTGTGACTGTACAGCACTTTTAGTTGTTAACGCTACTGATGAACTTGATTCCTTCATTCTTTCCTCTTCTATGAGTAACCTTGCTGTTAATTCATCTATTGTTTGATTACTTTCTGGAACTGATTCCCAGGCTGCTATGAAATGTTTGTATTTACTTGGAAGTCCCATGAGTATTTTAGTAATAAACATTTTATCCGGAATTGATGTATTACTGTCCAGTTGGTTTATTTTATTTCTTATTTCTTCCAGCTTTGATATAAAAAGTATAACATCATCCTCACATTGTAAATGGAAAAACTTCTGTTGTTCTATATGAAGACTGGTAGACGATTTTTTCTCATATATGGTTGATAGTTTCGCCCACATTTCTGATGCCGATTTTGCGTTTATGATGTGCACCATTATTTTCTCATGGATGTTTAAAACAATTAATGATTGGGCTTTTCGATCCTTTTTAATGAAATCTTCCGACGCCATTTTTGTCAAAGCGTCTTTTTCAACTACATCATATAATTCTAATGCTTGAAGTAATACACGAAGTTGGAACTTCCATGTGGTCCAATTATTTGTTCCTTCTAACTTGAATGCTAATTTTTCGAAATGCTTTTCCATCTTGAAGTTTTATTCTCGACTTGCCGCTTCGTCGACTCACCACGTGGATGCCCGTGATGATAATTTTTATTTTCAGAACTTTATAACTTTTTCAACACCACAAATGACTGAGCCCATAACCTGATGGTATTTTATAAAAACAGCGGACAATATTTTTAATAATATTTAATTTATCTTTTTGACTCACGTGTACATCAAGTTTCAGTTGGAAAAAGGAAGAGGAAAAAGACCACAGACAAGAGAGCACACACTGTCATAAACAACTACAAGAGTTGCCACCTATGAATAATATTAATAATATTTTTGGACCTTTAGTGACCACACTTAATACTCCAACAAAATTGAAGTCTGTTATCGGATAATGTTTTTAATTGATAATATTGGTGTCGAATCGATCTATATTTCCATTATTGTAAGCGGATTATAAGAATAAACTTTAATTTAATATTAAAAAAAAAATTTTTTTTTTAGTGAATATCATCATTGTTGAGAAAGCAATCCACACATTTCTTAATATGGCAACTTTATTAGTCTATGTTTGATGTATGTAGAGTGATGCTCTCTGGTTGCTGTCTGATAATTGTTAGGAAAGAAATATGTCGCTTCTAATACACTGTGTAGGGAGGAAAGGGATTGTTAGTAATGGAGACTGAGAATCCCATTGCTAGTAATATACCCAACCAGGTCGATCTCCTCGCGGTCCCCCTGGAAACTATCATGGTTAATTTCTGATGAATACATTATGATAGGCTAACTGGCCTGTTTTCATTCTCATTTATCACTGGTGCTCCGTCAGCGTATCCCGTTAGCGCAGGCGGGGTTACCATACTATTTTCACCCAGCAAAAAAAAACTACCTAATAACAATTCTTGATGAGAAAATTAGAAATGGCCTAATCCATTTCAGTATATTAGGATGGTGAGTTACATAACTTTAAACTTCGATAACTTTGGCGTTTAGAACATGCCAGCGATATCGAAATATTATTTTATTAAGCAGAGTATACTAGATATTTTTTTTTTCATTTCTATATTATGTAAGTAGACTCCTAAACCTACTATCAGTATTTACGAAATAAAACTGAAATCTTCAAGAATAGAGAATATTCTTATATTATTTATGGAAACAGTCTATTATACTGTTTCCATAAACAAGAGTTAATTTAAAACTAAAATACTTCGGGTTAGAGCCTAACTACAGGTAATCCTCACTATGAGTTTGTCTGTTTGTTACCTTAACGACTTGACCAATCATTATGAAATTTTATATATATATACATACTTATTTAAGATAAAGAATGACTAGTATGCCAAACAGTAAACATCAGTCACGCAACGCCACGGATAAAAGCTAGTTAAAAATAAAACAACAATTTTAAACTATGCAAATATAATTACAACCATAATTTATAATATTAGCAAATGAAATGATGCTAGAATGGATTGCGAGCGCTTACGTAAACCATAGTAGGCGTTACACAAGCTAATCACTTATTCTTGCGCCCAATTAAAATACTGTTTATAATTAAGTACTTATAAATTAATGCAAACCGTACATATAGTTAGCTGCCATATATACAAGCGAGTCGATTGGGTTTCCATAACATTTATATATGAAAACGATTGTACGTTCACGATCAACGCGGTTCTTGTTTTAAATATGGAACTGTCACATTACTGGTGCCATCTCTTGAATAATTTGAAAACTATTTTATATATTTGTTTATTTTTTATTGACTACATGTCCATGAAGGTATGATACGAAATTATAATCGATTTATTAAGCGAACGGGCCCAATCTGGTATATTTAAAGAAACAAAATACAAAAATTTAGCTATATTAAATTTGTCAATATATTACAAAACTTATGTGTTAGCTGTTATGTCTAGCAGTTACAAAATCTAAATAATATTAAAACTGACCAAATGCAAAAGCCATCACTATACAGAAAAAACATCTTAATGTACATTTCGTGATTCGGATATCAAATAAAATAGAAGGTCCCAAATCGCGTTAATGAGCGCCATCTAGAGTAAAACTGTGGTACTTCTCTCACACTAGTAAGTATATTTATTTATGCCATAAAAAAAAGACACGACATGCCATCTAAGCAATCAGGTTGGGATATAGACAATATATGGGTGTTCATGAAAGGCATGTAATTTTATAATTATTTTTATAAAATATATATATAATTTACAAACACCACCAAAATTGGCCTTTCACGATAAAATAGTCAGTTATAATTATTGTTAAAAATCAAAACAAAAATCGATCTTACACTATGCACGAATCATAATACTATTAAACAATAAAACAAACTATAAACAGGTCAGATCTCATAAAAAAAAAACACACACACACACCACAAAGAGAAATTCAAAATGTACAGTAACAACACGGAAAATATTAATTTCAAATAGAGAATATGAAAAACGAAAACACATCTTAATGATAACATAAATCAATCTGCTTACTGCGCAATTAAGCTGGTGTTAAGATTAATATAAATTACTACCCATACGTATGTTCTAAAATGGTAATAAACAAGCGGCAAAGAACAAGATGCAGAATATGGCTGTTCATCTCACAAATACGACAGGGAAAGCGTATCTATCGACAGTTTCTTTACAACTTGTTTAGGAGGGCAGGCGGATATAGATCACTATGCAGCAAACTAGCAAAGTAAAGGAAATTATTTACATATCAACAGTACCTAGTTCCATAAGGTGTAAGCATCTATCCGCGCCAAAAGGATCAAAAGCGAATCTTGTATGTCAAGTTATCAATTTTTTTTATTATTATTCTATGTTATTAATTTATATTTGTTAAATACGTAATTGTAAAATTGTAAATTTAACGTTCACTCGAAAAGAGCAAAAGTCGAATTTCTTGCCCATTGTCTTCTACTGAAACTACTATTGAATTGGGAGATACAATTAAAAAAAACATGTCATATCATAATTATAAAAATCTGTACAATACTTTATAAGAATACTTTTTTTTTTTTTTAATGAAGGAACTGTTATTTTACTACAACGTCAAATTACATTTCGGGGCAAATTGGGTACTTTTCAAATACTGGTAAAGACTCCAACAAATTCAACATGAATTAACAAATTTCTTTAAAATTTAATTCTTATGAGATTTTATAACATTTTATATCATTCATAAAGAATTCAAAGACTGGTGGCCCCTCCAGCGCGGATATATAGTCTATGCACTTTTTAAAAGCATTGAATAGTCTATGGCTCAATTCTTATAATAATAGACATAAAAATAAAGTAACTTATTAAAATTTCGGTATCATAATTAAAATTATATTTAATAATAAAATGTCAAGCAATAATTTACAATTGATATTCATCATTAAATTATATCACATTGTACACACATCTCAATTATTTTGTATGTAATTCAAGAATTTTTTTTTTTTTTTTTTGTAGTTTGCATATATAATTTGTTATTGAATCAAACAAAGAATATTTAAAAATCAAACATAGAACGATTCAAAACAAATATAGAATGTTTCAAATCAAATATAGAACATTTTTGAATCAAACAAAATGTTGAAATGTGTGTATGTTCAATCTAACCTATATATCTAAATAAGAGGTGGTAAATTTTTTGCTCGCATCAAATGTGTGTGGGATTTGGACCGGCTAACGCCGTTAGGTGTCGTTTTAAGTGCTAGAGTGCTGACTGTGTTCTGGCGTTGCAGATTAATTTTGTTAGCGTTGAGAGGTGTCCGCGGGGTCGCGAATCCATCGTTGTTCAATTTCAAAGCGGACCGAGTGAGCCTCGTTGGCGTATATAGTAAATTACTTTTCGGTGTCATTGGCTGGTTTAAGTGTTGTATGTTCTCTTTACCCACTTTTGGGGTGAGAGGCATTTTGCGCGGAGTTTTTTTTGGGGTGGTGGGCGTGGTATTCTCGTCGATTGTGGTACAGACTATGACCGGTGGGGCGACGTTGGGACCGTTGCCTGTGGCCATGGAACTGCGACTAATTTGTCGTTCGATTATGCCATCCTAGAAAAAAAAAAGGGAAAATATATTTTATTTACTATTCTTGTGACTTTTTAATTTTTATTTTGGTAAAGCACGTACATTGGACGACTAATGTGAATGTGAGAAAGACTCTGTTTTCCGCGTTTAGCCTCTCATTTGGGCCTCATATGAGTCGTGGCTAGTACAGCCAACCTAGCTCCGCCCAGAAGCGCAAAAACTTCCTGGGTTCTTCATAGGCCTCACGGCGCGACCGCTCCATTCCGAGGATTTCTAAACGTTGATGGGCCACAGCCTCACATTACACTGGACGACTAAAAAAAGTAGGGGTTCAAATCCTTTTGGATCGATTTATCGGAAATTTAACTTTTTAATTCTAATACAATAAGTTCTAAACTAAATCTCAATTAGACTGCATTTTAATCACATCTATCAATATTTTAATTACCTGTTTACTTATAAGCTAAATATATACAACAATATTTGACTTGTAATTATTAAAGATTGTGTTCCACAAAAAACACTCTTCAATATTGACAATATCAGCTATTTTGATTTAGATCAAAAAAATTAAAATAAAAACAAAATAAAAATTAAACTACTGAACCGATTTTGATAAAATTACTACGGGACCAATATGTAAGAATATCCTTTTAGATAAATAAGAATTTCCAAACAAACTTTTTTTTTTTAAATTTGGCTAAAAATGAGATAATAAGTGACATATACAGCACATAGGTAACACTCGACTGCAGCTTGGAAATGTCAGGTTTCAATGCCATAAACCATTTCACATTCATAAATGGACCATTTAAGAACTACTTGATTCATTCTCCAAAAGGAGCATAAAGCTATTTATTCAGTAAGGCAAGTGAGACATATTCACAGGTAGCCTATACCTGTACCTTGGTGCCAGAGGGCGCCACACTCATACAAGTAGCACTAGAGTATAAACGTTACCTTGAAGTCGGTGTATGTGGTGAGCATGGTGGTTTCCATGAGCGGGTCCCGCGGTGGATCCTCGCGACCATCTCGCGAGGCTGCGGTGGAGCCGGACGCAGATGTACCGTTCATGGAACGCCGTCCAGTGCTTCGACGCTTGCCGCCCGACTAAATAGCAAACAAATATATATCATAGAATAATGGTATATGGTATGTACGTGTCCCAAACCACAGACTAGTGCAATGGCGACGCGCTAGTGGAACGTTTAAAAAATAATGATAAAATCAATTGAGCCATCATAATGAATTCATTAGAAATTAACAATGACAGCTTTCAGAAGAGACTGTATTAAGGCAGATCTGAAAAAGTATATTAGTAACAAGAACGCCAATCTCATTACTAACAATCCCAATATCTCCCCCCCCCCCCCTCGTCTTGAAATATCTGAACATTGTTATTCCTCAGAGATGATGAATGTGGAAGAAACGGCTTGTTTGAATCAAAGTATTTGGTTTTCCAGAGGGAGACTTTGTACAAAAGTCCATTGATTGGGTACCTCTGTCCCATTCATGTTTCAACTGTAAAGTAGTTGTGTTTGCATGGCTGTGTTTCGGTTTCAAGGGTGGGATATGGCGTGAATTTACTGGGTACAAAGTCCTCAGGAATGGCAACGCATGGGAGGTATCATGGGTGAAACAGTATACTCTATTATGTCCACGGTACTGCTCATGTCTATAGGCGACGGTTACCACTTTCCATCAGGTGGGCCGTCAGCTTGTTTGCCATTCTAAGTTGTATAAAAAAACTGCCTTTCCTAATGGGAGACCGGCATGACAGATGTCTATGTGTGTATGTATGTCTCCTAATAAACAGGAATCGAAAACAGACAAACCATTTTGAACCTCTCATATTTAATTCAGTAAAATATATAACTCTAATATTTCTTACTAAACGTGTCCAACTGTCAAGTTGCTATAGTAAAATCATTTTGGAAAATTCCTTATTATAATAATTTCAGTTTCGCTCAGGATAAAAGCAAATTAACAATTTTTTTTTTACTGCTGGACATAGGCTAATCCATTAGAGTGGTACTGTCAATAGTTATCATGCTTGGCAGGCGAGTTGGCAACCGCAGTTAGGAGACTGCTCCTCCATCATTAAATTTCCTTAGTCGCCTCTTACAACACCCACAGTATAGAAAATGGCCTATTCTATGCCAGAACCATATGACAAAAATGAACTATTTATTACATGTTCAAGCTCAATTTATAATCATCATTAAAAACTCACAGTGCGCTTGTGTTTCAGTATGCTGCCGTTTACTTTGGGCGTTTTCTTTAGATCTCCAAAGTCGAGCTTCCTCTTGGAGTGGTCCACCTTACCCTCGGTCACTATGCGAGCTGCCAACCGTCCACTGACACGTCTAATAAAACAGAATGTAACTTCTAAAAAATTCGGTTCAATTTCTTGCTAATATAACAAAATTGTAATTTTATCGATGTCTATACATGGGGAAAATTTAGAAAAAAAAATTAGTTCCCTCACATTCATTTTTCTTAATCATAATAAGACTAACATATAGAAAATAATAATTTTTAAAAATTTTGTCTGAATGCTTGCTCCGTGTATATGTATATAGTAAAAATACTGCATTAAATTGGATGCGGTTTTCGCAGTTAAGTTCCTGAAGATCTAACTATCTGGTGTTTTAACTACTTCTCGGTGTTTAAATGCAAATAAAATCATTTCATTCTAAATACGCCATCTAGAAAAAGTCTACACCACTGGTTTTCGTAGTATTGCAACTACGCATTCGAACCAGCGAGCAATAGGCTAGTTCATAATAAAATTTAATTGCTTTAGACACGAACGACTCCTGCGCACGATATGTTTTACATACATACTTAGTACATATGGCTCTGTAAAAAAGTTATTTCAATTGTAAACACACGTCAATGAATGACAATATGTTTTGTATCCACATTACATTACATAAATAAATCATCATCATCATTTCAGCCATTATTTGTCCCCTGCTGGACATAAGCCTCCCCCATAGACTACCATAAAAAACGGTTCTGAACCACCTGCGTCCACTGGCTCCCTGCAATGCATTTCATGTCGTCACTCCATCTAGTGGGGAGTCGTTCTACTACACTACGTAAATGAATACATTAATTGATAAATAAGTACATATATAATACATTAAATATATTTCAAAAATGATAGAAAGAAAAACGACAATTTCGAAAGTCACAAAATTCTATATCTATGAATATAATGACTACAGATAATAAACTATATAACTACATAACTAAACATTACTCATTCCTTAATCTAACAAAAAAATATTAAAATTTAAAAACAACTCTCCAACAGAACTTGAACCCATATTCGTAAACAAAAAAATCATTCCTATTTCCTTAACAAATAATTACACTGTCGTAAGGAAACAGTATTTTTCCTGGCAATTTTGATTCAATATAATTTAAAAAAGTCTTTTAAAGTTATTAAAAACGTTTTAGTACCAAAACACTCCTTGTTGTGTTTATATTTTTCTATAAAACGTTTTTATGAATTTTCTATAATACTATACAATGACTGGGTACAAGACGAAACTTCTTTGCCAGTTAATAATCCTATTTTAAATTCACGATCATGAAAAATGTATAAACAACGGGAAAGTTTAAAATTAACTATCTAGTAGGGGGGTCCAGTCCTATTGCTAGCAATATACCCTGTCAGGTCTACCTACCAAATATCACAGTGCTAAACTCCAGGTGCATTCATCACGATGAGGTAACTTACCTTTGTTTTCATCCTCACTTATCATCATTTACTGGTGCCCAGCCAGAGCATACCGTTACTGAAGGTGGAGTTACCATTCCATTATCATCCATTATCAAAAAAATCTCCTTTGGCAACTTTATTACAAATCACCTAAGACAACATAACAATATGGGTTCAAGTCCTAGAGTTTATCAGTGCACAATTCACAAATTCATCACAACATTATGAAAATATTTTCAAAGAAGACTCAATGATTTGCTACTGATTTATTACATAAGCGAACTTGCCTCATATTTGATGCAATGTTTCTCGCTTCATATCACAAACGAGCACTGAAACCATTTAAAGGAATGAATACTGTTTCTACTGTATATATATTGTATTAAAAAAAAGTCCTCATGTTCAGAAGATTTAATATTATATTTATAACGATATAGCAATGTCACACGAGATTAAACCCTTGCAGATATATATATAATACTGTGTATGAGAGTGTGTATGTCACTTATAATTTACCTACATGAATTACCATATATAACAAATCATTGACATAAAAAAGTAAAAGAAATACAAACTAAATTATTGCGTTAATAATAATAAAAATTCTGACTTATAACACATTAACAGCAGGTGTTCTTAATTCAAATTACAAAAAAAATATAGTATTCGTTCTAAATTTAATTTACCTTTTGACAGTAGATATGGCCGACCTCTTGAGCGCTGACAGATTGTTGCCGAGTGTTGTGACCGCCTTGGTAGCGCTGCCGGTGATCAGCTGGCGCTTTGGTGGCAGCCTACGATTCGGACATACTAATTATTTACAATGCGATTTACTGCTCTATTACTACGAGATAAGAAAGAAAATTATTCAATACTTAATAAAAATAAATATAATATAACAGAGTGGATTTGAAATACATATGGGTGTGCCCAATAGAAATTTTAACATTATATAAATGATCAAATGAAATTAAAACTGCAATTGTTTCAATAAGGTATACCATATTGACACAAACAACTTGTATCTAAATTCTCTGTCAACTTCTCTTATTGCTATTAGAACTTGCATAATCTAGGCAATTTGTGTCTAACATCAAATGAAGGAGGTAGGCTAAGTATGTCAATGTAACTACTTACATCAGGTAGGACGTATGCTAGTTTACCATCTCAGTGGTATAAAAAAAAAACTATATATGTAGATACTACATATGTAGAGAAATTAATGCTAAAAGCATTCTCTCCCAGTCAACCTTAGGGAACTGTCAGTATATATATAAGGCAACTGTGGCAGTGGCGAGCAGTGCACGTAGAATACCTCATGACAGTGAGTTGTATACGTAAAGTAGGTACCTGTGGCGGTCGGCGGTGCCGAAGCCAGCAGCAGTGCGGTCCCGCTTGCCGCGCGGCGAGGTGGCGAGCGAACGCAGCAGCGGTGTGGTTGGGGTTAGCGCCGCAACTGCCTTGCGTGCTGACAGCTTATTATGTCGCTCCTGGATAATTTTATACATATTAAAAGGTAGCTGTGGGAATGATTTCAAGCAATTCCTCAGATCAAAATCTGCTATACAAGCGATAGAAAACAAGAACAGGAAGAAAAAGTCTCCCTTTAGACTTAAGGGCTCAATACTGCCTGTTGGCTTGGGATTTTTGACTATTTTCATAACTTATCTTTGAACTGAGTCAGGTGGACCAAGCTGGTATCCATAAGAATACTATAAAATCAGCAATAATTTCAAAGCATATGATCATTTACTAACCGCTTTCCTTGCTTCCCATTCTTCTTCAATGAGCTGTATCAAAGGTTTTCCTTCGACTGTGAATACATTGCCTGTCTTGGTTTCATACTCAGCCACCAATTCGCGGAGTTGTGCTTCTATTTTCGGCAGCTATATAAAATATAAAAAAAAAATATGATATTAGACTCTAAAGTTTACTTTTATTAAATAACAAAACTAAATAAATTAAAATTTATAAATAATTGTACTTATTGATTAAACTTTCATAAAACAGGGATTTCTTCGTTACATACATTCTATCCTAATTTTTTTTATGCAACTTAGACAAACAAGTTGACGGCCCACCTAACAGAATATACTGTTTCGCCCATGATACCCCCCTAATGCCATTCCTGAGGACTCATGTGTTATTCCTTTGTATCCTGTAAATTCACTGCCATGTCCCACCCTTCAAACCAAAACACAGCCATGCAAACTTAACTGCTTCACGGTAGAAACACAAATGGGGCAAAGGTGGCCAAGCAAACGACCTTTGTACAAAGTCTCCCTCTGATAAGGTCCTAATTAATTAATCAATTGACAAATTAATTTTTTTTAAGTTTATTGATAACCAGATCTAGCTAGGCACGATCCAAGCAACTAGACAGTTACTTGATTTAAATTTTTCACAAATTGAGATATAATGATTATAATATTTATGGAAATTTATTATTTTGTGTTGCTTTATATATAATTCATATAAATAATAGGTAAATTTTATGAGTCAGGGGTGCATCAAAATTTACAAATTTTTTTTTTACTAATTTAAAGATCTTTACTGACATTGTTAGCAATGGCTTTCCTCTCCTTCTCTTCTTTCAGCAGCTGCCCGCCGCGGTTGTGGTAGCGGCCCGGCTCCGATGCCCGAGCTTCTAACTCTGTCATCTTCAGCCACAGGTTCTTACGGGTCATTACCAACTCAAAGATGTTTCTATGAATAATACATTTTGGGGTATTATAATAATTAAAAAAATATATACAAAGCTTTATGTCAGTGTGTTTGATAATGGTACAAGAATAATTAATAATCAATGAAAACTCAAATAACAAAGTGCAATATAAAAGTATTTTAAATGGAAAACTGCAAAAATCCTAGATTGATTTTAGTTTTAAACACAAATTCTGGTAAAAAAAAAAAAAAAAACTATTACATTGTGGGATATGGCAGTAAAATTACTGGGCATAATTCTTATGGCAATAAGAAATAAGGTTTTTTGTTCATGTCCAACCCCAAACCCATGGTACCATATATAAAGTGCACTACTATATTCATAATATCAAGGAGTTGGGCAACACAACACACTCCATTATATCTCTAGTACTTTTGTGTTTTTACAAGTGACATTTGCCACTTTCAACATGGTCTCAACTTGTTTGTCATTTCAAATTGATAAAAAAATAAGTAATATTAGTATATACATACATATATATATATATATATATATGTTATGTATATATATATATATATATATAGGCTTGTAATCCCGGCATAGAATGGGTCGCCACTTCCTTTCCCGTGGGTGTCGTAAGAGGAGACGAAGAGAAGTTAACTGTCGAGGGATGGGCAGGAGTGTAACTATTGAATCATCACTACAGACTAATAACGGTTGCTAACTCAACTGCCAAGCGTAGCAACTACTGGCTTTCAATACAGGGAGATATACAACAGTGGACAGTTAACGATTAATATGATAATGATAAATATCAATAAAGGTACTCACTTGTTATCATTGTAGTATTTAGTGATCCGCTCAAGATAGAGTTCGTGCAGTGTGAGCGTGTCCTCGGTGAATATGTCCTGGAAGTAGTGGAGGAATTCCTCGCGCTCGCGCGTCGAATACATCACGTTGTCCCACATCAACTTTATCTTGGTGCGGACATTCGCCACGAATACCTAAACAGAATAAAGTCAAAATGGTAGGTATTATATTTGATAAGTTCAAAGATTGTTTGGAGTGCCAACGTAAGGAAGCGTGGGGGGAAAGGGATTGTTAATAATGTGGTTCTAACTCCTTTACTGGCACCATTACTAGCATTACAACCACGCGGTTCCCCTGGGAAATTATTGTGGTTAATTCTTATGGAATTTGTTTTGATAGGCTAACTTTATTGCTGTTAAGTCCATGGTACTACTCATGTCTATAGGCGACGGTTACCACTTTCCAACAAGTGGGCCGTTGTCAGCTTGTTTGCCATTCTAAGTTGTATAAAAAAATCCTCACCTATCATCTCTATACCGATAGATATCACAGGCGAGGTTACAATTCCATTTTCATCCATTAAAAAAGCCTAAGAAAGCGCCACAAATGTTAGGTATATTATGATTCCCCCAGCACCGGGGGGGGGGGGGGGGGGGGGGGGTTTAGCCGGTAAGAGTCCGGCAGTACCCGCATATCTCCTCGGAGGTATGCGGGTCTGCATGAGCATATAAAAAAAAAGATATATTATGATTCGTGTAATCTTTATTATTTAAATAGATGATTACGTTATATTGATTCTCAACTTTTTAATAATATATTTTTTAATAATCTATAAAGAATCTCATAAAAATCAACACTGTTATGTAATTTTTAAAATAAACAACGGATCCCAAGTTACCTTTTTTCGTCATCTGGGAGACAGGGAGCATTAACTATCAAGAGTTTACAAAAACTAAAAAGTTCTAGTATTAATTAAATTTCATAATTGTGTATAAAATAAAAAAAAATAAAAAAAACAGCATAAAAAATCAGCAATATCAGTGATATTGATCATCAATATTCTAGGGCAATCGTATAGTAATAATAAATAATTTCTAGTAAGAGTATTATTTCTATCATTAGACTTCATAAATTTTCGAAATTAAGTATAATTTAATCTGAAAATGAAATCAATTCGTATTCATTTATTATAAAAAAAAAAAACTATCAAATCCTACCTGTATCTTCTGTCGTTTAATTTGATCACACCTCTTGATCTCCTGTTTGATAGCGGCCTCCGTGTGCGGGTGGCAGCCAGGATGGGCATGCAAGAAATTCTCTCGGTACACCTGGTCCTCTTCCAGGCAATCCCAAAGCTTGGAAAGACGTTCGCGGAGTTCCAATACCTTAAATTAGAGGACATTCACTATAGAATCTATAAAAAAAAATTATGCAAATTTTAACAGTTTAACTAATTCTACTAGATAGATAGATATATAATTTATTTGCATTACTTACAGCACACAAATAACAACAGACGTGGATAGACATATACAAAAAAATCTACTGACACTATTGGTGACGAGAGTCCCCCATGACTAATAATATACCCTGTCAGCTCATCTATCTTTCTGTCATTTTGACCTCCACATGATGCCCTTGGAAACCTGTTGATTTGCCACAATCGGTAATCCAATATGATATCATCTTCATCAATCAACCCTCACTGAGTACCAACAATAATGAAGACAGGATTACCATATCATCTATTTAATATATTTGTTTTTTTTTTTCATACAACTAATAAACTAAAAATAATTTAATAAACTAGAAATAACAATAAAAATTTTTTCTTTCTTTTAATATGTGCTAAAAACCTGATTGTACAAGTAACATTCCCTTTTTTTTAAGTTGATCGATAAACAGTATAGTAAAATCGGAATAGCATACCCTATTGTTGGTCTGTTCATATTTCTCCTGTAGATCCTGATGGAGTTTTGCAAGGCGGTCCATGTTGAGATCTGTCACCTTGAAGTCTACAGACAGAGAGCTCACTACCACATGCTCGAACTTGTTCTGTGGTTTGATTTGTAGTTTATCTGAAAAACAAAATATATTTATAGAAAACATTGACTTATGTTTAACCATGTACCTCAAATTAAGCCAAAGTTGGCTTGTGCTATTGTGTTCAGGATAACTGACCTGCTATCATCCCTCACTGGTGCCCCACCAGCGTATACCGATAGCACAGACGAGATTACCATTTCATTATCACCCATTAAAAAAACTATCTTAAGGTAAGATAATATATTGAAGGGCTACACCACTGAGATAGTAAAAATAAGACAAAAAAAAAGAATTACCCATAATATCTTTAATCTCCACTTGCGTATTCAAAAAGATCTCGACTCTCTTGTCTCTCTCTGCTTGCAACACCTCAAGATGGACCCCGAGTTTGTCCAGCTCCTCTTCAGAGGGCAACGGCACCTCCTTCAACTCTTGGATAGTGACGCCAAGTTTGTCGGCAAGATCGCGCTGCCACTCGAGGAGCCGCTCCATCTTCATGCGGCGCTGTTCCACTTGTTCTCTATAACTAAAATAAAAAGTCATAGATACAGCTAAGAATGTCAATGGAGTGTATGCAATGCACCTTCTGGCCTTCTCGTAATAGATCTACGTTATTTTGACTGTACCTAATGTAGTATTATAACATCTGTGACTGTACTAAGCACATCATCATCTTTCTATGCTTTATCCAATTATTTACTTGGTGTCAGCATGATAGGTTTTCCTGTTCTATTCTCCTTTATTCACGGTCATTCCCATTCAGGTCATATCAACTTTCACACAGTCCATCCACATCTTTTTAGGCCTTCCTTAGCCTTTATAGCCATCTCATGTACAATTAACTAAACTATTTATATTATTTAAAATTAATTTAAATATTAAATTAAATTTTTATCTTAAAAAAGTCATAATAAAATAGCAATAAATAGTAGTAGTAACTAACAATTATTACACATTTACAGAGTATTATTATTTAAAATAATAATATTCTAGCTTTTTGTAAACTAACATTAGAATTAGTGTATAGTAAAATACTCATAAAACAAAAAATAAAGATGGATAGAAATAAGGAGTAATAAGATGAATCTTAAATAAACAGTAATAACTGAAAGCTCAGCTTACCCTGCAATTTGCTCTTCCAATTCTCTTTTGTAATCAACCAGCATGAGATCCTCCTTGAACTCCAATATTGTGATGTCCACTGAGAGGCATCTGCTAAGCTCTTCTGTCTCCTCCTTTAATTCTAAATAGCAAAGAAAAATTATTTGCTATTACTCTGTTTACTTATTATTATTATTACTGTATTTTAGTGCAATAAAGTGCATATATCCTAAGATAGGAGAACCCCATGCCCAACATGCAACAGTGGGAGATCATAGGTTAGTAATAGATCTAAAGACATATATCTTTTTTATGCTATATTACCTGTACAAAAGTTAACTGTGTAACTGTACTTTGGTCTTAGGAGTTGAATATAGCAATAAAGTAACTGGAAATGCATATCAGTGTTCCAAAATGACATTGCATAAGTGCAATAGGAGTCATAATGTATTATGATGTCCATGATGCTAACAAATACATGATCAAATGGAGTATATGCATTTTGAAAATTATATAAAAAAATACAATCATATTATATTTAAGCATATTGACTATCTCAATAAAATAAATATCAGAAAATGTAATATCTCTTTAATATCAGTCTGACAAATAAAAATTATTAAAAAACCCAAAACATAGTACAAAAGCTATGAGTAATAATTACATTATAGAGATAAGAACATAAGCTTATCATTGATTTTCCATAGAACATCATGTTTCTAAACTTTGAACAGTAAAATTAAACTATAACACTTACTATCAACTTCAGCTTGCATATTCTTCAACTTCTGCCTAGTCTCTGAGATAACATCTCGGTGAAGCTCTTTCTCAATCTGAACCAGTTTTGAAATATTGTTGGCTTTGGTGCTATCATCCACACCGAGGTGCGACCAGTTCAGCCATAACTCCTCCATCATAGACCGAACATTGCTGCATATTTCTTTTAACACTTCATTGCTGTAAACATATATTAACTAAAATATAACAAATAAATTTTTTTTATCTGCCAATTAGTTAACAAGATGGACATGAACAACATATAAAATGTATAAAATTATGTGGAAATTACAAAACACACTGTGATACCCATTTCATATCATTTTATGTTAAAAAAAAAAGAAATAATAATTTATATATATAAAAATCTCATAACGTGTTTGTAAGCACACTCTTCAGAAATGGCTTAACCAACTTTTATAACATTTTTATATACATTTGGTACGTACGAAAATAGGTTGTAAAATATATTTCATATGGCTAAGTGACTAGGATGTCACTATCCAGAAAAAAATAATTATGCAGCGGAACAACATTTGCCAGGTCAGGTAGTAATACTAATATATTAGACAGAAGCGAACATTTAAACTTCACTAAATATTTTCTTAATTTTCATATTTAGAACACTTAAAAATATCTTAAAAAAAAATTAAGGCCATTGGAGGATATTAAATAAAAAACAAAAATAAAAAAATAATGAATGAGAAAGATGATTACAAAATAATAAACATTTTTAAAATACTCATTGTTATACCAATGTAAACAATGTTTTAATGTGAGCAATACTGTAACAGAAAGTTCCTAAATGGACTTCAAAAAGATTTCTCTCATATGTTCAATAATTCTCCATTAAATTTAAGAAACAAACTTGTTATTTTTTTTTTAAGAATATTTTGCAATAAAGATAGTCAAACTATTCAACATTAAAGCAACTGCCTACGTATCTTATTTTAACTCTACTTATATCGATGTACTTAGATTCTAAGCGGTCAGTTTTTTGGACACTCCTGAAACTTGAAAGTTTGGGCATTACCTAAACTCTTCCAACAAAATTCGAATGTAAACAACTTAAATCTAATATATCTTACAACTATGTATTAAATTATTAATAATTGACCGAGTATTGCAAAATTTCTTAGTAACGTGATTGTTGTCATCACGCCCTATTCAGAATAGGGACAGATCACAGAATGGAAATTACCATTATTTTTACAAATTATCTACCTATTCATACAAAAAGCACTTCTTTTGCTTCATCTAATTATAAATTATTTAATTTGAGAATTTCTATATATTAACTAAATTATAACAATAAATTACGGTTACGCCGTTATTAGTCAAACTATTGAAAATGAAACTTACAATAAACTATTCACATCTTCTGTTATGACAATCATTTTTCTCCTTTCTCTTCTTATTAAAATACAAGCAACTATACACTTCACCTATAAATAAAAAGCGTTATTATTTTTAACTATTACCGACATGGAAAGGATATTTTCAACGAACAATTCCAAAATGTTTGAAGTTTTCAAATTCAATACGTTACAAAACAAAATGCTCACAACTCTGCATTGTGGTTGGTTACCTTTTTTTACAACGTTCCTACACACGCAATAATTTTTCTGCGTTTGAAATTATAATTCATTTATAAAATTGATAAAGTAATAAAATTAACAGAATAATTTTAATACAATCTTAGATTATAATTTTTTCTAATTAACGTTTGGTGAATATAATAATATTTTTATTAAACAATAATGATGATTGCCTGTACGGTTATGACCGTTATACACGATCTAATATTTTTTTTTGAAGCTTTATTTCTGTATAATTTTTTTTTATTATTATTATAGTAAAATAAAGTAACTAAATATAGGTACTTGTTTTATTAATCATGTTTTCCGTAAAATTTGAAAATTTTATATTATGAACTAGCTATTTTTTTATATCAACTCTCGATATCTATCGATCGAGTTGAAGATCGAGAGATGGAGATATCGATAGGATGGAGGTATATATAGATAGCAGTACAACACTGGGGGAAAGGGATTGTTAGCAACGGAGTATGACAGCTCCATTGCTAGCAATATGCCTTATCAGGCCAATCTCCACATGGTTCCCCCTAGAAACCATCGTGAACAATTTTCGTTGAATTCGTCACGATGGGCCAACTGAGCTGTTTCATCCTCATCTATCATCCTTTACTAATACCCCGCCGGTGTATACCGATAGCGCGGGTGGGGTTGTTATCATCTATTATTATTATCATCTATAAAAAAAGCAGTACAACACTATAGATATTCATTTATTTTTCTAGTTTTTTATAATTTTCATGGTGTTGCTACTTCGAAAAGGTAACGTGTATTTCAATTTGGAGCTTCCGTTAATTATTTGCTTAAGTACCTACGTATTTTACTCTGTTTAACTAGAAATCTATATCAATATTAATTGAGTGTCATTATGCGATTCATAATTGCAAAAATATTAATTAATAAAACTCTTCAATACATTTTCAAAATATACGTTGCTAATAGTAAAAAAAAAGATCTTACGTAGTACGATCACAGAATATAGTATAATTGCTTTTTATTTGCTAAACAAGTAAAATGCACCTTATTCGAATACGGATATATTTCATAATATTTTGGTTATATCATGACTTGGAAAAGGCAGCGCTACCATTTCCTCGTAATCGCATTTAGATAATACAATACACCGATGTCAAACGACGAATGACCCTTACTTACGTACGTTTGTTGGTTTAATAATAAAAAAAGTAACATTTTTTTTTTTATTTTAATTTTCAATGTGTAATAGTGCAATGGTGTACGCTACTACTATGATAGGCTATTGGTATACGCTGACGGGGCACCAGTGAGAGATGATAAGTGACGATGAAAGTATGTGGTGTAGGGCCCTTAGATGACTCCTAGACCCTCACCAATTACTGTATTTATCCAAGAAACAAACTTATATTCTCTGAGGGTAGAAAAATTAGTAAATGCGATATTCTTGGAATGGATGATGTTTCGTAATGAAAGATGAATTTATTCAAGATGTTACAGGTACAAACAATATTATTTAATATGAGATGATATAAAGCAAAATATAATGAATAAGATTTTTAAAATGAGTATGTACGGTGCGTACGTGATAAGCGCGTGAGATGTCACCACGAAGTTAGCCGCGCTGCCAAAGCGCTGCGGCCGCAGTCGGTCGCTATCTTCACGCAACTTCATTTAGCGTGTTGCCGCAATATTCAAAGGCGGAGCGGAATAATATATTATTACAATATTATTTCAGAATATTTTCCGCTACAAGTAGTTCAGTTAGCACATCGTGACAAATTCCACTAGAATTAACCACGAGAGAATTAATATAAATAAATAAATATAAAATAGAATTAATCAAGGAGGAATCTAGTGGAGATCAACCTGACAGGGGGTATTGCTTGCAATGAGTCAATTAGACCCTATTACTAATTACGATTACGATTACTTGTATATTTATATAATTAATTACTTATACTTTAATAAAGTCATGGTATTATGCACAAGAAAATAATAAAGTATTGCGTGATAGCATCCTTCTGGTGACAGTAATGTTTGACGGATACAGATTACAAATACAGGACGGATACCTACAAATTATATCTTGATATAACCGAACGATAATAAGAGGAAATCCCAGTAGATATGAAGTCGGTAAAATATTTTAATCGTGTACATAGGGTTGTCTACAGCTTATACATACATACACAATTTTAATACTAATTAAATACCTATACATTTTTTCATAGGAAAAAATGTAATGGTACCCCACCTTTGCGCAAAGGGGAAGGGATTGTTAGTAATAGTAGAGGTTAGACCCCGTTGCTATCAATGTACCCTATCGGGTCGACCTCCACGCGGTTCCCCCTGGAAACTATCGTGATTAATTTATCGTTGAATCCATCATGATAGGCTAACTGACCTTCATTTTCATCCTCACCTATCACCTCTTATCGGTACCCCACCAGTATTATCGCAGGCATTATAATAGCGCAGGCGGGGTTGTAATGCCATTTTCACCCATTAAAAAAAAATTCCCCGCCTGCGCTATCGGTATGCGCTGGCGAGGCACCAGTGGGAGATAATAGTTGAGTATAAAAGCAGGTCAGTTAGCCCATCGTGATGACTACCTGACCTCGACTTGACAGGGTATATTACTAGCAATGAGACTGGTAGTAGTAATGAGTACTAACATTCACCCCTCTTTTTACTAACTGTATATTTTTTAAAGGATAATAATGAAATGGTAGCCCCGCCCGCGCTATCAGTATACACTGGCGGGGCACCAGTGAAGTATGATAGATGAGAATGACAAAGACAGATCTTTTTTTTAATGGATGATAATGGAATGGTAACCTCGCCTGCGCTATCGGTATATACTGAGGCACCAGTGAGAGACAATAGGTGAGGATGAAAAGGCAGGTCAGTTAGCCCATCGTGACGAATTCAACGATAAATTAGTCACGATGGTTTCCACGTGGAACCGCGTGGAGGTCGACCTGATAGTGTATAGTGATAGCAATAGGGACTAACTTCCCCTTTACTAACAATCCCTCCCCCCGAAAAGACAGGTTAGTTAGCCCAACGTGATGAATATACTTGGAATTCAGCACTATAGTTTCCAGGGGGAACCACAAGGAAGTCGACCTGGTTAGGTATATTGCTAGCAACAGGACTCTTAGTCTCTTATTACTAACAATCCCCCCCCCCCCCCCCCTTACCACTGACTGAAATACTCTTTTAATATTTAACGCCTTACTAATGACATTTGTAAATTGATTTGTAAATTACATTAGTAATTTTTGACAATTATTATTGGTTATTTTGTTGCTTCATATTTTTTTTTGTTTTGTTATATTTTATAATATCTTCTTGTCACTTGTAAAAATATTCAACACAATGCAGTATTGTAACGAATAAAAATAAATTGAATTGAAATTGTATTAGGCGACACATTTTCTGTAAAATAAATCCGAGTAAATATGTTTGTGTGCATAAATGCAGATACTATCTACTAGTAAATTGCTGATTGCTCACAACACAGCGGCCACTTATTGCTGTTACTCTATCTAATCGCCTTGCAAATTACAGCCTATACGTTATGTTACGTGGAATAATCGTTCATTGCTTAATAATTAAGCAATCCGATTAGAATTTACTACCGTAAGTTACACGAATTAAATGGACAGTGGCATGATGTAGGTATTATTAATTTTGTCATAATATAATTAAAAAAAAAAGCCCTAGGGTAAAGTCCACTTTGAAACATTTTTTATGCAACTTAGAATGACAAACAAGCTGACGGCTGACATGATGGAAAGTGGTAACCGTCGCCTATAGACATGAGTAGTAATAGACGTAACAGAGTATACTGTTTCGCTATGACACCTCCCATGCGTAGCCGTTTCAGAGACTAAAGTGTTATTCCTCTGTAAATACCTTGTAAATTCACTGCCATATCCCACCATTTAAACCGAAACACAGCCATGCAAATACAATTGCTTCATGATAAAAATATGTATACTCTGTTATGTCCAGGGTACTGCTCATGTCTATAAGCGACGGTTACCGCTTTCCATCAGGTGGGCCGTCAGCTTGTTTGCCATTCTAAGTTGTATAAAAAAAAATGAATGGGACAAAGGTACCTAAGCAAACGACTTTTGTACAAAGTCTCCCTCTGGTAGGCATTACCAAAGGCTAACTGCAGTTGCCAATCCATCTGCCAAGCGTTACAACTATTAGCAAAACTGCCTTTATGGGGACGTTGTAGTTCTGCAGTGGACAGGTACCGGGTGATATAATAAAAAAAAAAAATATTTTTCTTTATTTTTTTACCGGTAATTGCTACACTTGGAAGCCGGATTGGCAACTGCAGTTTGAGTTTTGGTAATGTTTGCTACCCTTCGTTCGATCATTAACTTCCCTTAGTCGTCTCTTACGATACCCATGGGAAAGTAAGGGGTGGCCCGTTCTATGCCGGGATCACATGGTATTACTAAGAATATGAGATACGAGATCATTTCAGCTACACGCCAACGTTAACGCAATCATCTGAACAATGCAAACACGCTGAGACTTTTTAAAGAAAGCAATTGTTTTTAGGGTTCGATACTAAAACGTAGGTAACCCTCTTAACACGACTTCCACTATAATATGACCTCGAGTGCGATTTAAACAAAACTCAGTTATGGTTTGAGTCGTTGTTTCCTTTTAGTATTACCTGTATTGTTTTCTAAATATAGACTAATATAGTATTATATTATCTGTGATATAGGTAACTAGCTTTTACCCGTGACTTCGTCCGAGAAACTGAGATGCTTACGTTTATTTAATAGTATTAGAAGTACCTTATAGTCTTCTCCATCTCATAAAATATGTTTATACCAAATTTCATAGTAATCGGCCCAGCCGTTAAGGTGCAATAAGGTATCAAACAAACAAACTTTCACGTTTATAATATATTAGTTAGGATTATTACAATTCGTTGATGACTTGAGA